GTGTATGCTTCTCACACAGGGTTCCCTCAGTGACAAGTTTGGCAAAAAATGGTTCATCGTCGTGGCCAGTTTGCTGGGAGTGGTGGGCTCCACGGTTTCAGGATCAACTCATCGAACACCGGTTGTGATCGTAGGCAACGTCCTCACTGGCTTGGCGAACGCAGGTTGTGTGGGTTTCCAGAGCCCTACACTTGGTCCATCTCTGACTGAGGTATCTAGATAATGGGAATCCCAGCTGCTCAGGAGGTGACGCCTAATAAACTTCGACCCTGGGCTACGGGCTTCTCTCAGGCCTTTGCCAGTTGTGCCGTCATTGCCGGTACTGTGGGAGCTGGTGCTTTTGTGAAATACCAGACATGGAGGTGGTCGTACTATTTGAATGCCTTTGTGTACGGCACATCCGCTGTGCTGGTCGGCTTCTTCTACCATCCACCCCCGCCTAGTCTGCGTCGCCAGCAAAGCCGCCTCAAGGATTTGCTCTACCAGGTGGACTATTTTGGCATACTTCTCTTCACGGGCTCAATTGCTTCCCTCATCATTGGTTTGACATGGGGTGGTACTACTTACCCTTGGTCATCTGGTCGCATTATTGGGACCTTGGTTGTTGGCTGCGCAGGGTTAGTGGGATTCGGCCTATATGAAGTTTTCGTCACTTCCGAGGGTATCTTCGATCACCGGCTATTTCAATCTCGCAACTTCCCTATCCTCCTATTCGTCTGCGTGGTGGACGGAATGCTTCTTCTCGGCGTCAATGTTCTTTACGCACAGCAGATTGCAGATATGTTCACAACAGACCCTATCCAGATTGCAAAGATCCTTACTCCTTTCCTTGCGACATCGGCATTTGGTTGTCTGCCAGCAGGCTGGATCATGGCTCGCACCAAGTCATACCGAATTATGCTCGTCGGCGCGCTTCTTTGGTGCAGTATTTTCACCGGTAAGATATATAGCATCAATCAGCGAACAGACCATACAGATACTAAAACTGAACACACAGGTTTAATGGCCCTCGTCAATACTAGTAGATTGAGTTGGGCATATGCCTTCTCTGCTCTTTTTGGCATTGGTACCGCTGTGACAACTGTGATTCCTGGTACGTTCCGAATGCAGCTCATATATCTTTCCGTGGCAATGCTAACTCGTCCTAGTGACTGCACTGGCTCTTTCCGTTCCATCCTTCCTTCTTGGGACAGCAGGCACTATTAGTATCTCAGGCCGTGCCTTGGGTGGGACGATTGGCATCACGATCTTCACCGCAATATACAACAATAAGATTGGTGCTGCACTCGGTCAAAATGTCGGAGAGGCCCTAGCTACAGCAGGAAAAGGGAATTTGACTGCAGAAATTGTGGGCGCTCTGCTTAGCCCTGACCCGAATGCGTTGACTATGGTGCCCGGGGTAACCCCAGCGTTGATCCTGAAGATCCAGGTTGCGCAACAAATGGCCGTGGCGTATTCCTGGAAGTTTGTCTGGATTGCTATTTGTGTTGTCGTGGCGGCAAATGCTCTTGTGGCTTGTTCCTTGCAGTCTGTGGCGCGCAAGATGAATAACCACATTGAATCGGCTTTGGAAGACTCGGAAGTTCGCAAGAACCAGATGGGAGTAACTAAATGAATACAGAAGTGAGGCTGGGCTTTCTGTGACTAGCAAATGAGTTTTATATAAGTGCTTAACGAAATATGCATCGTAAAACTGCCACCAATCAGATTCTCATTCTATTTCGAGACCGAGCCAAATCATAGATGAACTACATGAACAGTACTGATCCCGGAGAAATAGAGTAGTAGTGAGTATTTACAAACAGCCCAGTTTGTATTCAGACAAAACGTCATGAATATCACGATCGCATCACCAATTCTATTTACGGTCTATATACTAATTACCATCCAACCCTTCTGTAATATCCCGCACAAACTCATTCGCCTTAACTCCCAGCTGTGCAACATCCACACCCCCTTGACCCGCCATAGCCCTCGACACAGCTCTCGCAACTTCTTCTTCCTCCCAAACATTGCCAACAATCATACCCGCATTACCCTCTCCAGGCGCCCGAGCAGGATTCTCCATAGAGACTAAGGTCTGCCAGTATGCATCATCACGGGTCTTGAGCGCTTTGTCACGCACAACAGCATTGCGCGTCACATTCGAGCCGTGAAGTTTGGAGTTTGTGTTGGTCAGCGCAGCCAAAGCAGCGGTGATCGCATTGTCGACTTGCTCAGGCTGCGACGGCGGCTTGAAGAAGAAGCGATGCGTAGCTGAGAGCCAGATGATGCTCGCGCAGACTGCGTCGCATACTGCGAAGACTAGTGGTCGGAGGAGGGTGATTTTGTTGTAGAAGCTCGCTGGGGGAGTAACACCGGCTCGCACGGCGGCGGAGGCCGCTTGCATTGGATCATAGGAGTAGACCGCGTAGAGGTCAAAGAGGAAGAGGGTCAGTCCCGCGATGGTGAATTTGTTGCGCCAGCGCGCAGACTCCTGGCCCGCGAAGGGAGCGGAGGTGGCTACGCCCAGGATCAGGAGGTGCACTAGGTGCGGAAGCAGGACATTGAAGGGGATGTAGTAGAGCAGGTATGTGACTTGGTGGCCGAGCGTGCAGTACTGGCACGAGACCAAGGCGTCCGGGCCATAGGTGAGATATATCTTGCGAGCATCGTTGGAAGTAAACTTCGTCTGAAGCAAGGCGTCGAAATCGCTCAGTTTGCCATTCAGCTGGAGCCGCGCGAGGCGATCGAAGATGACATTTGTCGGCGTGTTGATTCGCGAGCGGGTGGCAGCGAAGATATTCGGGCCGGGGGCGTGGGGATTGAAGGGTAAACTGAGGAGCAGGAAGAGGACGATGCTGCCGAATAGGACGTTCAATGCTCGACCTGGTGCAGCGGGGAGGGGGCGAGGAGGAGGACGAGTTGCGACGGATACGCGCAGGCTGCGGTAAGCGCTGAGAAGGCGTGTGATGATGATCGGACCGAAGAAGATGAGGACCGGTTTGATGCTGGACGCGGGTTAGAGGGCAGACAGTGCGGGGGGATTGACTACTTACGTGCTGAATGAGATCTCTACGCCAGCCATGTTGTGCAGCTAGGAGGAACCGAATCCTACCTCATCTCACAGTAGTGGGTGTAGGTGTTGCGGAGGAGAGGAATGAAACGAACCAACGGGGCCAAAAAAGCGGTCGATCTGGCCCGACGCGATTTGTTCCTGGCGCCAACTACGTCAACATCGCAACCCCACAAGACTACACAGTATTGCGAGCAGAAGGGAGAAATTAGCTTAGCTATGGCTTTTTGTCCGCTTGGGTTTTCTTTTTGCTTCCTTCTTTTTTGTCAATTGAGCAACGTGCCTGAACTTTGTGTTTTCCTGGTAGCTTAGCCTCTAGTCAGAATAAATATTGTTCTAGCAAATTCCATGTATTAAGTGATAAGGTTGTTCTGCGTTCTACCTCTTTATTATATTCAAGAATCGTCACAGAAGTATATTTATCTGTGGCTCGTTCCATGCCAGCATCAGCGGATCCTTGGGATTGAATCGTCTTGCGGACGGTCGAGAAGGAGACGGGGGAACTAATGGAGACCCACAGTGCGGAGGGTCGGGGCTCAATCCGACCGCCTGCTATTTTTAAGACTCCCCATCCCGGAAATCACAATCCTGTACTTTCCTTTTCTCTTCTACGGCTATATTTGAGGTATTGTTCTTCTATAATGAATCGGCCACCCCCCAGCCGACGCAGAGACAAACCCCAGCTATCATGTACCCCCTGTCGTCGAAAGAAGTTAGTCCCGATATTGAGGCGTCCATTAGTTATCGACGCTAACTCCGGCTCTTAATAGACGACGATGTGATCGAGGCACGCCTTGTGGCAGATGCCTCAAGGTAGAAGACGTGGCAAATTGTGTCTACGTCCCGTTTAATGCAGACCTGCGAGGCTCGACAGAATCTCAAAAATGGTCACACCAGGACTTGCGCCTCGCAGAGCAGAGAAATTATGAGAGCAGCTTTGTAGAAGATACGGCAGAATTACTATCAAGCACTGCTCTATCATCTGACGGGGTGACAAATAGAGCTGGCAAGGAAGATATGGCATACGGTTCAACAAGTAAGTGATAATGCGCTTTGCTCTACTCTGATTTGGATGTCGGCCATTCGAAGCAGCCCTAATCAGCATGAAATTATAGACTACACGCCGAGCTACCAGACATGCCAAATATCCGGTGGAACTGGTTCGATCATCCCAACCGATTTTCCCCACCATTTCACACAGCAACTTCTGCCAACGGACCTTTCCTTGGGGGTCACTGAATCAAGCGCCAGCCGAGGGGCAGAGCTTAGCAACTCACCCGGGACACAAATTCCCCTAGATAAGAAATCAACCAGACCGGTAACATATCACAGTATATTCAAGTTTCCAATTTGAATATTTCCAAAACAATACAGGGAAATTGGAGAAGGCTTTCCAGGCCTCAACGCAAATGATACCGAAACATCAGGCTGTGGGATATCCGGGAGCTGTGACATCTCCGGGCCTTGTTAACAAATTCAGTTGAAGAGCAATAATTTTGTCGCCATGTGATTGAATTAGCTTATTGACTGGTCTGATGGCAACCGCAGAGTTGCGGTTGCAGATGATTATTTGATCTTGTGAGGCAGAGGAGTTAGTTATTTTAGATATCGGGCTTCCCGTAACTCCGCTGTGATCTGCAGTCTTACGCTTGCTCTACAGCATATATCGGGGTCTCAAACCCGACATTTCCGTGAATGAGGCATACTGTTAAATGTGGAATGTCGGGAAGTCGGTTCCGCCGAATGCCGCATAGTTCAGAGTTGCTGTTGGTTATACGCACGGTTTCGTTAATTCCGATCCTTAAGCCCGTTCTCCGCCCCGGAGTCAAGTCCATCTACCGTCTCGATTAATTTATAAATATAACCCAATTCGAGATGAATTTTGTAGTTCTAACCTAAGTACTCACTCTCTGACCCAGTTACATCCCTAAAGGCTCATCTTATCATGTCTACTAAGCATATCGAGAAAGTGGCCATCATTGGTGTGAGTTCTATTCTATCTCGTCTCCTGGCTTATACCTATCCAAACGTAATGACTGACATTTTGTAGGCCACCGGTCGCATTGGCGGAGCCTTTGCTGAGGCCCTAGCCAAGACGGGGAAACATACCGTCACAGCCCTGACCCGTGAGGACAGCAAGGGCAAGGTTCCCGACAATGTCAAGGTCATCAAGGTGAACTATGAGGACGAGACGTCTATTATCAAGGCTCTAGAGGGCCAGCAGTTCCTCGCTATTACTCTTAGTGTCCGTGCTCCAGAAGACCTCCATAAGAGAATCACCACTGCCGCTGGAAAGGCGGGCGTCCCTTACATCATGCCCAATACTTACGGCTACCCCATTCAACCCGAGAACATCGAGGGAGATGCTTACGGCAAGGTGGTCATGGGTCGGGTTAATGATACTAAGAACGGAGTGTCATCCTTCGTGGCAATGGAATGCGGTTTTTGGTACGAGTGGAGCCTAGCAACGGGCGAGCAGTGGTTTGGCTTCACGATCAAAGATCGCAAGGTCACTTTCTTCGACGATGGCAAGCGAACCATCACCGTCAGTACCTGGGATCAGTGCGGTCGTGCTCTGGCGGCACTACTTAGCTTACCCGAGTCCGGAGCAAGCCCTTCTGTCGCCGACTTCAAGAACGACAGATGCTGTATCTATAGCTTCCGTGTCTCACAGCGTGACATGCTCGACAGTCTGCATCGCGTCTTGGGAACTACGGATGCGGACTGGGAGATCACATTCGAACCCGTTGATAAGCGCATCAAGGACGGCGCCGAGGAACTGGCGAATGGCAACTTTACGGGATTCGCTAAGATGCTCTATGGTAAAGTCTTCTTGTCTACCAATGAGGTCAGCGACTTTGCAGGTACGAGGTCGACAGCTAATGAAGCTCTTGGGCTGCCTAAGGAGGACCTGGATGAAGCGACGAAGAGGACGGTGGATATGGTCGAAAGTGGATGGAACCCCTTTGCCGCATAGCTGAAGTTGGCACGTTCTGTCTCCCGTCATTTATTAGACTGGAACTATGTGTTGAGCATGTTACTTTCATTGATAATGAATGGATCCCCTCGAATAAAAATGCTCTATAGCAGGAGCCCCAACAGTCCAACTTGGAATACACTGGTTCAATTAAAGGGCCAGCCCAAACAGTCTCAGCCGTGATATGATTGTTATCCACAAACAACTTGGAGGGGAGATGATCCCGTATGCCATAATGTAGAGGGAGTCAAGAGGTCATCTATGTGCGCGAGGGAACGGCAATTTTAGGATATGCTTCCATAGCTGAAATGCTAAGCATTTGTGCGATGTAGTAAACGAGGAGGAATATTTACTACGAGAATGACAGCGACAGCATCTTCGTCTCGATAGACATAACCTCCATCATGATGGCGAGTTCTGGACCACGATTTATGTCATCCCACAATCTTCCCAGCCGTGTTCCAGTCGCCTCGTCTATGATGATATAGAAGAACACTTCTGATCTATCTACTAGTGACGGAAACGAGTTTGGATTTACATTATAGACTAGGACCTAGGCTGAGACTGTGGATATTCCTTGAAAGGCTTCAAAAATTCACTTCATAGACATCAAAAAGCATTAGAACAAGAATGCCAAGTTGGCAATATTCAACCCCAAGCCAGAAAAGAGACTGATGACGATGGCTATCATAGAAGGTACACAACTTTTGTTCCAAGTCGCTCTGGGAAGTGGCGTGTGATAGTAGGTACTATCTTCCCAACCTCACATTCGTGGTATCTCAAGTCACTGCTAGCCTCCTTCAAATCCGACGCCTGGTCCCCGGCCACTCTCTGTCGAGCACGATTATATTTTTACGTTCCAAAAACCCAGTCAGTATCTTTTTGCGGCTGGTGCTCCTGGGTAGGTTGCTGATCTGTTCCGGGTTTGTTTCCCTGGTGGTGTCCCCAGGCCCAATGGCGGCGTTGCTTTGGATTGGCGACATTACCTGTACGACCTTGTTAGTATATACCAGACGAGGGAAAGTGAGGTTGTACCAGTTGCTGTACCAGCAAAAGCCTCGTTGACGTGAGAGTCAGGCTGAACAGACTGGGTAGTTTGACTGAGTGGCTCTTGCTCGGTGGGCTTCTTTGTGTCGGGAAACTTGGCTGCGTCGGTTGCGTCAGTCGACCCGGTTGACCCAGTTGAGCCGGCTGAGTCTTGACGCTGGCGATGGTGGAACGCGTCAGACGCTCTGCGGAAGAAGTCCGACATAGTGGAATATAATTGTTTCCAATAATTCGATTCGAATGGTTCGAGGGTATTTGGTGATATTCTTGGAGACCACTTTCGATAATCACCCTATCCTCTCCATATATAGTCGACTTACCACAAGGCGAATGACATCATATTACCTGATTGGTACAGCGTTCTCGTGACCACTCCTCTTATTCCTATGGTACAGATAAATAAGGTAGCTAGAATCGCCTTACGACCAGTAAGCTATCGATAGCTTTGGGAGCAGCAGGATGAACGCATCATATGTGGAGAATGTCTTGGAGGACCGCGGTGAGGAAGCTGGGCCCAAGACACCCGGGTCCGACGCCTCCGAAAGCATGTAGCTAGTCTTTGGCACGTCAGATGATGCACATCCAATTGAGACAGAACTTAAAATTATCTCTGTTGAGGGATTTTGGCTGCCCTGCCTTGAAACGAGGAACAAGTGCCTTCAAATGAAAAAGTTGCCTCGTGCTAATACAATGCTCGAAACTGGTGTCACCACTAACATTCTTCGATTGTTTCTCGAACCCTAGTGCTAAGGTACACATGGAAATTGTGTGGTCCACACGATAATTTTCTAACTTATTCTTAACGTGTTCTGCGTGCACTCACCATAGTAACTGCGACATTTTTACCACTTGATATCTCAACAACAATATCTTCACATGAGATTTCATCATATACTATACTATTTTTTTGGAACATATATAGCCTACTTATGAAGTTTCAAGGAATCATGAAAAATGAAGTGTAATAGCTCTGTTCAGATGCGTTTGCCAGACTTGAAATCGTGAGATGTGCCGACTTATTCTCTTGATTTGTCAATTGTCAATTGCTCAACGACGGGTTCATCTGTCCACAGTTTATCAGAGGACCCAATCTTCCCCTTTATCTGCACTTTCATCAATGTAGTAAACTTGGTAGTCTTGTTCGGCAGACACGATTTCAAGATGATAGCGCGATCGTCGATTGTTCTCCCTCGAGGGAATCCGGAATACTGTGTTCATAGATTCCCCTAGGTGATCCGCGGTCAACTTCTTAATCCGCTCCCAGGTACCAAGAGTAAACGAAACGGGTCTGCTATCCGGGCCTGTTTTGAAGTCTTAGGAGAGACCATAGCAAAAGCCACTAGTTTTGCTCCCGCTCCTGACCATTTCTCCAATGTAGCCACCAAATTGTCCGTGGCCGGTTGCTCGTCGACCTGGACAACCGAAAGTTCTTCACCTGGGCAAACCCGACTGAGAGTGTAAAAGGCTGGGATGTGGGAAACGTTCTCTGACGTCTTCATCTTCATAAATCTAGCTTTGCGAAGATATGTCGTTGACACAGGCAATGCCCAAATGCCTTCTGTAGTCACCACCTGGAAGACAATTCCGTTGTCTCCTATGGTTGAATCGTCGTCTTTCTTGCCCAAAGGACCGTTATCAAACCCCCAGGTCGATGTGAACCACTGGATCGGCGCCGGTTTCGGGTCTCCACCAGGGGCCAATGTGAATGGGTTCACGCCTTGCCATAGTTGGTCTGCAATGGACGCCGATTTAGGATTCCTAGGCGGCCGTCCCTTCTTCTTCCGTGGAGGCTCGGATTCGGTTGATGGTCCTTCGTCACAATCATCGATATCCATCGGATCGCCGCCAACATTATTCAGATCTATCAAATTGTTCATGTTTGGATTTGTACCACGGTACCGGTCAGGAAACACCCCAGATTGCCCCAACTTTAACCACTACGGTGCGTAGAGACACTCTATAGGGCCGCAGGAGTTTATACGTAGGCTTCACCGTCAACTTGCCCAAGACCAAAACCATAGGTTTGAACAACTCCACATTTATGGTCGGACGGCCTACCTCGTTAAAGCTACTCTATCACACGGATACATTGTGATAATCAAGGCTACCACGGCGGACAAGTAGCATCTCATTCAAGCAGAAGCAGACAATTATCGTTACCTTAGGAGCCTACAGGGACAACAGATCCCCGTCTATCTTGGGACATTTAGGCCACGAGTTTCATATTGGTACTATGGCGAACTAATAGAGCAGATGATGATTCTTAGCTAGTCGGGAAGGAGGCTTCAGCACGTCATCAACGATGAGAACTCGATTTTCTTCCATTAGGAGCTAAAGAAAGCCTTGGCTATGCTCCGGTCTCACGGAGTGGTCCACGGCGACAGTGAATAGCGCAATATGTTGTGGGATGACCTAGTTGGCCGTTTGATTGTCATTGACTTAGAGGACGTGAAATGGTTAAAGCGCCCTCGTACCCTTGAACCAACGTCTAGAAATGCACGGCGTGGTCATCGCATAAAGGCGGGAAAATCCAAGCAAAGTCTCCTGTCTATCTCAAGGCCTATAGGCCACGCCTCATTTGAGACGATTCATGTTCGTACCTTCCGATCACGAGGCGGAAGTATACTCTAAATTTGGGACCACCAAATAGATTACCTACGTGTGTTGGGAAAAGGAGCTGCTTTGCAGATGAGCGATTGCACGATCTACTACTGGTCATAAAAACAATTTCTGAGATCCGAGGCTGTCTTCTCAAGATATGTGACGAAAGTTCTCAAAAGACTAAACTAATTGGCGCCGCCAAATATACATTCCCTCAATACAACTTTAACTTTCCTGACCAAAGTCCTCCGTAGGATTCTACCTTTCAGTTATCCCCGGCCCCTGTTTCTTCCCTCCCTTTCCTCTCTTCAATACTTTGCTTTCGCCACCTAGCTCTCCTCACTAGAAACAGCGCCAGAGGGCGACTTCTTGCGCCCCAAAAGAAATGAGAGAACTTCTGCAGGGCTGAATACTTGCTCCGATATTTTGCTAGCAAAATAACGAGCAAGCCCCTCGATCGTCTCTTCATCATGTAATAGCTAAAGTTGCTGTCCACCTTATCTCGCTACTTTTTTGAACGCCATCCTGCGGTACCGTTTTAGCCCATCAAGTTTTGATTTTAACCAAAGGATACGCGAATATAAAATTGGACAAGAAATGCGAGAGCTGAGGGCTTTAGAAGCCATTCTCCTGGCTATCAGATAAATCTGACAGCTCTCCCGCATAGCGGCTTTATCTAAAGCAAGCTACAAGGCGCAAATGATTGATTGATTGATTGAACGCGAGGTTTGCTATCCTTCTATGACGGTCCCCGGGTTAAGGGACTGGTAGAGACCAGCGACCATTCAGGGGGTAATGGAGGTGCCGCAGCTATATGCAACAGTGTTTTGATTTCTCTGACACCAAAAATAGATCAGTTGGGCATATTTAAACTCGCTGATGTATCGACATGCTCACAGGTCATGTCGTCTTCCGTCGCGAGAAATCCTTCAAACAATGGTCGTTGGGCAATGATAAACCATATGGTACAGGCGAGAGTCCAAATGTCCGATGAAAAAGACAGAGGGTCGTTTGGTTCAAACCGCGCCTCGGGAGGACGGACGACAAGGGGGGTGCGAGATTCGTATTTCCGTTCTTTTGAGTGGGGAAAGGCTTCACCAAAGTCTGTAAGCACGATCCTGGTTTCTGAAAGCGTTATTTCCTCACTCGCTTTCCCCAACCATATGGGCACAATGCCATGGGATGGGACACCAGGCGGAAGCGGATTGCCATCTAGACAAACAATTGGGTCTAGTTCCGGTGCTCCGTATTTCTCATATAATTGTTTGAGTGAGAGCTGGTCAAAATTGGGCGGAACTTTGAGAAGAATGTTGCCGAGGTGAATATCTCCATGGACAATTCCTTGGGCATGCACATAATCCACAACAAGAACGAGTTGCGCAGCTAATGACCGGGCCACGTCAAGCTGGAATAAGCGGATCCATGAACCATCTTTCACTCCGGAGAGGCTAGCACTCGCTGGCGCTGTAACGTAGCAAGCATGATTGCCATTTGGGCCGTAAATGGTGAATCTATCTAGAATCGAAGGAACCATCGTCTTTCCTGGGTGGTTGGCAGAAGGACAATGAGGACGAGTGAGAGTGGATATAATGTCCACTTCCTTTGGATTCGAGTTTGCTGTGCAAACTTTCACTGCAACGTATTTGTTGGATTGTTCATCACGGGCTAGCCATGCAGTTGAATAAGACCCATATCCCAGCTTATGAACAACTCGATATCGACCGTGAAAGTGATCGCCGATTTGAACGGGGTGATAACCCCCTGGTCGATAGTTCTCAAGTCTTTCGACTCCCTCAAGAGGCTCGTAGAGGAGATGTGTGTCAAAATCTTCGTTATCTCCATTAAGTTGAATGCGCTGACAGTCAACGCGCAGCGGGGTTGATTGTGATGAAGCAGTGGCATATGCCCCTTACGAAGGACAGGAGAAATGACTGGGGAACATGAATAATGCGGGCGCAACAACCGAATGGCCAATGACAACAATTGACTCATCGCCGTATCACGCGGAGAATTTGAGCCAAAAGAAGTTCGATAAAGAGATAAAAATATCTCTCAATTGTTTGAGTGACGTCGTCGGCGCGAGACGACACGCGCTAACCAGCTGCGAGAAGGTCCTGATCAATGATTGGGTGGAGCGGGGTATGAGAAAGTCTGAGCCCGAGACAAAGCGTTTATCTGTTGGCTGACAAGCCAGCATTTCAACCGAAAAAAGTACGCATTATATTTCTCCATCGTGCATCATCACAGTATCTCCGATTTATACGTTGACTGAATTATTACTACCCACTCATTCGACATGACCTCAGATCCTTGTGCAGCGTGCAGCTGGACCTCTGAACGCCAAAAGCATTGTAACTACGAAAGCTACGTCAAACTGTTCTATGAAGCAGGCGATAGAGGTGTCTGGTCATTGGGCTCAAATTTGATCCTGAAAGATCGAGGTGCTGGCCTTCCGACCTTTGAGGTACCGAATATTCAATTTGTGCAGGCACAGACGTCTATCCCTGTTCCCGCCGTTGTGGAATCTTGGGAGGAAGGCGAACACACCCTCATACTAATGCGACGCATTCCTGGCGAGCCCCTCAGCAAAGCTTGGCCCAAGCTTTCTACCGATCAAAAAGAGAGGATAGCAAAGCAGACCGCTGAGTATCTACAACAACTTCGCAAGCTCCAGTCTGATAACATCCAAACTCTCGGCGGCCGTCCAGTTTTTTCCAACTTCCTGTTCAAAGATAAGGTTTCCGAGCTTCCCCACGGCCCTTTAGCAACTGATGACGAACTCTGGGATGATATGAAACGTGGGTTCAAAGAGACGGTACCTGAGGCTGCGCGAATACGACTTCGACATTGTATGCCATCCGCTACGCCTTACACCTTCGCGCACGGTGACATCACTAATGTCAATATCATGGTTGAGAACGGCTCCCTTACTGGCATAATTGATTGGGAGATGTCTGGGTACTTTCCAGTATGGTGGGAATATGTTTGCACCTCGGTCCCTGATAGTGAGGAGGACAGGGAGTGGAAGGCTTTGTTACGAAAATATATGCCCGATCATAGCACCGCACGTGAATTCTGGCTGGATTATTATTATCTTTGTAGGAACCCAAAAAGTGAAAGAGCAATGAAGTTCATGGAGGAAACAAGGAGTGAGCCCCGCTAGAGAGGTGTCTAGCCGTGCTTCTTCAAAATCGGCAGGATTTCTTATAGGTACATTAAGCACTTCTTTTCTCCATTTTCATGGATATCCAGGAGAAACACGTCACACTCCCACTGATTCGACCGCTGCACCAAATGCGATGGTCGAGCTCGGTGGGGGAGGGGATTTTCACAAGTGAGGCGCAAGCGACAGGACACTGATGGGCAGGTGTGGGCGATGGCTAGGTGGAATAGAAGGATGAGAACAGAATAAATGATCCCCTTCCGCCACTGCTAATTACAATATATTGTGCTACGAAACGGATGAAATAATTGCTATATATAATCAGGCCTTATGATCAATAAGCAAATATTGAAAGGGATCAAAACGGCTTGGCCAAGAAAAGGACCACCGACATTCTTGTGATAATAGCACAGCAGGTCCATGGTCAAGCATGACGGCGCACCCAAAAAAATGCTTTTGTTATTCGTGACTAGAGACAGACCGGAGGCCCGTGTATTTCCCAATACCCTCCCACGCCCCAAGTTTACTAGCTATTTTTTGGGTTGTGCTACTTGCGTTGATCCAGATCCAGTCCAGATGGACAGACCCACAGCTCAACACGACGAAACCTTGGCTTCCAGCTCCACTGTCAACGCCGACAGTAAAGCTAGGGTGGCGACACACGGATTGGAGCAGTGGCCTCGAGAAAAGTCGACACTTCATGCGGTGGGGTCATCACAAGATCGTGAGGGTGCTGTGTCAACGTCTCTGTGGGTGGTTAACATAACCTTGTCAATGTTACTTCAACATCACAGCCACCAAACGTCAATGTTGAAGAATTATCCAGGATTGGAATTATACTAATCAAAAAGACTCGGACCAATGCTAGGCCACTCCGAGACTTCTAGCGTTAGCAGCAGTTCACTCTGTAACTATGTTGGGCGGTTTCATTCCTTAACCTGGTCTTCCCATGGCCGTCGGAGTGATTGTTGCTCCGTGGTCGTTATTTGGAAACATTGGCATCAGACCCACCATTGTGTTGTGCCTCGGTCCTCATTTAATCTTCTCGGCATATGAGCTAGCATTTGCCATCTTCTTGACATCGTCGTCGCAAGCCCAGTCACAATGACCCTAGTGGCCATCTTCTGAGCCGGCCGAAGGGGTGTCGATATTGCTTTTAAGAATAAAATCAGCCACTGTCCCCACTCACCTCGCATCTTCTGAAGAAAGAGACCATCAAATCTTGGTCGTTCCGTCTAGCATACCGCCAGCATCATGCCTTCGACCGTAGGTCGCTCGTCGGCCGCAGCGTATGTGACTGTCAGGTCTACGTTTCACTTTGACAGCCTACTGACCCTCGCTATGACTAAATAGACACCCAGAGTTTCCGACTGTCGAAGTCGAGTTTGGAGGTCAGAAGGTCGATGTACCGAAAGGTGGTTACTATGACCGTTATCGTATGAACCCGAACTTGAACGAGGTAGCCCGCGATCCGGCTATCGGACCCGACCTGGACTTCTTCCGGAAGACCCCAAAGAAGCTAGTCGATTCGAGGGTCGGTCAGACATACGCACCCAACTTCTACTATCGCACCAAGAGCGTCCAGCTTGTCTTCATTGCACCCCTTGACAGATTGAAGGTGAAGCTCCCGTCACCCTTGGAGCCTATCACAGCATTGCCCGGTTACGGTTTGGTCGCGTTGACATTTTACTCATACCTCATCTGCGACAACGATCCTTACAACGAGGTCTCGATCGCTATCATCGTCCGTCAGCCGGGTAAGGGTAGTTACAGTACGACCCAGCTACTCGGCTCGATATGGAATCGAACTTTCTACGGGTATGTGTTGGCTCTACCTGTCAATACCGAGATCGCTCGAGTACGAGGTGTATACGGATACCAACTTCCCAAATGGCTTGCCAACATCAATCTGGAGATGAACGAAGACAACATCAAGGCCGACATCACCGCGACCGATGGGACACCCGATCTAGCGTTGGACATACCCCTTCCGGCCCTAAAGGCCATCCCATCGCAAACTTCAATCGGGACCAACAACGCGATCAACGAGATCGACAGGAAATGGTACCAGGTGACAGTTCAGACGAACCCACTTCTAGGGGCACAGTGTCTTTTCCCTCGGAACGTCAAGGCCTCTCGGAGCGAAGGTCCACTTAGCAAACTCCTCAACGAATTGGGTGCTTCGACCATCCTACGGATGGACGTCCTCAAGGATGCACAGATGATCTTGAACATGCCAACACCTTTGAAGGCATTCGATAATACCAAGCTTTGAAGATCATCAATCAGTCCTGCTGCCAGCCAGACAACGAGTATCCTGGCTGCAAAGTGTATTTTCCTGCAAACGATAATGGGGCTCCGGCTGAAGCTGTGGTATTTGTTGTAATTCAGTGGCAAATTGGTTGTGTTCTTTAAACAGGAAATTTGCGAGTTTATATACTACATCCAGTGTCTGGAGGGATTGGAAGTCCATTCAAGTAATTCCGCGGAGATGAGGAATTGATTCCCATGAGATACGAGATGCAACAACAGTATTCGTGGAGTGCTTGTATAGGAAGTGTACGATAGACAATACATGACAACTGCAATGAGGCGCAGGCGTCTTAGAGGTTATTTCATTGTGTAGCGTAGCAACTGTTGGGGACCCATCGGGGAGTAGGGCATACAGATACGTGGCACATGGGACTCGTGAAAGCTCTTGTATTGGATTTTGCTTTTGTTGAATATAGGCATACAGAGCTTAAAAGGATTAGCTCCTTCTACCACCCTCCCTTTACTTTCCATGTCTGGAGATCTCTTAACACCGGCAAGGGCTGGTATGATCCGTTTACGAGATCGGCGTCAGTGCATCATCTCGCGCGCTTACTAGCCAGGCGTTCATGATCGGCTGAGGGCAGCGACGACCATCTTCGCGGTCTCCTTAGCCGACCCGGGGTTCTGCCCAGTCACTAGGTTACCATCGACCACGGTGTAGGAGACAAACGGCAGCTTGGCTTTCTTGTAGTGGGCGCCGCGCTTCTTCACTTCTTCTTCGGCGTTGTAGGGCACAACCTTGCGCACCAGGGCAAGACCTTCCTCCTGCCATGCAAACCCGGTCATGTTGCGACCGGCGACTAGGTACGAACCGTCAGAAAGCTTGGTGTTGAGCAGGCCGCAGTAGCCGTGGCAGACGGAAGAGACGATGCCACCCCGTTCGAAGATCTCCCGGGTGATCCGCTGTAGGCCCTCGCTGTCAGGGAAATCATACATCACTGCATGCCCGCCGGTGAAGTAGATAGCGTCAAAGTCGGCCGAGTTGATCTGGTCAGGTTTTGCAGTATCCTTCAGCAGTGCCATCCGTGCCGGATCGGCCCGCCACGCTTTCGCGGTCTTGTCGTAGTTGGGGAACTTCAGCGACCGGGGCTCCAGGGGAGAGAGGCCGCCCGCCGGGCTGACGATGGTCTGTTCGAATCCGTGCTCCTCGAAGACTTGCCAGGCGTGCGTTAGCTCGGATAACCACAAGCCGGTCGGTTGGGATGGGTCATCGTAGTGCCCGACGTTGGTGACAACGTTCAAGATGCGCCTGGGCATGTTGCGCTCACGGACAGGGAGTGCCATGCGATGTCAATCTAGTCTGCACCGGACTTGGCACTTCCGAAACCTGATATGCCGAGGAGACAAGACGTTGGAGTATTGGAAGAGAGCATCTAATCCCGAAGACTGCGTGATATGGAACTATAGGTCAGTCGATAACCCGAGGTGGGAACAAGGCCAATCACATGTGGCGCACACGGAGCAACAAACTATCCGCCACAGTCCCAATGCGGGCCCACGCCAAACTCAATCTTACCCAGCTCTCGGTGGATCCTACTTTCCTCCCAAACAGTTTGCCTCGCTAGGAGACTCTCACGTTCGTCATGTCTCTTTCAGGCTAACAATTGAGCCGTATGTACAATCGCCGTAGCTTACAGTACATCCACAAATTTACGAACACGCCCGAACACTGGCGTTGCATGAACTATGTATTAAAAATATGTATAAAAATTGGAATTCCACACCTACGACCGAGACTTTGGCTGCCATCCCGTTCTTCCAAACCCCAATCTCAAAGCTATGGAATTGGATTCGCTCGCATTCTATTTCAAGTTGCGCGTTGTGAGGTGGCTGACAGGGCTTCTTGCTTGGCTGGATCGAAAAAGACATCTCGCTTCATCACTTACTCCGAGTTCCCGGGCATCCATCCCATCGACTCTATCCACATCACCCGGCAAATTCGATGTTTTCTGGTATTACCCATCTGGCTACACCCAAGAGACCGTGAAAGAAGCACAATACCCTATCGTCGTAGTCCTTCATGGAGGCGGGTGGTGTCTCGGGCATGCCCGCCATGACGAACGTTTCATTGCTACGCTTGTAGCGCGCGGTGTCGTCGTTGGAGCGGTCAACTATCGCCTCGCACCTGAGCATCCCTATCCTGCTCCCCTGGCTGATTGTCTCGATGCCATACTCTACGTCTGGAAAAACGCTACCATCATGGGGCTAGACAAACACCGTACTTTCATCACAGGCTTCAGTGTTGGTGGTCAGATAGCATTTGCATCGCTATTCATGCTGTGGAAAGCACTGCAGGATAGTGATCCACGGATTGATCCTGCAGCACTAGGTACCGTGAAGGGTATAACTGCGTTTTATCCGCCAATGGATCTGACAAAAACCCGTCCTGAGAGGGCTGCCTCCAATCCGGCGTTTGTTGCCCTTAAGAAGAAACCAGTGTCCTCTTCCACGCTCATCGGTGACATTTTTGACCAGGCGTACTTTTGGAAGCTGCAGGAAAAGCCCGATAAAAGCCAATTATACCTTTCTCCGGGGCTTGCTCCTCCAGACGTGATCAAGATGGCATTACCGGAGCGGATATTCATTAAGCTTGCTGGCTTGGATCCCTTGTTGGCTGAGGGTAAAGCTGCAGCTACGCGACTCAAGGAGTTGGGAAAGCAGGTTAGCTGCGAGACGACTGAGAATGTACCGCACTATTGGGACCATTTAGCGAAGACAGAGTGTGAGAAAAGGCTCCGGCACACGGTTCACGAAAAGGCAGCGGACGAGATTGAAGAGGTTCTAGAGATCAGAAGAAACCTGTAGCCGCCTTTCTACAGATGCAATGGGACGGAACTGTTCGATTGCACGGTGTTAAACGATACCTAGATTTGAGTTTCATTTTGCGTTCCTCCTGTTTATATATACCTGTTTATATAACTTACCTTCTCGGTTCGAGGATGTCAAATCAGATACTCGTTCCGCGAGCACCACAAAAGTTATGCAGTGGCTGGCGACCATTATCTAGCTGTCAACTGGCCTGATAGTACTCCCGCAGAGCAGCACTAATTCCATGAGCAGTGATAATTGTCTCCTTTTCGTGAACATGGATGAGATATCGGTATCAAAGACAGCTTAGTGTTGTCATGTAAATTTAGGCTACCCTTAAACCCTCGTTAGCTCAACCAATAAACTTTTTAAGAAAACGAAGTTGTCTATCCAGATTGTCTTGAAAGCCAAGACCTCCTTCAAATAGGTCGAAGTGGCCTCCGTCGACCCTGAACTCCATCACTCGATCCGAAATGAAGGTAGTCAAAGGTCAATGCTGCATATCCAGATGATGCGAATGCAGTCGCGAAGAGCCTCAACCCAGCGGCCTGAATGGCCACCATGCCTTGACACATGACAATAACTGGAGCTGTGTCATTTGACTCTGTTGACGGAAGGTAGAGTGAAACAGCGATCCCATGATGGAGGCGAGAGCTCGGGATACGAAAAGAATCAGGAGGGTCCATGATGGAAACGTGAGGTTGGTGATATTTTCTTCAAGAAGGAAAGTTAAAAAGAAGGAAAAAAAAATTCAACCTCAAAGCCCCGAGGGCGGGAGACTTTGATGTTTTTAACTTTCATCTTCGAATGCTTTGGGCAGGGCATTTTATCAAGAGCGTCGCTTCCTTACGTCACAAGATGGACAGGAAATTGGGTAACTAGTAACTAATTGCTCAAGCTCCGAGTAAATTGTGGTTGATAGTTCTTCACATGATTGGATTTTGAGGATCGGTTGGCGGCTTCAGATGTTGGATTGGTTCTCGGACCGAAGAAGACGAGCTTCGGGATCGGAGCTTTGACTGCAACCGACCGAGGTTTTCTGAGGGTGGCCCGATGTGCCCCCGCCTCCACTTAGGGATATTCATTATCCTGCTTTGCCTCTTTTGCCGCTTTTGCCCTCGAGAATATCCCGAGTTGCTAGACATCAGAGGGAACTAAAAATAAAGTAGAGTTCATCGCAAATACCGAGGCACAATCCTGATGGCGAGGGTGACGGGCGCTATACGATAGCAGAATTGAGCACATAAGAGGTTCCATCCTTTTGGAATGATTGACAGCTGATAATGGATATGAAATCGAGACTAAAATACAACGGAAGCCCCGGTCCAGGTCGAAATAGAAATAGAAATACAAGTACAAAGATGAGATTCCCAAAGAAAGAGTTGCGAAGCCAGACAAACTCAAGGACACTGGAAGGCAGGATCGAAGCAATTTTTCTATATGTTGATAGTTTTGTCTCATAAGACGGGCCTAGTGCGATAAGCTCTGGGCACGTTTCCAGGACCGATAATGGTCCGCCAAGGTCTCCTCCAGAGGCCGGTAGATTATCTTCAACTGGTCCAAGCTGAGACGATTGTCGATGTCGAAAGGGATCCCCAGGTTCAGCCTCAGCCATTTTTGACTTAATCCGAGCACTGGTCCAGACATCCGCACCAAGGTATTCGGGAGTTTATTTTTCGGAATCCAGCAAGATTGAGTGATAGATCGTAGAATGCGAGCAACTTCCACAAAACTGTATGTTCTGCTGTCGGCCAGGATATAGCGGCCTTCAGAATCCGGAATCTGGGCAGCTTGAATATGGGCAGTTGCGACCTCTCGCACATCAACAATTGCAAACCACATATCTGGTACACCGAGAAAAAGCTGACCGCGAAGGAGCTGGTCAAGTAAAGACAGGCTGCCAGATTCGGATGTTGGAGACAAGGACGGGCCTAAGACGAGCCCAGGGTTGATAGTTACCAGCTTCCAGCGTGGGGGGCTTGGCTGCGCTTTGTATAGCTTCCAAGCCTCTTTCTCAGCGGCCACCTTGGAATAGGGGTAGGAGTTGTAGTTGACGGTGCTGGTTGTGTTGAAATACTCGGAGGAGAGTGTTTTGTCCTTCATTCCTAGTACATCGGCATTGTCGCCAAAAACAGCCGCCACTGACGATGTCAAGACAACAACCTTGACAGTCTCACATTTCTGAACTGCATCAAGCACATGCTGTGTTCCTTTGAGAGCCGGCTCAACAACCTCTTTCTGCCCGTCACGGATTCTGTTCTCGATGAAAAAGGGCGAGGCAATATGATATACTACCGAACAGCCCTTCATGGGAGCTTCAAACGAGCCAGCCATGAGCAAATCTGCCTCGAACAAAATCAGCTTGCCGGGCCATCGCTTCTGCATATCAAGGAGGTGCTTGATCTTCTTTCCGTTTTTGGTACTGCGAACGGTAGCGTGGACCGTATGGCCCTTTTCCAGCAGCTGCTGAACAACGTGGCTAGCGATAAACCCGCTCGCACCCGTCACAAGAGATATATTCTCTGCCATGGTCGGATATTATTGGAATGTTGCGCCCACTAAAAAAGCAAGTTTCGATTATACCGAAAGTTCTGCTCTTGCAGTACTTCCCTTCCCTTTATAGTTTTTCCCTCGTTTTCTCAGAGTGGGTCATAGGGATGAGGACGAAATACTTACCGACTCACGTTAGCAACACCGCTATAAAGGAAAAGGAACATGTGGATCCTTTCAAATTACTCCTAAGATCTGGCTAAAGACTCTACATTCTACTACAAATCATTCTCTCTACTTGAGATCATAGGGCAGTATTTGTCATTAGTACATTGCATGGCTGACAAAAAGGGTTAGGATCGGGTTACTAGTTTCCCCGACTCCGTTTCTTCGGCCCACCAGAAAGCTTAAGTAGGCCCTTGGTGGCAATCCTTAATTCATCTCCAATGTGTAAGGTAAATTTGGTCCTCATTCCAAACCCAGAGTGCCAAGTAGACATAGGACTGAGCAGATCCAGTCCGGCAGAAACAGTAGATCCAAATGCGATGTGATGATCAATATAAAGAACGGTCTAAGTCTACTCTAGATATAAGAGGTAACCCGAGAAAGCTCTGTAGGCCGCACGTGTTGAGAGGCTTTGCAGGAATTCATGTTACCATTTTCTCTCACAACCCGAATGAAACTAAAGATCCTGAGCTTTACTACCAATCTGCCTAATTCCAGCCGTGGAGGCCTTTGCGACACAGATTAATGGACACATATCTCTCATCTGAACTGTTTCGGGCAGAACCGTTTCTTCGAGTTTAGGTAGTTATGTCGGCCTCCCTAAACTTGACTAGACTCCTTTTCCTTACCTTCACCAGCTAGTCACGAATGACACCTGGTTCCTGACATGAGTGCATAGGAATGCGTAGTTTTCCACTCTGATGTGATAGAACTATTGAGCCTATTCGACAGTTGGCACTACAAAATGCTAATACAAATTCGCTAGATGATCTATGCTTATTCCGAGTGAAGTTAGATCATAGGACGGACGTTCGAAAAAGAGATTTCAGCCTCCATGTTACCCCCCTCCCCGCCCCCCAAAAAACCAAAGCTCGTTATCAAAGAAGTCGCCCATTATGTCGCCATCGCCCATCGACTCTTGCATGCTTCTTAACCTGAGGCCAACGCCTATGGTGGATGTGTAAGAAGTCCAGCGGCTATGCGGTGAATTTGAGCACGGAAGTATTGCTAGGTAATGTCAGAACCGATGTGGGGAAGACAAGGTATAATCAATAGGTAACCCACTGTTTCTGCTCCTCCGCCTAGCATTTTGATTCGGAGCAGCCTCGCCAAGAATGGGATTGGAACTTTAGGAAACACCACACCGGCTTCATGATCGGAGTATGTATCATCCATTATGAGTCGTGGGAAGTCGGGGCAGAGAACTGCTGGGCGGCCGATGCCCACGAGGTCGCATACGCCACCCTTCAACGCGGCATTGATTCCCTTGCGAGTTCGAAATCCTCCTGTGAGCAGAAGAATGAGGTTTGGGAACCGCTTCCTTGTTTCTGCCGCAAAATCTAAGAAGAAGGCCTCTCGAGATTCTGTATATTGACTCTTGGCATTGCTAGTTTCGTCTCGCAGCCCACGGCCCATCATCTGGATGAGATAGACATTGTCAGCGCATTCATATAAGTGTCCAGTTACTGGTATCTTTTGGTAATATAGGTGGGTAAAGGTGAATATGCGAACCAGTCAACACTGGTTTGTGCTTCTGAACTGGAAAGTCAAGGGAAGAGAAATATCATATACTATACGTACTGTTGGGTCTTCATAAGATCCGCCAGATATTTCAAGAAAGTCCACACCAGCATCATTAAAGAGCTGAATTTGAGTCATTATATCTTCAAAGTGCGATGCATTATGATCGGCAGAATTCAGCTTGATCCCGACGCAGAAGCTTGCAGGAACCACGCTTCGAATTTGGTGGATGATTTCGAGAATAATACGAGCTCGCCGCTCAGCGCTACCACCATAATCGTCTTGACGAGCATTGCTCTATGGGTTTTTTGTCGCATATTAGTTACACTGTGGTTCCGCTGGCTGGTACAATTGTCTTGCTTACCCGTGGCGAGAGGAATTGCGCTATATCCACATTTCAGTGAAAGCCCAATGAGACTGACTTATCAAGAGATGCAGGACTTACACAGAAGATAACCGTGTGCCGCATGTATTTCAATGCCGCTAAAGCCGCATTGTGCCAAAATACGGGCACAATTTACGAACTGGGAGATGACATGATCAATATCAGCATGGGACATAGCTTTCGGAACCCCGAAAACGATGTCCCTGACGACGGTTGCAGCCAACCCACTTCCGATATGGAGGGGAACCTCACTCGGCGCAATGGGTTTCCTAAAAAGACCCCGTTCACCTGCACCTCTCGGGGACTGGCGGCCAGGGTGGCATATCTGAGCAATCGCGGGCGTACCATGTTGTTGACAGGTATCTGCATATTTCTTCCAAGCATCCAATGACTGGCGCTCGTCTTCTCGATACTCACGTGTAACCAGGTCACCGTAGCCACCTAGATGGCGAACGTCGACCTGTACATTTCCTTTTCGCATCATTAGATTCAATGCGAGGATCTACTAGGGGAAGTCATTCAGTGTTGTCATACCCGTGAGAAGGGCTCCCCATCCGCCCTTTGCCCATTCGCCGTAGACCCGAGAGACCCGCGTCCCTGGCGAATGCCCTTTGTCTGCCAGCCCCTCAGCCATTGCAGCCTAAGAAAAGGCCATCAGCTAATATTACCAAATAGAATCTGGTTGCATTTTGCCTCACCTTCACCAAGCGGTTGGGCAGAACTAAACCACATGGTAGTTTGAGTGGTTCTTTGATATCTGATCCCATCATTGAACAATAAGCGTTTCAACAGACAGGGCGTTCTTGTCGCTTTTCTGTATAAATACAAGACCGAATAAATACGATCCTATTATAACTACTGGTTTATTCTCGGTAGATATTAGATATTAAGGATCAAATAAAGAAGCCTGCACCCAGGGAATGTGGAGACTTAGGAACCGCTTCCGAGGTTGCTATCAGACAGGTGTGTGTTCCCCATATGCCTCGGTGAAGAAATGATGTGGGACATGATCTCGAATAATTGCAACCTTGGGCGATGGATTGCTCATCAGCACATGTCATACCTGTGCCTAGGACATCCTTTGCCCCGAATAGTTGATCTACATCACGCCAGACTCTAAGGGTCAAGGAGACAGTCGATCACCACTCCAACATGCAATTTCAAAAGCTGTCAACTTTGGTTCCTAGTAGAAGATACCGGAAAAGGAGCGATGCTTTGGCGTACATAGAAGCTTCCGCACGTCATAACCTGAAAGAGGCGGGCTGCATTAATAGGCACCATTTGGGGTTTGGGTCCACACAAACCTTATCAGGACATTCGGGCCAACAATCTATCCGCACATACAAGATGTGGATGTGCAGATGTAGACACGCCGAGTGCTGTGCGGGAATTGAAGATAGTCCAATGAACCGCAATACCATTGTAGGATTGCCAATTTGCCATGTGTAGTCCTCTAGCAACATCATCTAATCAGGCCTACTTCACAAAAGCCACTCACACAGCGTCGGGGAATATAAGTCACCTCAATAAGAATATATCAATCCACAATCATGTTTTTAACCCCGATTGTTAATATATTTTCGTTCCAATGAAGGATGTAAACTATGACTGATCTTTTGCGCCCCTCCATCTTCACCTAGTACCTTTCCATCTTCATCACCGTTACGCTTCGTTACGACTATCACTATTGCTAGTCGGATCTATTAGACGTTCATAAAATGAATTTGTTGGACTGTTGAAGATAATTCGTCAAAGGGCAACGACGTTCCATCACATACCTTTCCAGTCCTATGCCCACCACAAGCCTCGGCCGGGGGCCATATGCTAGAGTTGCACTTGGTCGAGTTCGGCAGTTCGCCTTTGAATCAGCCAAGACCATTAGCGAAGCACGTGCTGTGATCGTCCATAGACACAAACAGCTTTCGGGAAAGCTTCTCTCCGTCGGCATCATTACACCCCGATGCAAGGCGAAAATTGTGGTCAGCACCTTTTCGTTCGATCACGGACGTCGACTTAATAGAAATTATCGGCTGTTTAATCTCATGGGCTGGTGCGAGTTGTTAATACAGCGTGAGTATTTCGACTTATGCGAAAATGCCTAACGAACAGGAGTATGACTTGGTCTTGCTAGGTGCGACTGGCTACACGGGCAAGCTTACTGCACAGTATATATTCACATCGTTGCCGCTTGATCTAAAATGGGCAATTGCTGGAAGAAACAAGCAAAAGCTCCGAGCGCTTGTACAGACTTTAGCGTCGAAAAACTCATCTAGACAACCACCTGGTTTGTGGACATCAGGTTCCTTCTACCTCTGCAATGGCTGATACCTTGCTAAGATACCGTCATCGTGAACCTGAACAAGAATGAGCTCGATTGCTTGGCAAAGAAGACGCGATTAGTTATATCAACTGTCGGTCCATTTCAACTTTATGGCTCTGATACATTTGCTGCCTGTGCTAGAAACGGCACACATTACCTGGACTGGTTAGTCCTCGATGCAGGTTAAGTGAAAAACCAAACTGACAATTTAACTATAGCAATGGAGAAGCTGCCTGGTTGAAGGATATGATTCACCAGCACGATACAGTTGCGAGGGAAAATGGCAGCATTGTACAGATCCCGTGAAATTCATAACGAGAGGAGTTTTGAGCTGACTACGACCAGATGATCCCTTGTTGTGGCTTTGACTGTGTACCATCCGATCTCTTGACTTGGGTTGCTGCAAATTACGTCTCTCGCCATTTCGCCAAGCAGATTGGACGTGTTGATGTTTGTATCTACAGTATCCAGGGCGGAATAAGTGGCGGAACGTTAGCGTCCGTTCTGCAAGCATTTGAGCTACACAGTCTTCGACATCTCTATAATGCCCACGCCCCTTTTTCTCTATCGCCAAAGCGTCCCACTCCAACAGTATCACCAAAAAAGACCAGTCTTTGGACTAAGATTTTTGGACTGCTGTGGATCAAAGGGTTAGGCTGGATGGCCTATCAGCCACAGGGCCCAGTTGATCGCGCGATTGTTCATCGGTCCTGGGGACTCTTAGAATCTACGTCTGCTTCATATGGGCACAATTTCGATTTTCACGCTTGGCTCAAGATCTGGGGACCTCTGGCTGCGATATTATGGCACTTTGGAGGACTGATGATCGCACCGCTGATTCTACTACGAGCTGTTCGGAAAATCCTTCCCAGACTTTGGTATCAGCCTGGGGAAGGTGCAAGCGAAGGCAAAATGGAGAAGAATTGGTTTGAGCATCGAGGTGTCGCGGAGGCCGACACTCCGATACAACCGAAACCCAAGGCATTCGTTCGTATGCGCTACGAGAGCGATCCTTACATGTTTACAGCTGTTGCTCTTGGAGAAGCAGCCCGAATTGTTCTTTGGCAGCGAGATACCTGGGCGCATAAGCTTGGAGGCGGAGTGCTGACGCCCGCAACCTTAGGCCATCGCTTTGTATCTCAACTGCGAGCTTCCGGTGTGACCATTGAAGTTCAGAGTGATAATTCACCAGATAAGGGAGCCTGAATGGACAAAGTTAATTAGGCACGAGCAGGGCCTCGTTTGCCAAGAGGTCGAATAGGAGCTGTCGACCTCCCTTGCGTAGTTTCTTTCTCGTATTGCTCCGTCCCGACCTCATCGAGACCAAGTGGAAACGAGCGTGCAACCACTCGTGTGACTCACCGTTTGCATTGGCCAGTAAGTTCATTCATGATACCCAAAAAAAAAGCCACTGATCACCTGACTTCGTGTCGCTTTCGCGTCCCAGCGCACGGTCGTCGGATATTGACTTTGGCAGCCTGCTTGGCGAGCTTGTCGCCTGCAGATAAGATTTGGCGGCTTGAAACTACGGTGTGCTGCCTGAGGCGAGGATGTAGTTATAAAAGATGCAGAATATCCCTCGTCTTGGTCCTCTTGTTTCTGTTCAATCTAAGCTCTAAGACACCGTTATACTACAAATTTGAGCCCAGGCGTCGACAATATCTTTTCTGGCATAATGGCCGCTGCCCAAGTATAGTTTCTTTCCTCATCCTTGCCAGCCGTCGTGAACTCACGTACAAAGCAGGTAGTTACCCCGGCAGAATATCGCGCTGCGCGTCTAAGTCTCCTCGCCAAAGAAAAAGAGGCTACGCGTGTCAAGGATGCGCTTGCCGCAGAACGTCGTTCGCTTCCTATCGTCGAAGTGACAAAGGGCTACAACTTCACTGTCCTCTGCCCAAAAGATGGACAGACGAAGGAAGTTACCCTCTTGGACCTCTTCGCTGGCCGCCGCCAGCTGATCGTCTACCACTTCATGTTTGATCCTTCCTGGGAAGCAGGCTGCACTGGTTGTACGCTTCTGTGTGACGCGTTCCCTACGCTAGAACACCTCCACTCCCGCTCAACCACTGCCGTCGCTGTATCCCGTGCTCCAGTTGAAAAGCTTGAAGCGTACAAGAAACGCATGGGCTGGACTTTCCCCTGGATCTCGTCCCTTGGTAGCGACTTTAACTATGACATGCATGTGACCCAAGATGAGGCAGTTTGCGAGGTTGACTACAACTTCAAGAATAAGGACGAGCTACTCAAGCTCCCCATAGAGGACATCACTAAAGGGGAGCAGCCGGGAACTAGTGTTTTCTACAGAGGCGATGGAAAAATTGGCGAAGAGGGAAAGATCTACCACACGTATTCGACATACGCGCGCGGTAGTGAGAATCTGATCAATACCTTTGACTGGTTGGACTTAACACCTCTTGGGAGGCAGGATGGAGAAACAGGAGTTGGTGGTATCGGATTTCGGCGCAAGGATGAATACTCTGAGGAGGAACTGAGAGGACTGCACTGATCACGGGTATCGCCTGACCAAGGAAGGAATAACGCCTGCACTATACTTTGGCGTCGAGAAATTGATGAACACTAAGCCCAGAACGGGTCGTCTGATTGACAGATTACTCGCTGCTGTTTTAAGCCCTATTCAACATAGCGTGCTTTTTCCTCCTCTCGTTGGCTCTACTCCAGTCCTCTCTTTTTGTGGAAACCCAGATACTCTCAATATTAGTGGTGCGATTGATGAAACTGTCTTCTGTTTTAATCTGTCCTTCGGGTAAAGATTGCCCCGGAGTTGGGTCCTTTGCCCTGTGCTAATCTCGACTTGATTCTTAATTGACGCTAGATTGAGGTGCAGGCATGTAGCCAGCTTAACTTTTGCTTGAACAATTCTGCAAATTGATTGAGTTGACGTTTCATCAAATTGCCATTAAGCACAAGTAAGTTTCCTTGCAAATGTCTGACTGATACAATGTTCTAGACAGTGGGTGTCACCGCGTGCACTGGAGTGCCTCAAAGAGGCCAGAATCCCTTTCTTTGCGACCCGGGAGATATTTCTGATTACCTCTAAGGCTCTACATTGCCTTTTCAATCTTAACCCAAGTGCAAAAGCCACTGTTGTTTGTGGTCCTTTGAAAGGATGCTGGCAGGTCGAGTAGCTTGACACGTGGATGGACTGTCCATCACTACACCGCTGGTTAACTGCTGTTGGAGCGCCTAGCGAGGAGATATTTATACCAGCTTTTTGGCTAGGTTGTTCGTGTCAAGCGTGGCCTGTGTCCGATGGCTTGCATTGGTTTCTGAAGCTTCCATGCACACCCACTCCAATAGCCTGGAAATAAACCATAAGACTGTTGAGAATGGAAGGGCTCTGAAACCACCTGTCATAAAACCTAGTCAATGGTTGGATGAGATGATCAACCTTTGCTGGGATGAGTTCCAGACTTTGATTATAACTTCCAGCATCATAAGAACCACCGTTCATATCATAAAATAAAAAAAATAAAAAAACCCTAGCAAAAAAAGAAGGGCTCAAAATGCCAATTTGCGAGAACGGTTCCATATCCCTGGAAGCCGGATTCACTGCTAAGACTCTTCCATTGTCTCTTTAGTGATGCCAAGTTACGCTAATATACATCAAAAATATCTTAATCTAGTGGATTTTGCAGGTAGAGGACTTATATGGTATTTGAATGTTGGACGAGATACCTAATCCGGCTTGCAAAAGGATCTCCTTTCATGCCACGCGGTTTCCATTCCCCGAATGCTTAATCACGTTCTCCCAATTAATGAAATCTAAGACTTGCTGTCTTTCCTGAGAAGTGGGACTGGCCTCCAGAGTATCCCCAAACATAGGCTGCAGAATGAACCTGGCAAAGTGACATATCATTTTCAGATCCTGCACATTTAGATCTTCCCCATTTTCACGAAGGACCAGGACATTACCAATGTCTCTGTTCCAATAGTCAGGTGCCCAGCCCCATTCTGGCTTAGAAGGACAAGTTTCCATCATCAGAAAAGCGGCATTTGGATTACTATCGGGTGTCATGTCTCCAGTCGGCCATCCTGGAGGGTCAAGCCAAAATTCGCAACCAGGATCTTTCCACAACTTCAGGGGCATGCCAAGGCAAGAAGAAATCGGCGATATATTCCCGTTGCCGAGGGCAATTCGTGTGGCCCTGGTGAAGTCGACAGAAACGAACTCGTCCGTCCCATGAAGTTTGACTTCACCGTAGCAGCAGATTTTTACACCACGGATCATTAACGGGGCGCGAATATCGTGAATTAGATCACTCTCCCGGACTTGTGTCGATCGGTAACTCACTAGATAATCAATGAGATGTCGAAAGTCTGCTAGCGTGATATCACCGTACGATTCACGCGGAAGCTGGTGTACTGCAACCATAGGCCCTCGGTAATGATGCGGGAGTGTACCTGATGACCCGACCGATATTGAAATACTACCATTGCTAATTGACCCGTCTAATAAGTAGGCATCTCTGTGTACCAAGGAGACACAGTAACCCATCTGAGATGAAGCCCAGAAAGCGAACCCAGACCCGAGGTTTCTGTTTCGTACTGGGTTGTGTTCGACTCGCAATGTTCCTTTAATGGGACTGTCGGTTCCGAGGTAAGGATATAAATCGATTTCTGTCCAAGTCGCACCATCTCCGTCAGTTTTGCGTTTAGGTGGCACCCAAATCAATTGCGGCTTCACTGGTTCCACTGCGAAGAATATTGCTAGTTTGTGCTCAGTGGATGGTCGGAGGGGCTTGGTAGAGAACTGTTTGCAGAGTAACTTGTGGGAAGGAAAGTCACTTTTTTGGCACTCTCGGGAACAGTAGTATGAACTCTGACACTGTGAGCACCGTCGAGCTGGCTTCAAGTTACACATAACGCAGGAATCTTGTGGCTCAAATAACTCAAGCGAGTGACCTGTCGGCCGCGGAGGTAAATCAAGCCCTGCACTATTTTCATGATACATTCAGTCCAAACATATAATGCCTACCAAATACGTACATTATGAACTTACCTGGTCAAAAATTCGTGCCGCCGGGTTTCTTCTTGATGTCTAGAGAGCTTCAAATTCTCCTCCATATTCAGCCAGGCATCTAGTGTAAGTCTCGAGAAGTCCGAAACAACGCTGGATTGAGGGGTTGGTTCAGGGAAACTGATCTTGTCACCTTCCATGAAACCTTTGAGGATTGATCTGATACGCAGCAAAAGTTGACCCTCTAGGGTTCGCATAGCATTTTTCATTGTGCTTGATCTCGAATCTGGTAAGCCCCAGGCAGGATAGCAAATACCATGTCTCCCTCGCGTGGAAATTGGCCTTGGCAAAGCACCGAGAAAAGTTTCACATAGTAAACAGGTCTTTTTGCTGCATCCGAAGTAGTCTATTGTTGGTATGAGTGCATCGGCCTCGTAGTGAGATATAAGCTGCATCTCAGCATGCAGGCAAAATGAATCTAGGCAAGCTTCTTTGAAATTGTCCCGGAATGGAATGATCATTTTAGTCTCGAAATCAGATACTTGGGCAAATCCCAGTTGGGACCAGGCCGCGGATATGGAAACGCGGTATTCCGGATGAACCCCTATCTTTGGTTTGGGAGAAACCAATGAGGTCCGGACGTTCTGGAAGTGCGGCTCCCGGGTAGCTATCGACCGCAAAAGTCTGCAATCTATCAATGGCCTGGCAACGAATCTCAAACTGTTCCAAAGCTTCGAACTAGCCGTGGTGCCAAAGGCGTCTTGGAGCCAGGTTTGGAGTTCAGTTGAGATGATGCATCTATAGGCTTGCTGAACTATAGAAACTCTGACCTCGCCGATATCGACATCGTCCAGTTGTCGTATGAAATCGGTCATCTTTGTCCAAGGGCCGCCAGCCAATTGAGCTCCAGGTAAACGTTGCTCCCCTCGATTACAGTGGCTTCGGTGTGTCTTCCAAAATGTCCGGACCTTAGCAATCCAATAATCGACACGGCGGTGCGTATATTGTATTGAATTACGCTCAAACTCGGTCGCGAGCACCGCAGGGCTGCCCGCATCTATTATGCACCAGTAAGGATTCAGAATATCGAACGGTCTTAATATGTTGGGTGAGAGTATCATATATAAGCCCTTACCGTGAGCAGAAGTGAACAAATATTGCTCCAGGCTTCTGCAATATCGTGTAACCTCGTAATCGGGAACGTTCATATTGATAAGAAAGCAATCGTTCCGTGCAATGTCCACCTCAATGTAGCTTTCCCATTCGCGTAGCGCTGTTGCGGTGACACCTGCCCATCCCTTAGATGGTGAGAGTAGCTGGGCGATACTGTCCAAAAACTTTCGGCACACAGACTCTCTGGGTCCAGCCATAACCACTGCCTTTTCGGTTTCATAATCCGTTTCACAATCCTCGAATTCCTCTGTATCAGCACTGTGCTGTGATATCTTCGCATGACTTCGACTACTGGTGATGTAGAAGAGGATGTGCGCCGCCCAAATAATGTGGGCCACACGCTCCTTGTGAGCCATGTCTGTTCCTTTTCGCGGATGTTCCATCAGGAATAACGTGCAGTGACTACAGATTGATCGATGAGAAATGGCTTAATAGGTACCAGATCATTCTGTTGAAGACTGGAGGGAAGCAGGTACAAGACGATATTGCCAGACCATCAGAACGGCGCGTTGTTTGGACTTACGGCATGAAAATTTCTATGCGATTCTATGGGAGCGGGGGCAACTAACGAGATGTAGACTAGCGTAGTTCAGGATAGGGTTGGAGAAACAAGGTGTGAGTGTATACAGGGAATCTGTTTTCGCATATGGCAGTACAAGCTAAAACTGCTATAACGAATAATTAGTTCCAGGGATGACCTACCGAATATACATACTAGAGGTCCATAGTACCAGACTGTCTCTCCACAGCAAAGGGAACGAACCTGCAGCCATCCAGGTCAATAGACACGGCTCTAATTCCTAGTGCTTCTTGGGTATTATTCGTGCTCCATTCTTCAGTGCTCCAACGGTAGTCCCGGACTGGGACTTCCATTGTGTCCCTAGCAGAGATGGGGATGTCCCTAGGAATTCCGACAAGGGCTCAATGAATACCTTCATCAAATCGGCCAAAATGAGAGTGACCTATGCGCTTGTGGCACCGAGTTTGAGACAGTACCGCACTTACTGCTACAGTGTGCGCAATGGAATGAACAACACCGTGGCCTAACAGAACCCGCGGGGTTTTGGATTTGGTAATTTGTCCTACATGTTGGGCGGTATGCCAGACGAGGTGGGCAGAGCAGAGGATCCTCGGACAGGACCTTGGAAACCTGACATTAAAGTGGTTAAGCCAATCATAGGATTAGCGATGGAGATGAAGCAGTTGGCGAGCGAAAAGGAAAGGAAGAGCGGCGTGGCAGGAAGCCAATCGGATGTAAATAGATGTTGCCGTGCACACAAGGCTGCACACGACCTAAGGTTGTGAAAAGTTTGAGGAATAATAATAATCCTAATTCCCACAGATCGTCCACAAGTTGTATCAGCGGGCCTGTTACATCCCAGATAACACAAACCAGCACTTGAGACCATGGCCCTCATCTGTCTCATTTCTACCCACGACGTACCCCCAGCGGTAAAGAACCGGCGCTGCCCTACAAATGATCGATCCTATCTAACACAGCATATTAGACCCTCTCACGCATCTTAATTACTGCATACAAGCATTCTGTCCAGCTTGATGGATATCCAACACTTCTCCTCCTCTCCTCGGCCAAAAAAGAATCTCTCACCGGGTCTTTACACCCAACTTCTCCCCCTATAGATCCATCAGTCAAATCATCCTTCATTGGTTGGAGCGCCGAACAAATCAAACAACATCTCATCGACAATGCGGACGACGACCGGATAAATACTCACCTTTTCTTAGTGGCAGATGAAAGAACTGTGCACGACGAGACCTTGCTGCTCGTGGAGTATTCCAGCGATGGCGAGGAGGCAAGGCTAGATACCGTGCGTATTGCTGCGGAGGAGGCCAATGCAAAGGCAATCTGTGTTGATGTCGGCGTCATGAGTGTTAGGGAGCTGTCTGGGGATATCGATGTGGATGGTGCTTATCGGCCGAGGTCGACGCCGCAGAGGGGTGGATCTGCGCCTCGCAAACAGCTCTAGGGTTTTGATGGGCTTTTCGCGATCGCAGCTAACGGTCTCAAATTGTCCATGGACCCAAACTCGTGATATGAGCCTAGACGCAAATAGAGCGAAAATGGAGACCGAATAACACTATTTTTGTCCGTTTTACGTTCTTCTGCCTACGTTCAGTTCCTGGAGTCAAGGTGGAATATGCAGCCCAATGAAAAATAACTAGATAAAATGCTAAATACGGATCTGCTTTTCTTTAAACAGCATTCCACTCCCGATACCACCGTGCCGCCGTTTTGAGAACGAGTCCACTTGCAACTACATCTGGACACCGAGCCAGGGTGTCACTCTCGCGCTGAGCTTTGGTCGTATCGAACTGTATATCTCGTTCCACTCGATTCGTCCCAGATCCCCAACGACTCTTCCAGAAATCCAGCAGTTTGATACTCGGATTAGTCCGCGGGTCCTGGTCACTCCTTTCCAGGCGAGTGAGCCATTCGCTGACAGGCGATACGGCAAATGTGAATCCAGCCTGGCGAAGGGCAGGTAGGAAGTCATTCGTCCAAGAGAAGGCGCGCGGATGGAGTACGTTGAAGAACCGGGCTCCCCGCACTGTATTTTCGTCCGTGGTAGGATTCTTGAAGATTAATTCACAAATCGTCCGTGCGCAATCATCGACTGGAAGCCATCTACACTCTTCTCCTTTCAGATCTGGGAGGAGGTGGATCTCGTTTACGGATCGTGCCATGAGAGGGATTGCTTCGTTGGCGTTCCAGATATGGGCTTGTGTGTCTGCGACAATCTGGCCGATTCGCGCGACTATCGTGTCCGCTCCCGCTTGCGTGGCTGCGTTGTTGAGGATGTGTTCGGCGCAGAGTTTGGACTGGCCATACCCGGTTGGTTGTGCATGTTGCAGTTGACTGATGAGGGATTCGGGGATAGTCGCCGGAGCTGGGGTGGAAAGAGCGGTGGAGATGGACGAGCAGAAGAGCACCGTTGCGGGGGGTTTACAGACCTGAATGGAGAGGTTGAGAAGCTGCTGGAGCGACGAAAGTTGGGGACTGAAGCTCCCCAGCGTCAGGTTGAAATCCACGGGCCAGGCCGCATGGATAATTTCTGTAGTAGACCGCAAAATCTCCTGATGTTTCTCCAATGTTTTGCCGAAGTTCGCATGACCGAGATCTCCAGGTAGAGCGATTACCTTTGAAAACGCGTCTGGTGTGACATCGATCTCACGTGTACGAAGGGATTCCAAAATGCGCTTCCTTGCAACCTCAGAGCTTAGATCGGAGTCGCTATCCGCAACGCGGACTAAGCAGAGAATTCTTTTGGTCGATGCAGAATTAAGGAGAATCTTCAAGATATGACAGCCCAATGAGCCTGTGACGCCCGTGAGAAGGACTGTCCTGCCGTCTGGTATGGAATATTGAGTTCGTGATGACATGGCTGGGGCCGTCGGGCTGAAGTTGGAGTACTTATCGATCAACTCTGTCATCAAATCGAAATCCGTGGGGTCACCGAGATCTTGGACATCCTTGATATACTTGGCAACCCGTGCTATTGTCACATTACGATATATCGTGTCAGCACCGAGCCTCTTGCGCCTTTCCGGCGATTCTATATAGAATCGCTTCCGGATTGTGGCTGACAGACGAACAGCTTTCAGGCTGTCCATGCCAGCGTTAAACAAATCACCATTGACATCCACAATATCCAGGCCCAGCTCTTCCCTGCAGATGGCGAGAAGCTCTTTCTCCAGATTGGGCAGGTCCGGCGTCTCGACTCCACACGCGTCTTGCTGAATTCTCTCATACATGGTGTTAATATCGCCTTCAAAAGCCAGATAGACTTTAGCGCGAATAATGGTTCCTTTGTCAGTCTGTGGGTATGGTACTCCAGCCGCGACCGGGAGAATTGCTTGCTTGCTGATCTGGGAAAACTCTTCGGCCCGTGAATTTGCATCTTCCACGACGGGCCAAATTTTGTCGATGAATTCGGCATCTGTCAAGTTTTGCGCGTTGGGACCCTTGAAAACCAACAAACCCGGGAAGTCTCGCTGGATCCCAAAGACAACTGCTTCGGTAACCAAAGGATGATCTCTGACGCAGCCCTCGATAGGAAGAGGAAGGACCTTCTCCCCGTTCACGAGGGTGATTCGATCATCCATTCGACCGACATGTTTCCAAGCATTCGGGATCGTGGGATGCGGAGAGAAGAGATCGCGTGAATGGAAAGAATTTGGTGGATCGTCTGAGTTAGATACGACTTTTGATCTGAGGCCGTCCAAGATAACTAGCTCGTGAAGCTGACGGGCGATGGGCTTCATATAAACGTAAGGCTTTACGTTGGGATAAAATCGTAGGTAGTTCCAACTGGTGTCCATTCTGGGGCGTCTCGATGTCGCTACTTGGCCACATTCGGTGGCACCAAATGTGACAATCAGATGGACGCCGCTGGTAACCAGCCGATCTCCCAGTTCATCAGGGCATGAGCTTCCTGCTACAATCACACTGCCACATCGCGCTAAAGCGCCAATGCCATCCTGCGTCTCTGCAAGGAGCTTCAATGCATAAGGGACTCCGAAGAAACTCTCTGGGCGGACATTTTCTAATGCTTCCAGGAGGTAATTCGACGCCAATGGCAGATTATGGTCGTACATATAGAGAAGACCTCCTTTGGAGATTGTGCGAAACACCGTGGCGAAACCAAAAGTATGATACAGTGGCGCAGTGAGAAAAGACCGCAAACTGTTGCCATTCTCAAAATTCTCCAGGCATGCTCGATGCGTTTGGAAAATGGGTTTGTTCAAGCCTGTTGAACCCGAGCTATGCATGATGAAGGCTGTGCGGTCGGCAGCGCCGGCAACTTTTTCGTTCCACCAATCGATTCCAGTAGTCAAGCCAGTATCGAACACATCCCTTTCTGGGGTCCGAAGGGCCTGAACGGCTCGTTGCTTTTGGATGCGCTCTACAACTTCCTCGAAATCTCGCATGTATACGAGAGTACTGCAGTTGGTGCGGTCCAGCAAGGAGACAGCGGCCTCCGTTGCGAGGCGTGGGGACAGCAGGAGCACCGCATAGCCTAACCTACACAATCCCAATAAGGAAACGAAGTATTCGAGGGTTGATTTCCCGAGGATAGCAACCACACTGACTTCGTTTCGATCGTGCCACTATGAATTGATATCCTCAGCTAAGGAGACCTAACAAGGAACAAGCAGAGATGTGACTAACCACTGGTTGTAATTGACATTGGATATAGGTTGCCGCGACCCCCTCCGCCAGTCTGTCAAGGTCTGTCGCTCGGAAGAATTCATATTCATCGTTCGACCCGGTCCGGCGGGAAGTCGGAAATGCAATTATGGGAGGTGCATCTCGGCCACCCTCGTCAGCAAGTCTCCTGATCAAATCATCGACGGTATCCAAGCGACCGAAGTGAGTGTCGTGCGAACCCATTTTTGGGTTTTCCGTTTCCTTCTCCCCACAGGCGGGGTAAGTAGCAGAATGAACCCCCAAAGAAGTTCTCTCAAAGGAAGGGAGAAAGATCAACCAAGTTGCCCACTTTATACACCGAGTCGCTAAAGCCGGAAGAGTTGCCTGTAAGAACTTAGTTTGAATGCCATTCGAGTAGTGGACTAGCCGATCGGCAACAACACTGCTCGGTGGCTGGCTGGCTGGTTGCAACTGCACACCTATGGAATCGAGAGGAAGGACCTAGACAGGGATAAATTGCAAGGATTTGTTTCGGTTCGAGGCCTCTTATCCCTACTACTGCAAGTAGTTGGTTTGAGCCGAAGGTAAGGAGGGCATACTGGCCCCCAAGTCGGGCGCGCGCCCGACTTGGGGGCCAGTATCCGTTGTTCAAAGTACTCCGGAAGTATGGAGGTCGATACCGAAAGTTTTCGGGCATCTAAAGTCAACGCTATCCCTTTAATACACTAATGGTCATTTTCCTTACATCGTCCTTCTCTTTACTGATACTCCCTTCGTGTCTAATGATTTCCTCACTATGCCTTGTAGGCGGGCGTTCAAGTCACTCTTGGATGCGGGTAATTCTTCCCACACCTAATTCCATGCCAAATTGCATCTGCCCGACTTCTGGGTGCACCCTTTTTTGTAGTATATCTCTTCACCCACGGCCAACAAAGCTCAATTGCATTAAAATCAGGGGAACTCCCAGGCCAAAGAAAGCGTTGAACCCCTGCAATATCAATTATTAGTTACACTATGATCCACGCGAGAGAACTTTTGGTATGGACCGCCGTACCCTGTAGTCCGATACAGACTGAGCGATCGACATGCGTTGGTCTGTACTCTGGATCGGAAGCGATGTTCAACCCGGTTTCTAGCGTATACCATTATCATTATTTTACAAGATGAGATCTAAGTCACCAGCCACTGAGCGTGCCTAAAAAACAGAAGTCCTCAAGTTCCACCGGTTCATCCTCATTGATTCTCCTGAGTCTTGATATCTCTGAGTTCGATCTGCTGGTGAACTTCGGTGACCACTCCGATCGCATGCCGAGATGCTTCGCTCCGCTCGTCGCTAGGGGTGCCGCATGCTTCCTCGCCATGTGCCACCGTCGTACGCATTATTCTTTCCTGCGACTGGCTGTGTTCCGGCGGCCAGGTCCCACTAGACAGCATATCGAAACCATTCTGTCCGTCCTTTAATCCACCGCCACCCATGGACCGGTAATTCTTACTTCCGTTCCCGTACTGGGTAAATTGGCTCGAATATTGTGCATAGCCAACTTTTCTCCCCCGCATCCGCTGCCAGATAGGCATCAGACTGGGTAGACATGCGACTATTACACCCACACTTCCCTCGATTGACGTCCATAACCCGGCGTATGTGTTGGAATAGGTGATGTCGTTGTCATTGATCAGCGGCAGGGTGCTAATGCGATAGAGCGCAATTGCGCAGACAAATGCGCCAAGAAGAAACACTCCAGAGATGGAGATTTTCTTGCTCAGTGAGATCTGCAGCCGCCACACGAGTGGCATCGGGAGGAAGAGTATCGCGATATCCGTGAAGGTATTGGTACTTGCAAGGGCAATGTAGAAGCTGACACTGTCCACACAATGGCCCCCTGGAATGGTCCGCTCCCAGAAGAACTTAACGGGTGTGCATTGGAAAATGGCAACCAATTGGAAGGTTATGTACCAAATTCCCAGGAATATCAACAGACCGTTGCAGACCTGCATCATTCGAGCCAAAGGGAAGATTCTTTTGTAAAACAGCAAGATTGAAACCTGGACCGTCCGACAAATTCATTAGCGAAGGGATAGAAGGAAAGCTTGCTCGCTATCCTTCTCACCTTGATCATAGGCAATGTGGTATTCCAAAACATCTGCAGGATATAAAGAACCTTTTAAAATGAGATCTGTCTCAGCAAGTGACTAACAAAGCGCCTGAAATTATGGAAACTCACAAGCATGTATCTGAGTGACTTCTCCTCTCCAACCTCCGATGCGTGTCTTCCCAGCCCAAAGTAGACGCCGACATATTCACAGACGCAATTTCCGTATGACAAGAACTAGTGCACGTTCCCTGGTCATTCGAGGTTCTGTATGATCTTTGAATGGAATTCCACTCACCAACGATGCCACGATGCAGATATCATCCAGGTACAGCCTCCCTCCAGTGCTCTGCCGGGCGTAGAGTCTCAACCCCACAGCGACAGTCGAAGTTGCGACCAAGAAACTTGTCACAATAATGATGGACCACTGCCGAGAATTGTATGGCACTCCCCCGATGTAATAGTATGTCATGATGGTCCTGTGCCAGCACGGTTACCGGCAGAAGGGAGGGAATCGTCTGCCAGGAAGACTTATAGTACACCCCTTCCTCATCTGGTGCGGTTTACCGTGGCAAAGGACGGGCGAAGGCGAGAACAAATCGAGTCATGTAACTAGCTAGCGGCTGGCTAGGATGCAACTTGGGGCCAGATGGGAACCACGCGTGCAAGTTACATGACAAATGTATCGTCAATCTTATCCAAAAAAGCTTGAGTCAACGCTGATCCATCTTGTTTGCGCCCATCTGGATCTACACCCTGGTCATTTCACCCTTGCAGTAAAAATCTTGCCGGAAAAACAGAGGCCGGCATTGATCAAATATCCCTGGCATTCGGTACTTGATCTTCTGCGGTAATTCTGTTGGAGTTCACGACCTAGCTCTGCACTCCGTTCCTCCATTTCGATTCACCATGTCCAAACAAGGGCCAGAGGCGGAGGTTATGGATAGAAAATTACCTCTGGGGTCTCACAATGATCCCAAACATCGAGGCAACATTGTTCTTGTCCCTCAGCCCTCAGACGATCCTGATGACCCCTTGGTGAGTCCTTGCATGCTTATCATTGCTGCAGTCTAGGTCTTCTGCTACTGACACAAGTGCAAGAACTGGTCGCAACGCAAGAAATATTCAATTCTGGGTATCCTTTGTCTGACGGCATTCTCGGGGCTTGCTTCGTCTTTGGCAAATCAATTAGGTCTTGGAGCCCAGGCAGAGCTGTACGACAAGTCGCTTACTGAGCTCTCGTATACGGTCTGTCTCTCACTTCTTGGCTTCTGCAGTAGCTGTATCTTGCTCATTGCTTCCCCTTGACAATGGACTGACACCAGAAGTATAGATCTCTGCAGCAGTCGCAGGTATCGCTGCCGGGCCTCTATTCATTGTCCCCTTGGCCCATGTATTTGGTCGTGCCTCCATTATATTTTGGACTTTGATAGGATGCATTTGCTGTGGGATCTGGTCGGCCCTAATGACAGGACCGAATGACTATGTGGCATTTACTCTGTCACGTCTCTTCGGTGGGATCTTTGGATCTATCCCTTCTATCCTGGGACCCCAGATGCTGATGGAACTTTTCTTCCTTCATGAGCGAGGAAGGGTCTTCACAACATTCCATATGTGCTTCCTCATGGGTACCGTTGCAGGCCCAACTTTTGGGGGCTTTGTCGTTCAGCATGTTGCGTGGCCGTTCGAATTCTGGTGGACAGTTGCACTGCAAAATGCTGTTGCTCTTCTCGGTAAGAAACTCATGAGTACTATGCAATTTCTTCTGTGCTGATGAATTTCTGCCAGTGTTCTTCTTCCTGCCTGAAATCGGCTTCACTCGAGATGGAGGCAGGGTCTACCCGAAACAGCCGGAGGGTTACGTTGCAAACAGAATCGCTACTTTCTTTCCTGGCACACGAGTTGCTCACCGTGATGGGCTTCAGGAAGCCGTGAGTAAAAATATAGATACTCACCCAATCCTGTCACTGACGTCTCCATAGCCTCGATCAGCAATTGCGCAGTTGCTTATTGGTGCTTCTCCGGTAGGCCTGCTGGCTGGGACATACACCTTTGGATTCTTCGGTTGGTTCGTCAGCGTCAATACGCTACTTACCGTCTTCCTCCAAGAACCAACAGAAGATGGCGGGTATGGATTCACACCGCAACAGAATGCTGGATGTAAGAAACCCTCCCCTTACCTGCGATCGATCGGACCAATCTCATCATATTTGTGTGAACAGTCTCCTTCGCTCTATGGCTGGGTGTGATCGTCGCTCAAATCTGGGGATCCATGTTCAACGATCGGATCCCCTTGATGTGCGCACGACGAGCCGGTGGAATATGGAAGCCTGAGTACCGTTTTCACTCCCTATGGATTCCTTCAGTGCTTTTCATGCCTGTTGGTCTGGGCATTTTCGGCTCTGCCCTTCAGTACCATCTTCATTACATGGTTCTCGCCCTAGGCAGCTTCCTCATCACGATTGCCGCATTCTGCAGCATCCCCGTCGCAGTCAACTATCTGATGGAGTGCTTTAGGGATCATCCCACAGAGGTTGCGTGCATTATGGGCACATATCGACTCACCCTCGGACTGATTGTGCCGTTCTTTGTCGACCAATGGATCGCCAGAGTCGGAGGACCTGGCTGGGTTTTCGGAATGATGGCATTCTTCTCTCTTTTTGCATTTTCCTTGGTGATTATTTTGATGTTCTTTGGACATTCCCTTCGCCAGATCCACCTGGGCAGACTCTCGAAAGACGAAGAGGGAATGAAGGTCACAGACATGGATTCTGACTGAGTGGCGATGGCCCTACAGCCCAGACTGAGATTTCACTATCGCTTAACACTATCGCTTAATTAGCCAGGCATGACCACATCCCTGCACATGCTTTTTGAAGATCGGGACGCTCCTTATGGAAGGGGATTTTAGTGTTCAAACTTAGAAGGGTGGAAAGATATAATAATATATATACCACAAATTCCGATTTAGGCGTGAACTCGAGTCAAGTCTGCCACTACTTTTATATGAATGCGGTTGATGTTGACCCGAAAACGAACACCTACCTACTGTCCGCTCGAAGCATGTGCACAATCTTCAAGATCGACGGAAATACCGGTGATATCATCTGGCAGCTTGGAGGGAAGCACTCCGACTTCTCTCTTGGCGAAGGCGTTGACTTCTGCTGGCAGCATGATAGTAGGATGCATCAAAAATACCTCCATTACGAAACCAAGGGACCAAAAGAAATTATATCTTTCTTTGACAACTCCGCGCATGAGAATCTCGTGGGTGGTCCTACTCTCGAAGCTCGCAATTATAGTGAAGGCAAGGTTGTCGAGCTAGACACCACGAAGCACACTGCTACCTTGATCGCAAGCTTCCGCGCTCCCGGAGATCTCTCGGCCAGATCCCAGGGCAACCTACAGCTCCTGCCAAACGGAATCCATTGGATCATTCTCTTACTGAAAGCAAATAGGCCTCAACCCTGCATTTTGGATGTCGAGTAGTTCTGGACTAGTAATCCGATTGAAAGAGAAAGAGAGAGAGACTGATACAGGGGAAAAAAAAAGGAATCATACAACCGTAATGCTTATCCGGAGAGACGTCCGTCCCCAAAACGCCATTTATCCGCTGGTCAAACACAAAGAAAGCAAAAGAAGAACGCCGAAGTTGCTTTCTGCCCTAACTACACATGATTCGAATACATAGCCGGATGATGCGTCAGATCCGGCACTGCAACCTCCGATGAGTCACGCGAATACTTGGACGAAGCGGCATCATTGTTGCCAGCATTGCTCGCAGTGAGGTGACCCAGTGGTGAGGAAATCTTCAATGGAAACCGGGCCGTCAGACGGCGCGTGGTGCGCTTGAAGGGCGACTGCTCGTAGGAGGGCAAGGACTCCTCGCGCTTCATGCTCAGCTGGAATGAGCGGTGGCTGCTGGTGCGACTGACTACCTTCTGCGGTGCGACGGCGCCGTAGGCTCGGACGTGGCGGGCACTGACTCCGAGTTTGCGGTCTGTGAAGACGAATGTCTATGAATTTGTTAGCTAACTTGGAAGTTAAGTTGATGGTGATTGGTGATGGGTGGGGTGGATATGTATTTACAGAGATGATGTTCACAATGCTCATAATCATGGCTAGAACGCCGGAGGAAATGACGATACGCCAAAATGCCAGGCCCAGGTTCTTCTGGCTCATTGCCGCGGTGTTCAAGTTGCCCAGAGTGGCCACGCCGAGGATCATCATGGTAGCCGCCAGAGTGAGGAAGCCCGCTTCCTGGCCGAACAAGGGCCAGTTGCGATCGAAGTAACCCCGGAAGATGGGGAGCTCGGAGATGATCAGAAAGACTAGATGAGTTTGTTAACACGCAACGCCGGACCAAATTTTGGGAAGCGCGTTGACTTACTGCTGACGAGGGCGACCACGGCATGAGTGACGGCTTGGAAGAAAAAGAAGCTGTTCAACATGTTGATCTTGACCAGCATGACGATGCAGGCGGCGATCAAGTCGACGAAGACGACGATGTTGAGCACGCGGATGGTGTTCAGAATCACATATCCTGGACCAGCCAAGGATTCTTTGAGAGCTCCCATCATAATTACTGCTCGAAGGGACTGAGAAAGACAGGTCTCGCAATGTGAGTAGGCAGACGATAGAGTATAAGTGGGAGACAGAAGAGAGGACTCGTAAGAAATTAGAAGGGAAGGAAGCGACTACTGGCCAGCAGGAAGCTTTTTTGTTTCGACCCGGATAGAAGAAAAGACAGTGAATGAATTACTCGAAAATGGGTTCAGAAAAAGGATGGGGATCAATGAGGTACATAAGGGCAATAAAGAACCCTCATTCACAGTGAATGAGGATTCAGGCAGCGCATGTCCCCGTCCCGTCTCAAACAACAAAGGGTGCGAACAAAGGATACACAGGGATCATCAGGTGAGCTATGAATAGAATTGAATAGAACAGAGCCTGAAACAGAGCAAAAGCGCGCGGTGAATGGAGCAGGTCAAAGGGGTGCCAGGCAGGGCCCGGCGCTTTTTGGGGGTTTTAGGGGGGTGGAAGTATGAAAGTGATCGCTCCATCGCAGGTCCGGACACCCTGATTGGTGGAGTGCATAGAGCTTGTCGATACAAAGGCCCTGAGGTGAGGAATTGTATTCCCAACTGTGTTGTCAGAGGGCCTAGGGAGTGGTAGGGAGCAGCGGGCGCTGTGGGTTGGTGAAACGGCCGATGTTTGGCGTTGGCGCTTGGAGGGCGGCGCGAAGTATGGCGGCTGCCGACGCTCCATTTATTTAGGGAAGCTTTGGGATATTTTGAGATGATACATGTGGTGTTTGATAAAATGAAATGTAATGCTCTCCTATATCCTTACTGTTGTAATAGAAGAGTAAATACTAGGCTTACTCCTATAGACCTGGAAGATAGAACATTCCATGGCTCATTCTCACCCTCCGATTCGCCCCTCTCCATCTTTGCCCCTCCGCTTTTTTTTTTCTTTCCTCTTCTTCCCTTTTTTTTTCTCACCTCTCACCTCACACCCTCCACTAACTACCCTCCCACGACTTCTGGTCCCTGTTTTCTTAAGCCCTGATTTCAAACCAATCACAAATACCCACCATGACTCGCGGTAACCAGCGTGACAACGATCGGGCCAAAGCCCAGAAGAAGGCCGCCGCCTCGGTACGTTTTCCCTTCCATCCTCGCATACCCTGATCGCACGTTCATAACTAACCCCACCATTTCCATTTCAACAGAAAGGCAAGAACAGTATGAGTGGATCGCAGTTCGCCAAGGCGAAGGAGGATGCTGCGGCTATTATGCGCGAGAAGCAGAGGAAGGGTGAGTCCGGCCTACCCAGCTAATCACTCCCATTAGTCCCGAGGCTAATTCAATTCTCTCAAAATAGCGGACGAGAAACAGGCTGCTGAGGCGGCGGGCGGAAAGAAGAAGTAACACCAACACCCACTCCTGATGTGTCACCAATTCCGCGACTCTCGATCTCCATGTTGCAAGCGCGTGTTGCGACAGTACAGTACAAGGTGTTGAGTTTTACTGGTGGGATACTGTCAGATCATGCACCGGACTTATCTGTCCACGCATACCAACATATATACACTTGGCAGGCCGGTGGTTAGTTAGCGAGGCGTTTTGACTCCCGTGGCGTTTATCTATATACTATATCAAGCATCATGTCCCCTCTCTGCAGCGATAATTGAACGAGTCACGAGCTACGAGAATATTCTTCCTAGAGCATAGACATTAATAGGGTGGTGTATTTTGTCTAGTTGTACTCCAGTATGCCTTGGCTCGGGCCAACCGGGTGGTCCAGCGTCGCTCGCGGGGTTTAGAGACAGCACCCGCAACATTTTCAGCCGTATGGCTTGTGCAGGGGAAAATGCTCTGGAAGACATCCTCCAAGTCAAATTGACAGACCAGCCGATCGACAAATGTCCATAAACTCTCGCCCTCCCAGCCGACATCTCGCGCAAATCGCAGCACTCGCGCGAGCGCATGAGCCGTGACAGATCGCCCGGAGATGTGCTCGAGAACATAAACCCCAAACATCCACCCGGAGATATCGCGCGGGTGCGCCAGACACCACTCGAGGACCGGGTTGAGCATGGTGCGAGCAAATTCATCTTCCCGGGTTGGCGATAGCAGAGCGTAGAGCTGGCGCATGTAGCTGAAGGCGTAGTAATTCCTCGGGTGCAGCTCCGCGGCACGGAGCACGATCGCTAATTCCCTACGCTGAAACTCGATCAAGTCCTCGGTATCGCCATTGCCATTGTCCTGCCGGATTTTCAGCAGCCGTCTCAGCGTCCATAGCCGATGATGCCACAGCGTCGGAGACTTGGTATGCCGGTGCAGCGGCGAGCATTGATAACTCGTCAGAAGCGTCAATTCCATCTCCAGCGCTCGCACCGGGTCACTTGCATCCAGTCCTTGAGCGCCGACAGCCTGCAGCAGCCGGCGTTTGCGCCAATTACAGGCCGTCAGATGCTCACAGTCAAAGAGGAGCATGACCTCCGTAACGGCCGAGAGTGACGGATTATCAGCAGACCCGTCGGCGTCAAAAAGCGTATTTTGGAGTTCAGAGTCGGACATGTGCTTCAGCTTGTCGAAACGTCGGCGCGCGACCGTGTAGGCTTGCACCAGGGCCTTCTTGGTGATTCCGACGAAGCTGCCATCCTGTAGGAACGGGGACCCTAGGCTTGTGGGCAGGATCTCGATTTCGAGGACTGTGTTGTTTCTCGTGGTGAAGGTGTTGGCGAGGTGGTGGTATGCCTGCTGAGGGTCGGACATTTCATGATTTCATTGTAGTGGTGGTGGTGGTGGTGGTGGTGAAGGCGGAACAAGCCTGGAGTTAAGTCACTCGCACCTTCCCTCTTTTCCCACTTCGACCACCCCCAAGAGAGAACTGTCGCTGGTCCATTCTCTTTTTTTCTGGGGATCTCTCCAGCCCGTATTTCTCTCTCACCTTGAACCCTCCATCTCCCTCCGTCCTTCTCTCCGCCACTCGCCACCATGATCTCTCTTGTCCTCACCATCTTCCTCGTGAACCTGGCAATCTACCTGGTCAACACAATCGGCGCAACCACAATCGACAACCTAGTATGCTCCCCAAACCCAGTCCTCCAGCTTCTCATACTATCCTTACTGTCCCGGGCCTCCTCCCACCCTTCATCATTCCCTCCACGTCCTCTCTCATCAGCTCATCAACTAACGAATTCCTTCAATTCAAAACAGATATGGCTCCTCTACCTCAAACTCCCAACCTCAACCGCCCGCAAGGGCCGCGGCCTGCAAGCCAAAAAGCGCGAGGTCCTCCAACTCAAGCACGAGATGAACAACACCAGCTCGCAGGACGAGTTCGCCAAGTGGGCTAAGCTGCGGAGACGGCACGACAAGAGCATGGAGGAGTACGAGACGCTGAGTACTTCCCCCCTTCCTTTCTTTTATTTCTATTTGTCCTGTCCTTGCAGTTACTTATTGGGTTGCTGACGGCTTATTTACGACACAACAGACAAATCCCTCTCATCCCAAAAATCCTCTTTCGACTGGACCGTCAAGACCGCGCGCTGGTTAAGCACAAACGGCCTCAAGCTGTTCCTGCAGTTCTGGTACTCCAAGAAACCTGTCTTTGCCCTTCCGGAGGCTTGGTTCCCGTATTACGTGGAGTGGGTGCTGTCCTTCCCCCGTGCACCGCTGGGGTCGGTCAGTGTCCAGGTTTGGAGCAATGTGTGCGCCGCAGCGATTGCGGCCGTGGCGGATCTGGTTGGATCGATGGTGGTGGGTATGGCTCAGCAGCGCAGGGCTGTACCGGTGGCTGGATCTCAAGCTGGAGCTGATTCGAAGAAGACGGAGTGATACATTCAGAAAGTGTATGAAACAGGTACAATATGAACGAAACAAGCTGTATGATATGATACACAATTGGATTTTTTTGTATCTAGCATCGCCATGCGAAAGACCTACGAGCCGTGGCTAGTCCACGGGCCCAAAGTCTGCACAGGCTAGCAACACCCACCAAAGGGGGAAAGGGTCAGTATCTTGAAACGTTCTGTTCCAAGGGCTCCAGTCGGACCAGAAGAGTCGACGGCATGTTGTTCATCAGATATTGAAAAATCGTTTCTCGTCAAGGACGCCCCCTTGGGGGTATCTCGGGGCTTGACTCTATGATTGGTATATCATCACGCGAAAATAACAGCTCATGGCAAAGGGGAAACTTTTTCATAAAGAGAGTCCGGCCCCTTCGACAGGGCATCTGTAATGTGCGCTAGCACATTACCGCTTTGCCATAAGCTACAGACCCAAAAGAAAAGAAATGAAAAGTGTGTGAACTCCTCGCCTCAAGAATGAGCCCCATTGAGTTACCCCCTTCAACAAAGAAGGAGGCAATCGCATGACTATCCATCCGCGACGAAAGGCAACCCAATCAAAACCCTTCTCCGACATCTTAGGGTACATCCCATTGTATCCAGTGCAGTTTCCTGTCCTGTTGGATGGCCTAGGGCGCCGGGAAGAGGTAGGGCAGTCAGCCGCTCTCGAATTGCTTTTATGGCGGCGCGTTTCCGCAGTGCCTGGCTTGAGGAAACTCTGGTGCGAACATCAGAGTGCAGGGTGTCTGGGGACTTTCTCCCAAAGCATGGTTTGAAGATTTGGTGGTCTTGTGCGTAAGCTTTGAATGCGATTCTTTGAGCGAGGAGTTGAGAGGGAAGAATTGTGCGGAAGGGTTTGTTCGGTTGAGTTTTATGGGTCTGGTCATGTGATTGATTAGTCATCATGAGTTCCTGTTGGGTTGGCTGTAGGTTAGTGTGGAATAGTGTAAGAGGGCGTTGGAGTTAGGTGCAGTATAATTTCATTGTAGTCTGCTCACAGGAAGGAATTGGTGTTTTGGGTTTGGTCTATTTGGTAAGCATGCCAGAGAAAGTCGAGTCCAAAAATAGATACTATATCTATGGAGAAGTACTGAGATGCTACTATCATATCATTGCTGTTTAGCCCGTTCCAGTAAATCAAGTGCCTTATCTGCAGTGATACGATCAGCTGGTAAGAAACGCATCAGTCCTTGAATAACCTCGAGAAAAGGCGCCAGAGTGGGATCATGCACGTTCTCAGCAAACTTCCGTTCCAACTTTGATACCTCCCAATCTCCAGAGGTTAGCAATGGTTTATATAGTGTTCCAACATGTTGCTTACCTTCCACCGTTAAATCATGTTTAGATTTCGCTTGCATTGATTCCCACGTGGACTGCCATTCTCTCGGCAATCCCTCCACAAACCCAATCATCTGAAATACTAGAACCTCCACTTCACCCAGGTACCAGAACGGGGACTTCGTAAAGAGGATAGAATAAATCTATACGTGCTTCTGTGAGAAACAAGTCATGCACCATAACACCATTTAGGACCACCTACCATACACCCCACCCGCCACAAATCAACCCGGTAATCAAACCCATCCGTGAAAATGGTTTCCGGTACCCGCAATATACCCGGCTGGGCGAGCTTCTCCGGCTTTGTGTCGAGAAGAAAACTCTCGCCAAAATCCAGGAGTCGAATTTCCTCTTCGTCTTCGTCTATCCAGTCCACCCACTCTGCTGCTTTGACTAGCTGCGTCGGTAATCCTTTTTGCAAAGGCTGGCCATCAAGGCGGGCGAGAGATTCGATTTCGGGGGTCCCAAGGACCCGAAAAATTTGCTGCTCTGTTGTGGTTTTTAATGAAGTGCATGCGAATGCGATGTTGCGGCCGCTTATATCCGATATCAAGGTAAGTGTACCTACTAACTTTAGGAACCTAAAGGAGGGGTTTTCTTACCACCATGACACATGCCAGCACTATGAACAAAGGCAACGGACTTCAAGAGTTGCGTAGAAATGCGAAGGATAGTCTCCGACCCGAGTTTATCGCCACGCTCAGCGTAGTCCGCAAGGACCTTATTAACAGAAGGCCCAAGTAACTCATAAACAAGACACTGAAGGATTCCGTTGGGTCCTTCGTGAGAGAAGGAATCAAGCAGTCGGACGATATAGTGAGAGCAGAGACTTTCTTCAGAATTCCTTTCTAGGAATTTTAGATTTTGCAGTTCGCGCGATTCATGTGAATCGGCGGTCATTATTTTCAAGGAGACCCATTGGTTTCGGCTTGAACACAATTAGTTAACAGGTCAATCTCAACGAGAGCGGGAGGATAATAGACTCTTTGTCATGTGCAAGCCACACGGTCGAAAAACCACCCCATCCGAGCTTATGGTGGGTCTTGTAGCGGTCTTCTTTGAATGTGTCCCCGATGGTCACTGGGTGGTATCCTCCGGACTTGTACCTTGAGAGAGGCTCCTGGGTATAGAGGAGATTACTTCGATGGAATGCAGCTAGTTCCATGTAAAGCGGATGGCGAGTGAGTAGAGAAGAAGAAGCGCGACTGTTCGTCGTTGAAGGTAGGCTTAGTCATTTTATGCATGAGCACTGATTTTGGCATCTAGGATGAATAGACGGATTAAGAAAGAAGAAGGTACTGAATTTATAATGGCTGAAATTCCTCGAAATTTGCGGTGTCTATGATGGTACAAGACTCTACTTCGCTTACAATTCACCCTGTAGGTAAACACTTTGCCTTGAATCCAGTTACTGGGCCGTCAGCGGCTGAAATGGCTCCTTGGTTCAAAAAAGGGGCGCTTCTGCATATTATCAAGCTCAATTGAATATCCTGGATTCACTGTCGATGCATTGGAAGCTGAGTTCCAGCTGCAGCTTGACGAGGATGATGCCTACGAGCAGTATCGTCGCCAGACTGCAGATAAACAAATGTCGACTCTCTCAGCAGCTGGACGCCATGCCAAGGCCGCAGAAGAAGGGCGTAATCATCGAAATCATGACTCGAGTCTTTCTAATATCGTCCAAGCGCGCACAGAAACATGGCTAGGATCTCTCAGTAGGAAACGACGTGAAAAGTATTTCATTTTTTAAAAACCGCGAAAAATTCCTCATTACTCTATAATTACTGGCTATATTGTGTCCGGGCATTTGAGCCTAGTCGTTTATATAGAGATAATAAATCTTAGAGTATTATCCCCAGCTCCACTTTTCTCACTGTTGAGTCCTCGTTCCCCAGATATTTATGGTATAAAATTGTTTTGGTCTCCGCTGTACTCTCTGTCCCCATTGTATTGCCATGAAATTTAGGCGAAAACGAAGGGCCTTGTCAGATCACCAACTGATAAAACGGTGGATATTTGGCCATTGGCTTTCAAGGTTTTGTATACTGCATTTAACGATGTGGCAGTTAGCAGGTAGCCCAAAAGACTACTTCTGCGGCTGCTTTACGAATCTTGCTAACCAACATTCGTCTTGGCTTCACGGGCAAATACGAAGCATTACAAATCGAATACGAATAAATTCACCGAAATATCTTGATTTTCCGAAAGTTTTAGTGCTGACAATCTGCAACAAAGCTGGTACTGTCTTTCTCAGCCTCCACTGAGCTGACGCTTGTCTAGTGCGGTTAAATTGGCCTTGGCATATGTCTAGGACATCTTGGCGTTGTCCAATTTCTCTGTGTATAGGTTAATGCAGGATCCTGACGCTAATGCTAGTCGAATACGAACAAAAACTTGAGAAAAAAATTGACGAATACGGATAAGCAAAGTCCGTATTCGTGTGTAGTCTTAATTGATCTTGGCAATTCATTGTGAGCTTATCCCCAACAAAACACTAGACTTGCTAACAAACAACTCAACCTTGGTAGGACACAGCTTAAGCAAGTAGATGCAGGGCTAGACACTTTAGGTCCGGGGGATAAACCGGTAGTGCTAAGGTCTCGTGATGATTTTCTATTTGTAGCCGAACGAGGAATTGCAACCGAGCCACTTGCGTCGTGCCGACCCTAGCGCATCTATGTAGATTAATTTTCGAGCTCAAATGGGCAGTACAGCCTCTAGAACATTACAAGAGACTCTACATTGGAGCCATAACAGGCCGCGCCCTAAGGCTCGTACTTTCCTGGGCCGCTTTGCAGCATCAAGATCCTATCACAGGGACTTTGCGGGTTAAGCGAGAGGTTCGACCACGCCGATGCGCACCTGACCTTCATGCAGCCGCCATAAAGCACCTTTCAGCCGTACCGGAAGAAGATGCCGGATGCCGATATGGGTTTCGTTGAGGCTCAATCCATCGAGAACCCTGAGGAATACGAAGACAAACACTTGGTTCATCAGGATTCGCTCTCGTAGACTCGAAAGGATCCATAGAGGAGCAGATTGACGGGCTATATAAAGGAGCAACTTCTCCATCATTCAAAGGTATTCATCACTCATTGCCTTTACATCCTTACACTGTCTTCTCAACTTCACGTATCAACTATCCACAGATAATTCCCCTCCATAAACATGAAGGTCCTATCTATTTTGACTACGGCACTCCTATCTCTGGCAGTCGTCGCAACGCCTATCCCAGACGATACAGCAGCCGTCCGCGAAGCTTTAATCGCGGAGAGGCGTGCTAAGCAACAAACCCCCACGACTGCTATATTGACACGCGACGCTGAAGCTGAAAGCGTTGGCCTGCTCAAGAGAGCAGAGCTGAATTGCGAAATCGTCAACGTTGTAACTACTGTTGACTGCCACTGGTGGCCAACCCATGCAGACACATTTAATGGCAATCCTAACTGGGTCGTGACCTCGTTCGGGCCGTCAACTAAACACGATTTCAATTGCTATATGAATGGCCAGTCGGTTGGAGGAATTACGTAAGTTATTTACCAGTATTATTAGGAAAGCGTGAATTCTAATAGACGACTTCGACATTCAGAGCTTGGGATTATGCTGAGAACTGGCTGTGCTTTGTTCCTGGGTACTATACAGACTCCCATTGTACTCACAGTACGCTTCTTTCCCCGCCCCCTTTGATTCTAACATCTTTATGGGTATACTAATCAGAATATGAATTTCTAGCCGCCCTTGGAAAGTGCGATTTTTAGAAGCCATTGGACTACGTGTTTGTTAGGGACACTCCTTATTATGTAAGTTGCGTAATTACATAATTAAAAATATCATGTGATCTGTATTAGGATTTCATTCTCATAGAGTATTATTTACATGATCTTCGTGTATGCCCAACTTCACCACACGTACTGCACTTTGGTGCTGCCTTCTTCCGCTTCTGTATAGGCTCCGCCTCAGTATTTTGCTCTACCCCTACCTCATCTCTTCTAGGCCAATTCGCCAGAATTGGTGGATATCTGACAATGGAATAGCTTGATTGCTTTCCAATAATCTAGAAATCCGATGTGCGCAAGGTAGACCCATAGTCCTTGTAAATGTATTCGTACAAGGAGGCAAAGGCGCATTTTCTGTAGCTCTTTTAGCCTTTGAAACTTGCTCACTGATTCGTCGAAGCGAATATCAAGAGGTCCTAGTCATAATATTAGTATAAAGTTCTTGTACCGGTACTATTACCTTTTCAATTTGATCTCTTGCATAGTCGTATTCAAGCGTAGAATGTTGAGCTCGTAAAGCTTGTGAAATCCTTTCAAATACAAGTAACATGTCCCCTATTGAAGCTCCTAGATGCTTTTTTAAAAAGGCATGTGAGCCTTCAACTCGGGAAGTCGCTAAATTACCTAGGTGTAGGTATTGCTATGTCTATGCAACTATAAATTTCTCTTTATGAATTAGCCACGTTTCCTTTAAATAGCGAAGGGGAGAGGGGGTAGATTAAAATTGCTTCTTAAATTTTAGAAGCCTAGATTTGTAGTCACTCTCTGTCGTCGAATAAATAAGCTGATTCTACAATTGTAGGAATTCTTGATGTTCGTCATTTGTAGAAAAGTACTACTTTTGTTTTTTAGGTCACATTTTTATTAATATGCCATATATAAAGTAAATGTGGGTATATAGGGTAGATAGCCTTAATTACACCTAATAAAGCGAGATCTCGATTAGTACAAAGAAATAGTTCAAAGGGTAAGGGGTTTAGAAAGGAGAAAAAGGCTTTTAAAGCCTAAATATAGCTCTCTTCCTCTTTACTTCGCATAAAGCAGAATACGATGCTAAATATTGAATTTGAGGGTGATATGCTAATAACATATAATAGAGGCATTTAATATCGATTCGTTTTATAAGTACAATCTAGTACAAAAACCCTATTATATTTATTAGCGTACTCAATCGATCTAGGATGTGCGAACATAAAGAAGAGGATATGGCCTTCGTGATCTTGTTTAATAGCGTATTTCCACTGATTCTCTTGTGGAGTCTTTTGTAGAAGCTCAATAGGGGTATTATTACTAAGCTTCTGCCTTCGTAAAGCACTTCGAGCATTGTAGATATCCCTAGGGGTAACTAGGGCATTTGGATGCTCTCGTTTGATTAGAGCAAGGATATCGCAAGGCTTTGATCCAACTTCAGACATATAAAGAATATTTTGAAGCTGCTCCTTTGTTAATTTGCGAGCAGAGGGATAACCTATTATATTATTAGTAGTATGATTATGACTAGGGTTTCGTACCTGTAATTCCTACTTCTCGCTATTAGGAATCTTCTTCCTATATAGCTTAAATGGACAATTAATCCGTCGTATAGTGGTCAAACGTCGATTTGCTCCTTCTAGTGCATTAATTCGGTCACAGTATTTACCACTGCGATCACAACCAAGATAGATATACTTCTCTGTTTTTGATTGTATAGTAGTAATGGCGTAGCCTTGGGAGAGAGCATGCTGACGCACAGAGGCAACTAGTAGCTCCCTACTATCAAAGGTCTGCTCTGTAGGGGGCTCCATTTTGGTGTAGATAACTACAGAGCTTTAGAAGAAGAGGAGGGGAAGTAGGGATTTATAGTAGAACAGACTCCAGAATGATGTTGCTGTGGTAATTCTAATACAGATCACATGACATTTTCAATTATGTAATTACCCAACTTACATAATAAGGAGTGTCCCTAACAAAAACGGGAGTGTCCTTATCAATTCCCTAAGCAACGGAGGAGATCACGTAAGAAACAAACCATACTGTTGAGCCGTGCTATCAACTTGACCCCCAGATGGACGCCCGCGAATGCGCCAGGCCTTCTACAGTGAAGCAACTGCGAGACAGCAGAAGAGGATTGTTGACAAACTGCCAGGGCCATCTTGTTTGTTAAGTTTGCACGGAACCTCTAGTCACCCATGATTTTCTAGGTCAAGCCCCCCGTAACGCCCATATCGGTAAAATCAAAATTCCGGTATCGACTGACCAATATTTACAAAACATGTTATTTACAGGCAGTTCACATTAGGTTTAGCGCATCATGTAATTAGGGTTTGAAAGAGCATATCGGTGTTCGGGACATGGAAGGCAATAACGGTCGCGACTGTACCCCTTTGACAAACACTCCATCCTTATTTCAATGGATTTTTCTCAACTTCCGGATATCACCAGCCTGCTTGTCAGGCCAAATAACCCTCCACGAGATGATCTCGAAGGAATGGACTACACGCGATGTGCAGCTCTACACAACTACCTGATCCAATATGCCTGGCTCGCTGAAGGCCGCCCACTGGAAACTCTGGATGCCAACAGCAACTTTTTCACGGGCTCCGGTGATGAAGATGAAGCCGAGGCTTGTCGTCCAAGGCTTCATCCGTCACTGGCGGCGTTCCTTGAGACCGCTATCATGCCCCCTTTTCCTTTTGATAATCCTCACGAATACATCCCGTTCTCAGTTTTTGCATGGGGTATCGATGGGCCATCAAGGCTTTTTGAGGAAGATACAGCTGATCTTCAAGATCAGCCCGTTGACAGCCTGGTGCGCTTGTACGCTGTCGAAGGGGGCTTATCGGCTGTGGACAGTGATGGCGGAATTATCTACCACCAAGGCCTCCACCGAGTCGCGAGCTTCATGCATCTTGATGAATATGACATTGGGTTTCCAGTGGAGGGTAGTAAAAACGTTTGGAACCCGCTAGAGACACTACTCACCAACTGGATCGACCTTATTCATATTGGAAAAGTTGTGGCTTCGCCTCATAAAGAGCCAGCCCTGTTCGGCTGCGAGAAGGTCGGGCCCTGGGAGTGGCGGCCTTATAGCGACGCCCAGGTTACTACGTGTGTCGCCGAGTGGGATCGGCTGTGTCAGGCCATTGCGGCGCGCATCTCGCAGCCGTCAAACCCACCACTGACCGGGACTGATGCGGATAATTCAGAGCCGCTGGTTGCATCAAGTGTCCTGGACGCTGCTTCGGTGCCCAATTCTTCCTTTGCGCGTTCGTTTCTGACGCGCGCGAGGCGGCCTCAGTTCCGCTACATCGCTCCGGGCCTTCTTCTGCCCCCGGCTGACTCGGCTGGATTTGTGGCAGCGCAGCCATTTAGCGTCTTACCCCGCTCCGAGTACACCGCACCGCCAGTGTGTCTTTTCCCGGCTGATACAGGAGACCAGCGTCCTATTCAGCTTACGAGAACAACATCTCCATTATTACAGTCGGACTTCTATTCAACGTCCACCGAAACGTGTACCCCATCTCGCGTCTCTGCAGGCCTGTATACTGAGGCAGTGGAGAGAAACGGCCTTGATGTGGCGGAGGAGGGATTTCGGCTGTTGCTTCCGTTCACCTTCAATGATGATTGGGACAAGAGCGTGGGCGCACGAAAAAGCGATGGGTCCCTTGTTGATAGGGGACGCTTTTCAGAGCTCTTTCAGCATGGATATAAGCCTTTTGGTGGTGATTACTACCGCTCCCAGCGCCTGGAGCGTTTGTTGGGTTGTTGGCGTAAGCTGGTTGAAAGAGGCGTCTGGTCTGTTGGGGCGGATGGGGTGGAAGGTACTATTGATACTTTCAAAGATGCTGAGTCCGACCGTTGGGAGGATTATTATATTCCACCCACATGGTAGATATTCAAGTGCCACTCTGCCTTCCATCCGGAGAGGATTTCTGAGCTCCATTCTGCGGAATGGAGTACCAGGGCCGAGGAGGGGTATCAATTCCATAAGAAATCAGCCATGAAGATAGCCATTTTCCTACCCAATTGTGATTTATTTACAAATTTAGTCACGACCCTTCCATTTTCTTCATGTCTCCAACCCAGCCAAGAGCCTGTCATACCGTCAAATGATATAATTCTAACCCCATAGCTTCCAAAGTTTTCGTTCATCATTGACATGTTCGATGGTGTCAAAGACCGTACACATACGGCGCCGGTGTCACCACAGTTCCCGATGCCGTCTGCACGCCAATCGTGCTGGCAGGGAACGTGGGTCGAGACTCGCCGCCCGCCGCAACACCCGTCGTGACAGTGACGGTGGTGGGATCAACAGTCACCGTGTCCGACCTGGAACTTTTGAGCGCCTCTCTTGTCCACGAACCAGCCTCCGCGTCGCCCATATACATGTCCACGACATGTCCCTCCTCGTTCAGCATGAGACGCAGTTCGGAGTGCGGGTCGTCATCTTCGTAGATGACATTACATGTGCGACCGTCAACAGGGTTGCCTTCCATATCGACAAAGAGGAGATTATCATAATCAAGATCAAGATAGGCATCCTGGTTGCCATTGCCAAGTGATCTGAGGTCTGCGTGGCAGACGCCAGCGGGGTCGCTATCTTCCTCAGACCATGTGCCGTTGCCGAGAAGGTCTCTTCGCTGGAATACGACCGGTTGGGAGTCATAAGGCCTGTGTTGCTGGCTCGCGATCGGGGCTGGATCGAGGCGCCAGGACTGTCGAGGCCATCCATAGGCGTTACCGTACATGCTTATCAACACCGTCTTGTCAGCTATACTTTGAATACGTAGTCAGGTTGGAAGAGGCACACATACGAATCATCGTCGAGAACGCGAAAGCCATGGTCTACAACCGTGGAGGTGCTGATAACTCCAGGTGAATCAGTGTAAGTGTATGTAGCCCAGCAAGATGAGCCGGCCGTTTGATCGTCGAAACCATAAGCATCGATGAAGTGTTTCCCACTGCCACTACCGCGACCCGCGGGCAGTGGCCCAAACGCCCTGTTTCAAGATCAGATATGCTCGCATGAGGGAAGCTTCGGTTTTACGTACCAGGTTGCAGGCGGCCCACCGTCCCTACTACCGCACACATCAGAGCGGTACGTCGAGCAAGGATGCCACTGCGCCGTTTTCCACGCCTTATAATCAATTCCCTGTCTCCCATTCGCAGGACCGTTAACGAGACGGCAAGCTTGCGGGGCCTTATTTCCCGATTCCGCCAGGTTACCCATAGGAAACTCATCAACTTCACATCGATATCTTGAGCCTTGAAGCTTTACTTGAGCCCTGGTTCGGTAGGCCTCAATGCGCTGGCCTTTCCATAGTGCTTGGTTAGCACCGACAGCGCGGCTCGTTGTCAATGGCTGATAGACGGTCCTTCCGTTGAGCAGCTTGTTGATTCCCCGTCTCTGGTTATCACAAATCTCATCCCAACCCATGCCGTAGCGACACGTATATGTGACCACACAATCGCAGGTACTCGTCGTAGTGCCGCCGCTAAAGTCGAGAATAGGCCACTGGCCATACGCAGTTCGGCCCGCTACTGTGGTTGGGACGCCAACGTTGGGTTTAGATGGAGATCCACCGAAAAGCCACCCACCTATGCTGGAAAGAATCGACCACCCGATGATAGCCGCAGTAGCAAGGCCGGCAAGGGCCGCAGCAGCGCATACTGCCCCCTCCCCAATAAGGGATAGGCCGAAAGACATGAATGCTCCAAGGGCTGACGGGAGGGACCCAAAGCGGAACCATCGACGAGTGTGGCGAATACTATCTCGTTGTAGCCGGCGACGACTGTTCCACCATTGGCCTGCGCTTCGGTCTGAACTTTAGCCAGTTGCAAGAGTATAACACGTATCTTAACTCCACCTGCGGCAACCTGTGGCTTAATTACGACATTTGCGTCGCCCCTGTCACCCCTCAGACCGTTTCGACGGACGGTACGTGCCCTCCAGGGGTGACCTGCGAAGGAAGCGCGTTTGGCGACTGCTGCTCGCCCTTTGGCTACTGCGGAACCGGCTCAGATTACTGTGTCACCACAACCAACGGCACGGCGACGTCCGACGGTACCTGTGGGCCTGATTATGGGGGTACGACTTGTATTCCCCAGTTCGGAAACTGCTGCAGTATATACGTAAGTGACACGATATCCCTTCATAACCATCATTCCTATTCAGTATAGTTGCTGACCATAGACACAGGGCTACTGCGGCAATGGCACGACCTATTGTGGTGCCGGAAATTGCTACTCTGGCAGCTGTGACACCGATAATGGCGGCCCATCCACAAATGGAGAATGTGGCCCGAACTTTGCTGGCAATAAGACCTGCACTGGCACCCAGTTTGGGACATGTTGTTCCACGTCTGGTTATTGTGGAAGTACCAGTGACTACTGTTCTGGATCCAACTGCTATAGCGGTGCTTGCACGTAGTGTCCAAATGTTGCTCAGACTAGGAAGAGGAGTTTCTCAGTGTATGTACATACCATGTCCAAGTAAAAATTCAACCCACTTTTGAGACGGCATGGATGTGTGCGCCCTTTCGTCCCCAGAACCAGCAAGCGCTCTTGGGCAATACCAGTTGACGGATCGCGGACAGCTAGGATACATGCCACCAGGCGATCTCCTCATCAGTTTCGGTGATCACACCGCGGATGAAGTCATTCACCAATATTGCAGATCTGCCTGAACCTGTAGCTGCGCTTGTACATCCGCAGAAGTTTGGAAATGGCCGAAGCCCTCCACGAAGAAAGGGACCTTCAGCGCAAGGGGAGACCTGTAGCATGGGGATACAGGTATGCAATTGCGGAATATATGAATTGCTGTTAAATGCCCATCGCTAATGATGAAGTGAACGGTTGTGGGGTGTGTACCATGCGATTGTCCATATCACCTGCCAGTCAGAGCAATAAGGTGGCAGATTTTGAGAACCTAGATTGTGCTAAAAGATACCTTGCCCGTCTACATGCTTGCACTCGATAGGCAGCATAATGCAACTGTCGCATAATGGTGGTTGAATCACATCCCATGCCCGGTGAGATGCTTCTTTACTAAGGACATGTATTCCATTGATTACAAACGAAGGACCTGGTCATAGGTGAAGATGATCACAAACTTCGGCTTTTGTTGAGTGGCCAAGGCCGCAGCGCTCCTGAAAAGATTGGTGGATTTTGAAAAATTCTGTCCCTAATTATACGGTTTGTTGCCTGTTCAGTCGACATTCTGCTGCTCATTCACTTCCGCACTGAACCTTGCAAACCGGCTTCTCTCTCTAAGCCATAGTCCATGCTTGAAGAATATATACGGGGTCACGCAGAACAATGTTGCAATCGCTGCTATGATGCTAGTCGCAACATTTGAACCAAGCCCGGAGTACATCTGGTACGCAAATAAAGGCATGCAACCTGATAGCGTTCCTCGCAGGAAAGCCACTGCAGCCAGGCCTGAAGATGCATAAAGCGTATACGAGTCTGCAATGTAACCGCTCAGAGTGTACGCAAACTCATTTACAGCAAAACCAATCAGGACAAGTCCAACTATAGAGACACCCCAGTGCGTGTGAACCAGTGGCGGGACAGTCCAACCAAAAGCCCAGAGTCCAACAGCGAGCGCTGGAGCTGCGATAGCAAAACCGTTGATCTTGTCTTCAGGCTTGGGAGGAACGCCGTTTTTCCGTCGATTGTTCATTTGACGATGATCCCATAACCGAACGATGCCGCCAAGTAAAGCACCAGGTAACAGAGCAATGAAGAGTAGTGAAGTGGACCTTTCGCTGAAGCCACACTGGCTATAAACGACTGAGAAGCTCTCCGTGAAGAGATAAACCATGCCCCATACCGTGGCACTCATCAACGAGACAAGGACGATTATGGGTTCCGTCACACCTAACCGGGCAGGTCGCAAGAGTATAACATCCAAGAGTTCTCGCGGGCGAGTAACCCGATCTGGAATGCGGAGATCCATGTCAAGACTCCCGACCTCTAATTGTAGGTTATTAAATCGGTTCGAAAGGAGAGTGGTGGGTCGGCTCTCTTTAATAGTGAAAAGGAGGATAAACAAGACAGCGGAAGTGATAGCTGATGTGTAAAAAATCCACCGCCTGTCTACCGTCAGTTTATATGGCACGGCAAGATTTTCAAGCATTTGAGAGAAACGTACCAGCTGACGCTAGATGCAATGTAGGACCCATATATCGGACCCAGACACATGCCAAACGTGGTGCTACAGTTCCACAGCCAGAGTAGCCAAGTCCTGCTCCGATTTGAATATAGGTCCTCAATACTACCAGCGAGCACGATAGACGGTACAGAAGACGCAAACCCGGAGAAAAAGCGGCCGATAAAGACACCCGCAGATGAAGGCACGACCCCGACTAGCAAGGATGAGATGCTGTATATAGCTGCCGACAATAAGTAGGACTTCCGTCGACCGAGCGTTTCGGAGAATGGGGGCATTGCCAACCCTCCAAGAGCCTGTCCTATGCCATACATGAATTGAAAACCTGTCAGAGTGATCACCCTGCTCAAGCTGTATTCTTTCATAACATATTCGGCAGCTGATGGACCAGTCGTGCTGATGACTGTAGTGTAAAATTCCAGGAAGAAAATGAGCAACCCGTCGTAATTTTTGCGCCAAAGTGTCCAATTGCGTGGGAAGTCTTTGTGATTGGTGTCCCATGTAATCGAAGTAGAATCAGTCTTTCGGAGCCCTCTGCGGACTAATTCACGTTGTACTCTATGATCGGTCTCCATTTCTGCGTCGTCGACCATGTCGTAAAGCAATACACGCTCGGAAATGTAGTGCTTGCCTAATTAGCCAACTCTGTTTGAGTCTACTATGCAGCTCTTATATTATAGGTGATCTCCTCCACGTGCCCCCACGGTTCCCATCAGACACGGACCGTGCTTGATCATCGAGAAGCCAGACTACTGAAGAACTGGCTATAGCGAGTTCGGGCGGTTAGGTGGGTCCAGTGACGCCAGACCTTCTAGGTACACTGCTCAGCCGGGTGGGTCCCCTTAAGAGTTGTTGTGGTTGCGTCACTGCCTTTCGGAAACCTTGGAGGGCAGGGCGGGTCGACGGAAGGGTATTGAGGAAAACGAAGCTAGGGTTGGACCTAGGTCAAGACTTTGACGAAGAAAAGAGCAAGCCAAGAGCCAAAAACAGGGTAACTCGTGAGACTAGTGGCGCTATCGATCGGTCAATGCATTGCAAAAGGGAAGATCTGCCAAATCGTAGGCGTTCGTCCGTCTGAGAAACCTTGAATGTTGATATGGGCCCTCTTGAGATCAACACGAAGTCGCGATTTGACCCACTCAGGGGTCGAATTCGAGCTTTGTGATCCACAAACCCGGACAGAGAAATCCAGATTTTCCCAATGATCTGGCAGTACTATCCGACATAGAAGAAAACAAGATTAAGTTTGGCTGAGCCGAGGGGCCGAGCGTGGTCGATCTAGGCACCATCGCTAACATTCAACAGATGTAACAGATGGTCGTTGAAGACATAGATTCCTCTTGTATGTAATACTGAAATCCTCAACACTTTTTGGGGGTCATTTAGGCCCTCATCATCGTTTCCCGGCAAAACAGAAGTTTGCCAGCTTTTACCGTGACGCCCTTCCCCCTTCTGCTCTTCCTCCACTAAGGCTTTCAATCTCAGCCACTTTTGCCTTCTGGCCCTTCAAACACGACTACAGATCAGCCCCTAAGACATGCACTGACGAGCCATCTACAGGAGCCCCTTGTGTCGATCGAGCAGTCTAGTCACAGTGTGGTGTTAGACTATGCCAACGCTGATCCCATTCTTGCCAGGAACAAACGTATGTCCACTGCTCACCGCCCTCTAATAAACGTACGAGGAGCCCGACACTTTATACGGGCTCTCGCTGGCATTCGTCCCATGATCCGCATTATGAAGGGCGATAGAGACTGTGGCTGGCGAGGTGGCACCGCACTAGAAAGGAAATTCTTTAGTTGAGCTGTGTTCGTTTAGTAGCCGCTCAGATTATAAAAGACTTTCTTCTACGGGTAAAACGTTGAACAAACGCATCGACAGGAAGTTCATGCTTATGCTTTTGAGCTCGGTTCTACTTAAGGAGCGAGAGGGGAGAACTAAAAAGGAAAATGAAGGCAGTCTTGCCAGAAATCACTTTTTCTGGGTATCACTGTACTGGATGGTTCGTAATGAGTTTCATCTTTTTATTGTCTCTTAGGACAAGAGCCCGGTAGGTAGTGGGGAATAGTTAAATCGCTAGAGAGAAGAATGTAGGAAAAGTAAATATAAAAGAGGTCAGACTTAAGGGCTTACTATTTTAGGTGCCCTGTCCGGTCTCTCAGGCTACTTAAACTGGTCAAGCCAGTCGTACACATAAGTTTCAGCGCCTGGGTTACCGATATGATATGCGCCTTCGATAAATCTAGAGCCACCATTAGTCATAGTAGATCAGGAATGCCAAATGGGATTATTCTTACCTGACATCCTTAACTCTCCCGTGCTGGAATGGAATCATCGAATCTTCGATTGGAAAAATCTCATCTTTCGTGCCCTTTGCATCAATTGATTAGGAACTTGGATATCTCCAACTGCATCGTCACAGGGCTACTTACATTGATGAGAAACAGGCGGCAGCATGGCTTGTCAAAAATTCCACTCTGTAGAAGTGAGAACCGCGACTGGGCGTCTTCACTATACGCCTCGACCGAATCGTAGCCGAACTTGTACGCCAGAGCTTCTGCGAGGCTAATTTCGGGTTAGAAACGGAGTCACGGAACTCGGGTGAACTTAACCACTCACGCATAGGGGTATTCCATCTTATCCTGGGCCTTGATCCACTCCTTGTCAAACATTCGATGGCAGCCCCCGCCCTGGCTAACGACTGCAAGCAAGCGATCGGCGTGAGTATGGGCCATACGCATGCCGTAGTACCCTCCAGTGCTCATGGACCGAGCACAGATCTTTTTCGAGTCAAACATCTCCTGCGACTCGATCCAGTCCAACACACTTGACCACTGTCTGTCAGGGCTGAGAGGATCTTGTTTTGAAGCAGGCGAGTCACCAGTTCCCGGAATCTCAACACTCACACAGGCGAATCCGCGACGAATATGTTCATCGATTCGGCTTGTAAAATCTGTGCGATAGGCATCAAGTCCACAAACGAAGAGCACGACAGGAACAGGTGATGATTCGGATGCATGCTCTGGGATTCGCACATAAGCTTTGATTGTGTTCCCGTCCCCGTCAGACGCCGAAGCGTAGGAATGAGGAATCACAACTTCCAAGTTTGGGGGTGTAAGGTATTTCGCGCCTTTGGAATATGCCGTTTTGCCTCGCTCCCAAGCTTCGAAAGTTTTAGGGGATCGACTGATGGGGAAGCGGGAAATTCGATATAGAGCGGCGGCACGTCTAGCAAAGTGTTAGTTCGATGCAGACGATGTTGGCACATCAAATCGTCCTACAAGTAAAGGTTTGAAGCCAATGCCTTTTCTTTATTGCCTTCGGCTTTAGCTGCCGCAGTTTCAAGCTCCTCGGCTACAGGAAAGAAAGCCGTAGCGTAGGTATCTGGGTCATATGGCTCTGTCATATTCATCTAAGTCACAAAAGTTAGCATGCTGATGGTATTCAAATACATCTTTGGGCGTCATGCGTACATACCTCAATCAGCTTCTGAAACACCTTGTCAAAATCCCCGACGTCGCCGTCAGGAAAGGGGTATATTCCTATTGCACACTAAGCCAGGCTTTCATTAACAGAAGAATTCTAGCAAACTCTTTGGAACAACACGTACTGGAGCTCTCCATTTGCCTTCCCACAAGGCTTGGATGGAAGCATGATGGGGCGCGACTTTTCCAAAGCTCTCTTGAGCCCAAAATTGCGAGCTGGCTGCCATATCTGTTCAATTCGCGACTTTTCGGCAAGTTCTTATGGAGGATATAGTATGCGTGAAGAGAAACTGGCCGCTCTTAATAGCTCTGTCAGCGGGCTTTTCGATCGTTTTTATATGCGTACGGTTGCATATGCGTTTATTTCTAACGGGAGCAAACTCATTCGCAAGATAAATCGGAGCTGCCGTGCGGTTGGAATGAGACCCTGGAAATTTACCTATGTCGACATGGAGTAGTCTCATAGGGCAATTGCTACAGGGCTGTTACATTGGGGTAACTTAAATCTTGGGGATGCATGCAGTCAGCATCAGCTTCGCACCTCACAAACCACAACACGTATGCAGTGAGATCTCGGAACGAGACCGAGCGACAACAAGAAACACCAACAATGCAAGATAAATCCATCACCAACCGGAAGAATTAATATATTTGACTTTACTTCAGCCTTACATATTTGTCATTGCTGCATGCTGCTTATCTTCTCACCAAAAACCCCCCGCCATACAATTTGTCACGTTGAACCTTGCTCGGGAACCTTGGCCGCTGGCCAGAGCTCATATTTATGATGCCCGTCCTTCCTCTGATCATACTTGTCACTATCGCTATCCCCATCTTTCATCTTTCATTCCTAAGAATCATAGTAGTAAACCAATTTCGAAGTCCGTCAATATGTCCAAGCAAATCATCGTTGTTTTTGGGGCAACTGGAAAGCAAGGTGGCTCTGTCGTCAGCAGTCTTTTATCGGGCAGCGCGGCGGGCAAATTCCACGTTCGAGGAATTACGCGGGACGTCACCAAGGCCAGCGCCAGAGCCTTGGCTTCGAAGGGTGCTGAAGTTGTTGCGGTATGCCTCCGTTGAGAGAATATTCGGTTTAGACACAAACTGATCACGAGATTTGAACACAAGGCCGATTTGAGTGATAAGGGATCCATTCAACAAGCACTGAAGGGTGCTTATGGGGTATATGCTGTTACCAATTATTGGGACCATCGGAGCGCCGACATGGAATTTGCGCAAGGAAAAAACATAGCTGATGCTTGCAAGGTGAGAGGCTTTATTCAAATATTAATTTTTTTTTCTTCCTTTCCCTTTTTCTTTTCGAAGAATTTATTGCTAATTTAACAACGGACGACAAGGAAGAGGGTATTCAGCACTTGGTGTGGAGCAGCCTACTGAATGTGACGAAACGTACGTATCATCTGTTTCTTCAACTTGGCATACATAGCTTCTGCCGAGCATTAGTTACTAACACTTTGGAAAAATCTCCCCTCAGTCTCCGGTGGTGTCCTCTCCCAAGTCCATCACTTCGACAGCAAAGCGAAGGTTGAAGAATACATCCGCAGCGAAGGAATTCCTGCCACGTTCATGCTTCCGGGCTTCTACATGTCAAATATCCCTGGAGCCAATTTGCGGAAAACACCAGAAGGTACGTGGAAACTTGCGCTTCCAATTCCTGGCGATAGTCCGATACCGCTACTTGCGTCCGAGTATGATACGGGCAAGTTCGTCAAGGGGATTCTTCTCAAGAGAGATGAGACTCTGGGCAAGCGAATCTACGCTGCCACGAAGTACTATACGCCTCTCGAAATTTTGGCGACTTTCAAGGACGAGTACCCCAACGCTGGGAAGGATGCGGCTTTCACGGAGCTGCCACATGCGGTATTCAAAGGCATTCTCGCCGCTGCGGGAATGCCTGAGATTGCTCAAGAGGAACTACTCGAAAATATGCGCTTGATGCCAGAGTTTGGGTACTACGGTGGCGAGGCACTCGACTCAAGTGTTGCTGTAGGTCTTCATCTTCCCAAGCAAATTTTGTCATTAATATTGAGAGGTTCGCTGACAACGCTTGCAGATCGTTGATGAGCCCCTCACGACATGGAGTGCCTATATGAAGATGTCATCCGTGTTTGCGGATCTGGATTAAGGAAAGCATATGAAGGCTCTCCTATTTAAGATCAAGGCAAGACTCGTCAGGCATATATGTAATACTTCGAGATTTAAGCTCAGTCGTTTGATGCATGAACAATGAATTTGACTTATCAATATCAACAATGGCTACAAAATAACCAACAATAACCATCATTTACGCCTTCGTCTTCGTCTTGCTACCCTTATTGGCTTTCCCCTTGGCCTTGGTAGCAGGGGACTCCGACGGAGCATCCTGCTTCGGCGTGCCTTGGTCTGCCTTCTTCCCCTTCGCAGCCTTCTTCTTGGGGGTATCCTCACTCTCAGCAGCAGGCGCCTCAATAGCCTTAACAGTCTCCTCCTCGGGAGCCTGCTCAACGGCCTTTTGCTCCTGGACGGGAACATCATCAACGCTCCTCAGCGCTGGCAGATCCATCTCATACCCCAAAGCCTTCAGCTTATCGACCTTAGCTTGTCTCCGCTTCTGCTCCTGCTCAATGCGCTGGCTCCACTGTTCACGCGTCTTGCCCTTCTCCAACCGCTTCTTCTCAATCCGGTTCCAGGGTGTCTTCTTGAAGCGCCGGTTCGCGCCCTTCCACACCTCGGGGTGCAGCTGTTCCGCGGGGACGTACTTGCACTTGAGGATGTGGCCGTACATCAGGTAGTTGTCCATCGTCTCGGCGACAATCTTGGCAACCGTCGTCGAGGAGAACTCCACGAACGCGTAGTGCTTCGATCGGCCTGTGAGACGGTTGCGCGACAGGCGAAGACGCGTGATGTCGCCGAATTGGGAGAAGTAGGCGCGCATTTGGTGCTCGTAGAAACCGTGCGGGATGCGGCTGGGTGGTGTTTGTTAGAAATGACTCGAAAGTGTAACAATACGGCACTTACCCAATGTAGACAGTACCAGGCTCAGACGGAGTTTCGCCCTTCTTCTGCTTCTTCAGGATCTTGCGCTTCGCCTTCTTCGAGTCTGGAATGCGGGGGACGGGTTGGTCCGGGTTAAAACCCTCGTCCTCGGAGGCGTCTTCTTCTCCGCTGCTCTCGAATCCCTTGATCAGCTCGGCGGTCTGGTCGTCCAAGTCTTCATCCTCGCCGCTCTCAGGCTCGGAGATGACATCCCCAACGATTTCCTCGTCAGACTCCTCAACCACCTTCTCTGCCTTCTTGGCCTTCTTGGATGTGTCCTCCTTCTTCGACTTCTTCTTTGCAGCTTGCTTCTCAGGCGCAGGCGCAGCAGGCTCGTCATTTTCCTCGTCGCTGAGGAAGTCGGCAGCGCGCTTGCGAGGCTTGATCTGGCGAGCAGACTCTCCATTGGCCTTTGCCGACGCATCGGTCTTAGGCGCAGTGCCATTCTGCTTCTTTTTCAGAACGGGCTTGGGCGCAGCGTCTTTGGTCTGAGCGGGTTTGGCATCGGCCTTTTTGGTTTTTTTCGCAGGCAAGTCGGCTGCAGCAGGCGCGGCTGGAAGAAAAGTCAGTACAATTACCAAAACCTATTCTGCCGTATTTTCAACATACCCTTGCGCTTTTTCTCTTTCTTGTCGGGGGCCATGTTGGCTGTGTCTGGGGAAGATGATGGATGTTCAGTCGGGAATTTTTTTTTTCTTTTGGCAAAATCAAAAACTCTCGGAGGCGGTGAACCATCCCGACCACATCGGGTCGCTGTGTTGAACCCCCTCCACCACACGGGCAGTGGCCATGGGGAAGACCAAAAATGCAAAGGCCCTGACGCACGAGGAGATTTGGGATGACTCGGCCTTGGTGCGGTCGTGGGATGAGGCTGTCGAGGAGTACCAGGTGAGCTTGTCTGCGATTGAACCCTCACGTGACTCTATCTAACATCGCAACAGCTATATCACAGCATCCACGCTAAGGGGGAAAATGTGGAAGATGTGCTGAGAGAGGCAGAAAGGGAAGAGGCTGATGTTGTGGATGAAGGAGATCTCGCCGAAGATACGCTGATGGAAGGGGGCAGCGATGAACCCATCCCAGACGTTCTGCAGGTATGTTTCCTGCGGTCCAATGTTCAAGCCCTTTCTGACACTTCCCTCAGCCCGCGCAAAAGTCTGATGTGCCCCCTGCAGACGAGGGAGTACCAGCAGCATCAGCAGCAGCCACACCTCCCGCCAGCGGTATGCCGATGCCTCATCCCGCGTTAGCGCAAGGTATGTATCTCTTTAGCACCAAAATTGGCCTGACTAACTATCCCCTAGTTCAAGATGAAGGACTGAAGAACCTCATGATGGCATGGTACTTTGCGGGCTACTACACAGGCCTCCATGAGGGCCAGCAGCAAGGCAAACAATAGCCAAGAGCTGTTAAACAGGGCATATTATTTCCCGAGAAAAGAAAAGTGGAAATCCAATAATATCGTATCTGACAAAGGTCATAAGTTCAATAAACCAGTTAGAGAAGCCAAAAAACCCCTTTCCATCCATTACCATGCACACACTCCAATGCGGCTTTCCCTTCCATCTTAGAAAAGACCGCCACCCTTCAGCAGCTTACCGACAATGGGAATCTTATCTAGAGGGCTAGGGTTGTCATAGTGGTGCGCTGGAGTCTCACTCGCAGTCGGAGTGACGAAGTTGCCCGTATACGGCTCCTTGTCCGTCTTGGTGGGTTCGCCGACGGCGGGCTTGATCATCTTGCGCCCCTGCTGCGTCCGGTCCGGCTTCGATGCAGCCCGCTGGCTCGGTGTTGAGGTTGGGGCGCTAGTGGCAGAGGCTGCAGAGGCGTGGGCTGACGACGAGGGCTGAGAATCCAGGCCCAGGTCTTGCATTATGTTTGTGACGGGCTGGGTGGCGGTGTAGTTAGTATAACAATATACCTTCAATATTGGGGTTTGTATAATGCAACGTACATCCAACATGCCCAAAGTACCGGCTAAGGGATCACTCGCCTGGTCCGCATCACGCTTTGTCGGTAGGGCAATCGCGAATGCGGCGAGGACGAGGAAGACGGTAAAGAGAGACAGACTGAAGCGAGCCATGGTGGATGAATGGAATAGAATAAATTGAATGACAGGAAGAGAGAGAGTAGATATTGCTAGGCTGATTCAAAGGAGTGACTTTGTTTAGGGTTGGTTGGCGCTGATGAGTGTCGATAGCCGGGGGTATCGAGGGAGAGATATAGAGGTGCGCGCGGGTCTACGCGATTTATATTCAATCCTTTAATCAGGCTGCCGAGGGCGAGAATGGAGACGCGACAGGGAAGGGCAGGGCAGGGGTTGGGGCTAGCTGGCAAGTATGAGTGCCGCGTACCTACTAGATGTATGTGAGCTCGCCCCTCCGCGCGCTATTCTGATTATGTACTTACAGGCTGCGTGAGAAGTGAGCTAACACAACAGCTTGAAACACGACTGCCATGCTCTTAGGGTGGACATGTTTTACATAAGAGGCGGTTTTGCAGCCCACGCGGAAGTATGCGCTTCTTTTGGAGACCTGTGGTTCGCAAAAATTGGATGCAAGGGGGAAAAGAGGTTGATGAGCTTCATTCCAGTAGCTGGTCAGCATTCCAGAACACACCATTTTGGGTTGCGGATCTTGCTTATCCATATTTGTCCCTTGATCAACGTTGTCGCATATTTCCTGTGTTAGGGTTGTCACTGAACTCCCTCCGTCGACTACATAAACAGGCTTGAGAATAATGATGCTTCGTTCATATTGATCGATCCAAAATAGTTTAAAGAATGTATGTATCTCCCTACTTTGACACGCACAGCCCCATATGGAAGAAGCGGACGCAACACGAGGGAGTCTCCAGGGGACTTGGTAGTCGGACCTGTGAGAGGCTCACTATGGGCACAAATTTGACCTCGAATATCATGGAGCGATGACGGACGAGACTTCGAAAGTGCCTGGCAATGGTAATCGTAAGAAGAATGCTGGGGTGGTGATGGGACTACGTGGTTGGTGAGAGTGTGTGTCGTTCAAAATCTGCATGTTAGTAGGAAGGATGGGTCGGGTAGTTTGTCTGTTCTGTCAACCACCAACCACATCATTCGCCCCGCGGAAGAGACATTATCTTCGCTTGGTGAATGGAGATGGATGGCAGAGCCGGGAACAGTCCGAAGCTGTCGGTTGGCGTGGATAAACACGGCTGACATGACGACCATGGAATCGCTCCCAACAATCCTCCGAAGACTTGAAGATCGCATGCCTCATGCAGCCACCATCCCAGTCCGTGCCAGTCAGAACACATAGATGTAATTGTCATGTAGTGAAGTGATGAAGTGATGTATGCTCAAAAGCGAACCCGGCCACCCTCGTCCAAATGGAAGCAGGGGCCAGGATTAGAACGAGCCAATCCATTTGCTCTGGGTCTCTTTTCTAAAATTTGTAGATAGAATCTTGACAGGAATTGACTGGTAGGTTCAATTCCATCCATCGACAAGGGTATGTTGGAGACCGTAAGTAAGATGAGAAAAAAAGAAAGAGAAAGGAGAGGTTGGGCTGTGTGAAAATTTATTGGCGATGTTTGTGTATTACATAAGCAATTGGTGGATGTGACCACGTGATCTATCGTATCTGTTGGTGTTTGGGGCTCTTAAGAGTATTATTCAAGATGGACTGGATTTTGTTTGGCGTTATACTTATGGAACTGTATATGTTGATAGACGGGATGAATGAAAATACGATCATAATTCATGATACTCTGATTGGGAATGATGGGACAAGGTATATCATATCAGGCTACACATACTATATACATTCATTGCAAGTCAGGAATTAAAACCGGGCGAGGACCCGCTCCTGCGCATCGGCAATGGCATATTCACTGGAGTGCTTCTGGCTCATGACCGACTTGGCCTGCGCAGCCGTGAAGCCCTTGGCCTCCACCGCCGGGTTGTATCCCAGACCAGTAAGCTTGGCAACAACGTCGGAGGGCACAGCCGCAGCGACCTTGCCATCCGCGCGCTTGTACACGGTGACGACCACGGCACCGCCTAGACCCAGATTGTGCTGCAGGGCAGCAGCCGTTCCGTCCATGAGACGGTTGTTGGCCCACCCGCGCAGATGCCAGACCAGCTCAGCGCACTGCGCCAGACCCGTCGCGCCGAGTGGGTGCCCCTTGGAAATCAGCCCACCAGACGGGTTAATGACCATCTTGCCGCCATAGGTGATATCGCCGCGGCGGACCATCTCGTGCGCCTTGCCGGGCTCGCACAGCTCCAGTGCGTCGATGGTGATCATCTCGTTGGCAGAGAAGCAGTCGTGCAACTCGCACACCTTGATATCCTTCACATTCACGCCGGCCTCAGCGGCGGCTGTGCGGCACGCGTGCCGCGACATGCCGAAGCCCATCAGGTCAATCGAGCTGGTGCTGTACACGGACTCGGTGTCGGTGGCGAGAGTCTGGCCGGCGATGAGGATTGCCTGGTCCTTGAGATGGGGGCGAGCATCGAGGAACTCCTGAGAGACGACGACGGTGGCGGCGCCGCCGTCCGAGGTCGGGCAGCACTGCAGCTTGGTGAGGGGCTCGTGGATCATGGGGGCGTTCATAACCTGGTCGAGGGTGTATTCCTGCTGGAACTGCGAATAGGGATTGCGCTTGGAGTGCTCGTGGTTGATGCGGGCGATCTCGGCAAAGTCCTTGTTCGTGGCGCCGTACTTCTCCATGTACTCGCGGCCGGCGTTGCCGAACATCTGGGCGGCACCGGGAGCGTTGGTCACACCACGGGTCTCGGCCATCATCATGCCGAACAGGCCCGTGGGATTGGTGCGGTCGTTGTACATAGACTGCAGGCTGCCGGGGTTCATCTTCTCAAAGCCGACGACGAGGACGCAGTCCGCCGCACCGTGGGTGACCATTGTGCGGGCCATGGCGAGGCCTGTTGAGCCTGTGGAGCAGTTGTTGTTGACGTTGTAGATGGGGATGTTGGTTAGGCCGAACTGGTAGAAGACGCGCTGGCCGCAGGTGCTGTCGCCGTAGACGTAGCAGGCGACGCCCTGGTCGACATCGTCGTAGGTGATCTTGGCATCGAGCATGGCTTTGATACCGGCCTCGTAGCCTAGTTCATTGTAGTCGACTTTGCCGCGCGGCTTGATGAACTTGGTCATGCCCACGCCCAGGACGTAGGCGGGGCTGGTCTGTTTCTTGGGCATGTTGAGGGTGTGGATGGGATGGGATGGGATGGATTAGAGCGAAAGATCTTATTGTGTTGAGTGATGGAGAGTTGCAGAGTGCCGAAGGAAATATATAATCCTGACCACAGCATGTGGAGGAGCTCAGGCCGAGTTGCGGGGAGGACCGAGGTCCCGAGGAACCGTTCGGTGTGGCCTGAGGCAGGAAGGTGCATATAGGCGATATGCTGGAATAATATTCTGTCGGTCCAATCTGACAGCGGTGGGAAAGGCGGTCAACCCACCCTCTCCGAGCAGCCGCGGGGATGCTCGAGGATCACGTGCCGGACTGGCAAGCAGCTTCTTCCCCACATTCTTCCCACCAAACCAGGCAAGTCGACAGGTGACTTTGCAATCCCATCCCCTTTGCGTGATGGTCACATCATAATATTGCCGTCTGGTCGTGCCGTGTCTGGAATCTGGTAGCTCCCCATGATTGGCTGGGCTGCGATCCCCCGATCCCTGCACGGGTCCCACCCATCACGGCCCTCGGAGCACAGTCCTCCACATTGGCAGATCATTAACTGTGTTTCTGGCTTTCTGATTAGAGGCGAGCGGTGATCCGGGGGATCAGTCATGGCCGAGGCGTCTGGGCCGTTCGGGCTTGGGCTTGGGCCTGTTTGGCTGCGTGGGACCTCGACTACGTAGGTGCCTTTACACAGAATGTCCTTGACACCGTCCACCAAGGGGTTTGGTGCTACCCACGGGGCGAACGGAGTGACGTCTAGAGCAGAGATACCCCAAGTGACGCATTGTAAATAAGAGATATACTACGAGGAACTCCAATCGAATTGCATGATGTCACCTGCTACACACCCTAAACCGCATCGGGTGCTCAGCAGAGCTCGGTCCACATTTTTGCCCGCTTCGTCTTCTCTTCTTGATTGTCCAGGTTGTCTGTGAGGGTGAGTTTCCTCATTCTACTACCAACACGGTGTGTCTTGATGGACGGGCTTCCTTACTGACCTCATCCCTGACAGCGCCCGATCCATTTCCCTTCTCCCTCCCTTTTTGCTCTCCTTTCCTTCTCCCCCTCCACCAACAACACCACCATTGCCAGCTGCACAGGCAATTTCCACCCTGACTGTCGGGCACAGCCATCATCACCCTCATTCCTTGAACTGCTCTTGCCGATCGCGGGACTCATCTACTCACCACTCTCTTCGGTCGCTCGATTGGCGGAGACGTTGGACCTCCCTCTACTCGCCTCCGATCTCTGGAATCACCCCCAGAACCGCCTTGGAGGCCCCCAGGTTGCCCGAGTCTATTGAATGGAGAATTGTGGGACGCCGAACGGTCTGCTCGAATCGTTGAGAGACCGCTTTGCGTTCCATAGGGTTCCCCAGCCTGCCTTCCTTCGACCGATTGATTGATTGAATCTCGCTCTCCCGGCCATTGCCTCCAATGGACCACCTTCAGGGATGACTATTGACAAACGTTCTGAACATGCCCCCTTCTCCCCGACGACTGCCTCCAATCCCACTCCCGCTATTATGCCGACCCGCAATGCCTGGACCATGGACGATGCGGCTCGCAATAAACTATTGAAAAAGTACAAGACACAGGTGGCTTCGGGGACGTCGACCATCTGCGCGACTTTGGCGGTGGTATGTTTTGGCCAGGCTGGTAATAATATGCCTGATGCTAAACTTTGAATCGCAGACCCCTCTCGAAAATGTCAAAACACGGATGCAGACGTGAGTCCTCATACATACGGAATACGCAGTCGAAACAGACTAACCCGCGCAGGCACAATTTCCAAAACGTCTTTCAGTGTGTCCGCTATCTGTGGCGTACCGAGGGTCCTCGTGGTTATGTGGCTGGTAGGTTGAGCTTCCTGTTATCTAGCGGACAATAATTGACTCCGTCAAGGTGCCCTCCCGCCGCTAGCGAGCGTCACTGCAGTCCGAGTCGTCAACTTCTCCACATACAACTGGGCCAAGCATACCATCTCCGACTACATACAGAGTATCACCGGCCGAAACCCTTACAAAGAGTACAATACCCCTGGCAGCACCCCGACAGCAACGGGAATCTTCATGTTTACCTCCGCCGGCCTGCTCGCCGGGTTGGTGACTTCTCCCCTTGCCTGTAAGTTTGGAGAGGATCGTCTGTGTCGCTGCACCACATACTAATAAAATCCAGGTCCCTTCGAACTGGCCAAGAACGTTGTCCAAACGTCCGTGTTAGTGTCGAATCGCGCTCAAGCTGCCCCCGGTGCCGCCCGGGACCCTTCCCTCCGCCGCAAGCCCCGTCTTGGTACCTTCGAAGCAATCCAGCAGATCGTCAAGCGATATGGATTCCGCGGCCTGTATACCGGGTTTCGCCTCCACGCGATGCGGGATACCCTGGGGTCTGGGCTGTACTTTGGCGTCTACGAAACCGTGAAACAGGTCGCTGCCAAGGAGCTCGGATCTGACAAGTCTCCGTTCGGAGCGCCCATGATCGCCGGTGCCATCTGTAGCACCGTCCCGTGGTTCTGTGTAGGTTTCTTTTATGGCTTCTAATCCACACCACCATACTAATATTTCCCAGACGTATCCCCTCGACACGCGCAAAACCCGCGCGCAGAGTGTGCTCCTCGGCAAAACCTCTGAGATCGGCGAGGCCTCGATGGCCGTCGCCAAATCTAGCATGTATAAAGGTCTGTCCATCATCCTCATCCGGACGGGCGTGAACAACATGATCCTCCTGAGTATCTTCGAGTACATCAAGATGCGGATCAACGAGCTCCCCGAGTAACTAAGGGAGGTGATTGGCGGGCGCGCGCTGTGTGGAGTTGATCTCATCTTCTTGTTGTTCTGTTTCTGGCGATTGATTATTTTCTCACGTACATACATGACGACGGAGCTTGAGGCTCGTCCATAGCGAATATCAGACTGTTGCGTGGATTATCCAACCTGTAGGCTTAATAGTCGTTAGCTGACAGGCTGAACTATACCTAGATGTCGCAGCCTCAGGCGCCAACACGTCATCCGTTGCCTGGTAGTGGGGGTAACCCAATAATAACTTCCGCGATCAACAAAACTCGCGTGTCTCCCACCTCCTCTCTCACAATAATACACAGCTAATAATGGCGGCATCGTGAGTCTCCGAGACCCGCCTCTGACAACTGCAGTTGACTAACCACTTCCCTCATTGCAACCCCTACAGCAACATCCTCCAAATCCCCTTCCGGCGCTCCCACGCAGTCTCCCTCTCCGACGCAATCACCCAATACATCTCCTCCAAATATGACCAGCGCCCGGACATGTTCGCAGAGGATCTGCTGATCATCAACCGCTTGCGCACTGAGGCTGTTAATGTCCAGGAACCGCATGTTAGCGGTATTAGTCGCCTGGTTACGTACGCGGCGCAGCTGAAGTGGTTGGGAGGGAAGTTTCCGATTGATGTGCGTAAGCGCAAGACTTTCCTTTCCTGGTCCGTCCTTTTGAGGAATGATCTTGAGAAGAAACCAAAATGCTGACCGTGGCTTTTGTGGAGGGGTTTAGGTCGGGGTGGACTTTGCGTGGTATCCTTCCCTGGGGTTTAATGGGTCGCAGCCGAGTGAGTGGTTTCTTTCTTGCATTTTGGAGGAGATAAGAGCTTTTCTTTTGCTGATGAGTGACAGTCTCTCAAAATAACTTACGCTACGAACTGGCCAACATCCTCTTTAACCTTGCAGCGCTCTACTCACAACTCGCATTCGCTCTCAACCGGACTACTGGAGATGGACTCAAGCAGGCTTGCAATTACCTCTGCCAGGCAGCCGGGGTGCTTCACCACCTACGCACCGAGATAATCCCCGATCTGCGCACGTCACCGCCAGAAGATATGGATGAAATGACACTTCAGAGCCTGGAACAACTCCTCCTCGCCCAGGGCCAAGAATGTTTCTGGCAGAAGGCCGTCAAAGATGGTCTGAAAGACGTCTCCATCGCGCGGCTGGCGGCCCAAGTCTCGGATTTCTATGCAGATGCAGGCGATTTCGCGGTCAAATCAAATGCTATTAGCACGGACTGGATCCACCACATGACGGCGAAACACCACCACTTCGCAGCGGCCGCACAGTACCGACAGTCGCTCGACTGTTTGGAAAAGCGCAAATACGGCGAAGAAGTGGCCAGGCTACGCGATAGCTTGAACTGCGTGAATGAGGGGCTGAAGGAGTCACGGTGGATCAACCGTACGGTTCTGGGGGATCTAAACGGGCTGAAAAGTCGCGTTGCGGAGGACTTGAAGCGCGCCGAAAAGGATAACGATGTTATCTACCTGAATCCTGTGCCGCCAAAGTCAGAGCTGAAGAGTATCGATCGTGCTAGCATGGTCGCTTCCAAGGCTCCCTCGCAGGTCACGGATGCGATTTCGATGCTGGGTGACAAGGGACCTTTGGGACAGCCGCTTTTTGCGAAGCTCGTGCCGTATGCAGTTCATATTGCGGCTAGTATCTATTCTGATCGCCGGGATCGATTGGTTAATGGGACGCTCATTGCGGAGTTGGAGTCTATGACGGATAAGCTCAGAGAGTAGGTGCTGTCCGACGGTTTTATCTTCTACTTTGCTTACTGGATGTCTCACACAGTCTTTTATCTGCGTTAAACCTCCCGGGATCGCTGCAAGCTCTTGAAAAGCCTCTCGGCCTGCCACCGACACTGGTCTCTCATGCTGAGGAAATGCGGCAGCAAGATGGACTCAACCGTCTCCGTCAGTCCATGGAAGATACGGCTCGGGTGAAGTCCAATGATCGGACGGTTTATAACGAAGGTGTTGAATTGCTGGCAGCCGAAAAGGCAGAGGACAACGCGGCGCGCAGAAAATACGGTACGGATAGGTGGTCGCGCGCACCCTCTGAGGAAGCTGCCTCGAAGATTTACACTACCTCCACTGAGATCAGCGGGTACTTTACCTCTGCGCAGAGCAGTGATGATCTTGTCGAGGGAAAGTTTCAAGACTACGAGTCCGTTTTCCGTGTGCTTACGGGGACGAACCGTGATCTGGAGTCGTATGTACCTAGCAGCCGGAGAGCTGCTATTCCACACGAGGTCGAGCGTGAATCTATCCGACTGCGCAGCTGCTTGAGCGAAGTAAGCCGTATCGAGAATCGGCGACGACGACGGATCCAGACACTGAAGGATAAGGCTCAGGCGGATGATATCCGTATGCTTTCTCCCACTTTCCTAGTTTGCTTTTCGGGCCATTGCTAACTCGATTTCCCTAGATCCGGCTCTTATCAAAGAAACCGCTCGACTCGAGCGCGAGTTTCCAATGCAACCAATCCAAGCAGGCCAATTCGAAGACCTCTTCGAGGAAAAGCTGCGGCTGTACGACTCATACCGCGACATGCTCGCCCAGGAATGGAAAGACCAGGAGCAAATATCTGGACAAGTGCGCGAGGCGAACCGGAATTTCACACGCGCTCATAAGGGAGACGCTTCGACGAAGGAGCGGGAGACGGCACTCCAGGAATTGGAGAATGGGTATCTGAAGTACAAGGAGATCATTTCGAATCTTGAGGTTGGGAGGAAGTTCTATAACGACCTGGCTAAGATTGTGGGACGGTTCCGAGATGATGCGAAGACGTTTGTTCATCAGCGTCGGATGGAGGCGAGTCAGTTGGAAGCGTATGCATCGTCATTTCTTCCCCTCGAGAACTCTTCACTAACACTCTAATAGAGACATCACCAATGTCGCAGCCATGTCCTCGCTGCATATCACCCAACCTCAGACCCGCCAACAACCACCACCCCAGCAACAGCAACCCCATAACACCCACCACCATGTTCACAGGCCATCCGATACAAGTGCCCCTCTAACAGCACCGCAACCAATGCGCGCCCCCGTCCCACCACCCGCCGTCCCTGCTGCACCGGGAGTATGGTCCCCCGAAGTGGGCATTCGGTTTTCATCTGCTGGAGTGCCTCCTGGTGCGACCCCCGCCGGGTCGGCTCAGGGTCAGCCTCAATCTGGCCGTGGTCGTGCGCTGCCCGGGACGTGGGATCCTTCGCAGGGCTTGCGGTTCTCTTGATTGATCTGTTTTGTACATACAGCATAACATTCACAGTGCAACATACACAGGCTCTAGATTTAGGTATTTGAGGGGTGTACATGGCTTTGCATATAAGTTACCGACGGAAGGACCATTTACACTTACTATACTAGAAGGTCACTTGATTGAACGGCCTAATTGAAAGTAGATCCGACATTAACATCAGGTTGTTTCCACAACAGAGTATGCAGTCCAGGTCATAGCTGGCATGTTTTCTAGAAGCGATAGTGGACGATGCGATGATCGAGCGTGTTTGAATACATGAAAGGGCAACTCCGAGCGAGGTGCATGATACTAGCTTCATTGTGACTGAAAGTGTCTTATAAATGGTGATCTTCTCCGCAGTCGGGGTCCGTAGGTTGCAGAAGAATGTGCAGGTATCGTTGTTTATACATATGTATAGGTGGAAAATATAGATTGCCTACAAGTTAGAGCCCAAATTCTGACATGCAGCAATACACCCCATAACAAGAGCCCCCGGGTTGAACCGAGTAGGATACCGCTCTAGCATCGCGGCAGACAAAGCCCGCGGATCGGTAATCCCCGAATCCAACAGCTCCTCAAATACTTCAATATATCTGCGCGTGGCTGCTAGATGAAATGGGCCATCCATCTCATGTGGTTGTTTGTGGCCCGGGACAACGAGGGCAGGCTCCAATGCCTCGACCTTACGCACGCTGGCGATCCACTGTGCGCGCTTCTCTCGCGTATTAACCTCGCCGAGCATCTGGTGCACGTCGCCGTAGACAACGTCGCCGCATACGGCCAGTTTCAGTGTGGGCACCCACAACACAGTTGAGTCGTGTGTGTCGGCCTGACCGACTTCGATGGCTTGGATAATATGTGATTCCAACAGTATAGTATTACCCACTGGTAAAGGCTGCGCGAGTGTTTGGGGAGTGTAAATCTGGTTTGGGAATTGGGTTGTCCACCGCCTGAAGGTCTTTGGATCGAGTTGCTCCTTCATGTGAGCCACTGTCGCGACTGTGGCTACGGCCTGCACCCCGGGAAACGCCTGCAGCAGCAGGGGAATCCCAAAGAAGTGGTCGCCGTGCCCGTGGGTAATGTATATGGTTATCAGTTTCTTAGTTGGGATGCGTGTTTTGACCCAGTCGATCAGTTGCTGTGTCTGTGTGGTGGTGATAGGCGTGTCCACGAGCACTGCCTCGGACCGGCCGTGGATGAGCGTGCAGGAAATAGGGGACCAGGGCCCGCCTTTGCGTCCGTCGGGCTTGGACCAGGGAATGGGCGGTGCGACGTAGACGTCTGCTTGTAAAAGAGGACATTTTTGGAGTGATACTGATACTGTTAGACAGAGTATATAGTTGGTTCGATGAAAAAAAGAAAAAAAAAAAACTGCTTTAACAGGATATTCTGGTGGATTAAGAAATCATTAAGGCGGATGATTTCGACATTTTATATATCTCGCACCGGATCGCCTTCAGAATACATGCCACTGTCTGGTGAGATGTTGATATTGTAATCATGAAATGCGTGAAACGGCCGAGGCAGCAATGGATAAACCTCGGCCCAGCCCAGGCTCCAGAAGTCTAGGAGGTCCATAGGGACCAGTTGAGAGATGTCCAATTCTCGGTCATAAAGGTGGTAGTCTAACTCTTTGCTGGCAAACGAACGAACGTATAAAGCTAAGACCAGATAGACTCGGCGGCTGCATTAGATCCGCTTGCTACCACCTCTTAACCTGCTTAAGTGGATTCTTTGGAACGAACGACATATTCTCCATCCTGGCTCTCTCAAGCTTCTCCCGTACCTCGCCAAAAAATTCCTAGAGCCCATGTGCAGCAGTGTAGACGACTTGGGCAATTTTTGCTTCCCCACAGAAACCAACTGTCAAAGGATGTACAAGCTTCCCAACCAATATTCGTTTAAACAAGGCCCCTTCTGCTTTCCCGGTCTCTTTCCGATGCAAGGCACTGATTCCTGCCAGGCAGTGCTATGGCAAGCAAGTAAGCTTTGGGCATACTGATCATACCAGTATGCTTTTATAAGGGCAGACTCGTGCCGGTGTTTCCTCAAATGGCCCAGTTTGCGCTATGTAGTCAGCTACTCGTGACTGCAGTCCCCTCAATTTTACTAATCTTTTCTGCTCAAGCACCTCGCGACGAACCGATGATTGTCAAGTCTTTGAAATGCATTTATCAAGAATGTGAAGCTTCTCGAATCGTTTCTGTTTGATTTAAATGAATAAAAGAATGAAAGAATGAAAGAAATAAGATCAAAAGTAGATACTCCTCCTGACCAAACGGGCCGAAGGCAAGGCAAAATTAATTCGCCTGCAGCCATTTGTCAATTCTCACCATTGGGAGAAGCTATGTAAATATCCATCCACTGGAATGTCTCCACGTTTCAAGAGATTGTAGGAAGTAGTATCCAATTTGTGGGTGTCGAGATCCATACTTTGAGGGTGATCATTCTGGCGTTTGGATCACATATGCAGGTTCTCCCGGTACACCCAGGGCTTTCCGATCCACGGTACTTGAAGCGGTTCACTATGGCGTGGGTGTGATTGTTGCCGGAGGCCCGCATTTGCAGTATGAATCCCAACAGACAGACTCTCTCGATCCACAGTGCCCAGAGCAGTCACTTGACGCAGTGCACGTTGGTAGTGGAGAATAAGTGGACGAAGGTGCCAGAGAAGTGCTGGAGGCTGGTCGGGTGGAGCTACCATGTTCACTCGTCCACTCACTATAATCTTCATCCATATAGACGCACGCGACGTTAAGAGGGTCGGATCCGACCTGGTGGCAATTGGCCGGCGCCGGCTCGTCGTCCGGATCAAGGGCGCTGGAATCCACCAACGTTTCGGCATCTTGCTCAAAGTCTTGGGCCAAAGTCGAGTTGGTCGAGTTCTTCGAGCTGCGTGGCTCAATGATACTGCGTCTGAGCTCGTCATGGGGCCAATGCCAGGCACCGTCAGTTCTCCAATTCCATTGCTTCTTAAGGTAGTTGAAAACCAGCATCCACGCATAGTTGTCCGCTGAATAGGTTGTTAGTTTTACGTCACAGAATTGATGAATGGTAGCAGACTCACCATTGTACATCGTGAGCTGATTAATCTGATTGACATAGTCGGGGTTGTAACCGTTATACGGCTTGGGGTAGGTATTCCTCCAAGCCCATTTGGCACAGACGTCACCTCCGTAAACAGCCTGAGACAAGTTGTGAGCGACGATTTTTAATCAAAATTAAGAAGGATCGAAAGACGTACCATTATTTGTTCATTGCCCCTGTACTTCCTTTCTGATGGAACCATAGACTTGACATCCCGGACTATAATACTCGTCAATATATAAGAAATCAAAGAAGGATATATAAACTCACTCCAGTACTGTGTGTGCCCGGCAGTTTGACAGTGGAAAAACTCATGTGCCAGGATATATTCCCGTGATCTTAGGTAACTAATGTCCGAGACGGACTGCTTTTTCGCCACGACCGACTTCAGACTCTCGGCGCTTTCAAAGAAAAGTGGACAAAAACGGATCCAGTCGCCTATAATAAGATGAATTAGTCTCAGAGTTAACCTGGGGATGGGATGATAGTCGATTTTAATACATACCCCTGTTTGTCTTGTGGGTACGATGGGTTTCTGCACCACTAAATATTATCAGCCGTTATGCATCTAAGAATACACATTATCACTTACACTCCGATACGGTCGCACGCATCCGCGCCCCAGTCGACAACATGCTGGCAGGTGAGGGTCGCACGCCCGGTATATGAGAACTTCTTCCACCTCTTGCTGTCGCCCTTTGAAGGAAATTGGATGACTTGTTCAAGATTGCCTAGCGGTGGTCAGGTACTTGAAATATAATTATAAAAGACAAGGAAAACTCACTCCGGATGGAGTCATAGTGCTTGGTGTACTCGGGCTGAGATTCTTCTATCAGTGTCATTCATTCTCTTAGGTCGTTAAACAATGAACTAACCGTAGAAGTCCATCCTTTTCCGCCCTTCAGCTTTTTCATCTCCCCATCCTGGACAAAGTAACGATTCCAACCAGCGGAGGACTGGGGGTTTGAAAGGCTTTCCTGCATCATGGGCATTGTTTGTTCCACCGTCTCGAGGAGGATTTTCCATTGGCTCGGGGTGCAGCCAGTATTAGCCTCTTTAAAATTGAGACCTTTGTACTTGATATGAAGATTCATCAGTTCATCAGGCCAGACATTCAAGTGATCCCTCTTCTCGTGAGGGACGGGTGTGGCTAAAGACTGTTTGAACAGAATGAAAAGAAGTTGAAACAAAAACAAATAATTGAGCTCCATCTTGAAACCTACTACCTCCTATGAGGCAAAGAAGGACCTTGAGATAGAAAGAAAAAAAAAATAATCTAGCATAAAATCACCAAGAGGACGGGGCATCTGGGTGAAATAAGTTGCGCTGCTAACACAGAAGGATCAGGCTATTCTTCGGTTACGTAGTAATAGTGGGTGTGTCGTGCGAGCCGCTTGTAGATCTGTATAGCCTCGCGTCAGGAATATCCAATAATCATCAATTGACTTTACGTGTATTTTGGTTTTAGCCCCATGATCAACGTTCCACGCGGCTGGGGCTACGATTTCAGTACTTATGCTTCTGCAGCCTTGTTTCTATCTAGTGCGTGGGGTCCAGGTCGCTGTTGGTGGCGATGGCATCCTTTGGCAGCGATCCTAATTTTTTATCGCCCGGTCTTCGGATTTACCGCTATCTATTATTAGAGCCCCTGAAACTGTTCCATTCCTGTGCCTTCCAGTTATTTTTCACTTCTGAAGTTTCTTGCGTTGTTTCATTACTTCAGATACAGCTGGCTTGATTGAATTCGATAGAGATAATGTGGGCGCTTCAAGGATTTTTGCTATGGATAGCAACAGCGATGGCAATTGAGCATTATCGTATGTACTCATCGACATTCCTTCCGGTCCGATTTCGCTAATCAAGGAATAAGCGCTTGGTGTCAACTTTGGATTGAAGTATATGTTTGTACAACAATTTCCTAGGGCGGGACCTTCCCTATCTTTTTGCTGACTGCTTGAAGCACTGCTGCCTACTTTACAGCATCAGGCGAGCCCATTGCTGCTGTAAAACTTGAAGGGTCCGAAGAATACCAGAGGCACATTCAGGCGTTGGTGACAGATTCCCGAAAAAGAGAGATGCGCTTTGGGGAGATCTACATCAGAGAAGGTTCAGAGCTACACCCAGCACCGACAGAGTATCTTGCCTACCCTGAGAAGGATCGTGAGATCTTCTCCCAGATCCTCCGACAGGTCACAGATACTGCCACGCGCTCCTTGGGCCACGGTCGCTCTGTCGAGATTACCGTTGCTAGTGTTCCATCCGGACTTGACCGCATTGCCTCTGAACATCTCCATCATTCAATTATACGGACGGATGCATCTTCCCTTCAGCATGGGTGGCAAAAACTACAGTTTCTTGACGCTGCTCGATTAGCCTATGACCTAGACACATGTGAGGCATTTGGCCAGTCTCCTTCTTGTAACTTGGAGACTGGGGGACCGTATACTATCTTATACGTCGATCAAACCCCCGGTTACTTAGACCTCTGGGCGGCAGATGTCGGAGAATTCAGTGTGGCCGAGTTCGAGCACAATCGCATCCAGCATTCGGAAGCAGCAGATGCAATGGTTTGTTATTTATTATTTCACTCAAGCTAAGACTCTACTAATACGTCCTGATCTCAGGCAATCACAACCGCCGTCAAAAAATTCATCTCAGAACAGCTAGCTCAATACGAAACCGACATCCGTGCTGTTATTCTTAGCGGCGAGGCACCACCGGCAGACTTAAAAAGCACCCGTCAAGCTATTCAAGAGGCACTGCCTGATCAACTACAGCATCTGCTTCGAGATCAGATTGATCCAGTCTTTACTGGTGCGATTGGGGCTGCACATCGCGCACGGAAACACGTGCATGATCCGGAATTATTAAACATTAAAAGTGACCATGAACATTTCCGTCATTTCCCTGACCTTGACCATGACGAACTGTGATATATCTTATGCAGCTTATAAATTGGTCTATTTGGCATGGCAAATTTTTAGTTACATGATTACAATATTCATAATTGGGCACTTTAAGAGCTAGTCAGTTATCCGTTTGGCGCCGAAGTGGAAGCTGGGGCCAGGACCGCTGCCGATCAATCAAGACTGTTGCCCCTTTTCATTTTGAGCCCTCCCTATGTAGTTATCGCCTACTGTCGTGCTGGTCCGTTTGGCCCTTCCTGCTCGGTAGACTTAAGAAGTGCCCCGCTCAAAGCCCCACTAGCATAGCGTGTTGGGGGCTATCGCTTATCCTGCGGTTCCCCATACTGGGCCATTCCTAATAGGGTCCCCGGTGGTTCCATATGGCCTGAAGGGAGTCGACCCACTTAGCAGAGTCTATCACGTCTCTCACCCCTCATTTAACATCGGCGGATCCCAGATTGCTGACTTCAGCTCTCTTTCGCTTGGAGAAAATCACTGTCTCGATTAGATCGCTTTTACAAGAGAAGTCAACGTCAGCCATGAATTCTTTGGAATCTGAGCGCCTTCACTTCCGTGCCTGGGATTCCTCTCGCGATAAGGAATGGTATTTCACAATGCACTCCGACCCAAAAATCTTTTACAATACTTCTAAAAGCACTTTTCAGCCCATGAAGAAAGATTCACTTGATCCCATTGTCAAAGAAATCGAAGCGGCGCTGCTGGCTGTTGTTATCTGCAAAAAGTCATCACTGAATACGGCAGAGGACCAACCAGCTTCGGAATCGGAAAGAATTGGGATCCTCATGATAAAAAACATCCCTCCGAGCCAGGTTCAAAACCGCTGTGCTGATCTCGGGATCGAATTGAGACCCGACGCGCAAGGCCAAGGCTATGGAACTGAGGTTTTACGTTGGGCTCTCAACTGGGCTTTTAAGATGGCAAATCTGCACAGGGTCCAATTGGAAGTGTATGGGTGGAATGAGGTCGCCCTGAAAACATATCGTAGGGTTGGATTTCGAGAGGAGGGCCGCTTGAGGAAGGCTGTATGGAGGGACGGGCAATGGTGGGATGAAATTTGGATGGGAGTTTTGCGAGAGGAATGGTCGTTATAAATGCTATTGGCTGGGATCTGCCAAGCACTACACATGGATATGGTTTGTCGTGTTTGCCCATGCTGATCTGCAAAATTCTCTGGTATTTTATGGAGTCGATCGACCACTATTTCCTGCTTTGGAGCAGCTTCTAAATCAGAGCACAGCAGCAAGACTTGGATCGTCTCTCCTGCACAGTCAACCGGAACTGCCGCCTGGGCAACAATCGGCGTTCGCGACCAGCGAGCTACGCTCGGGTAGCTGCAATCTGCGCCCTGAGTGGGGGCCCGGATGTTTTCTCAACGTTTCTCTATCGCTGCAGTGGCAACAAAACGCCATGGACAGTGATGCTAGAGTGTAAATAAACAAAGCTGCTCGCGATAGCCATGTTCGATGCTCCATAGTCATCTTTTAACATTCTTTGAAGCTCTACATTGCTTCCATCATAGCTTGGATGGCGAGCTTGGTCGCCACCCCACGTCAGTCATTTTAGCTTTGGGAGCTAGCTCACCCATACATCATGGCCACAACGTGTCTTCCCCAGACTACCTCTCAGTCATGAGTCCTGCCATTCCAGCCAATATGACTGCCATAGGGACTATGGGGAATAAATCCGTTCAGGAACCCCCGTGTGCGATGGGCATCCGACCAGAGCACGTCACCGAGTTTGAACGACTCCTCTGGATCGAACCAAAATATGACGCGCGCTCATCAAACGAGTACTGCATTCGATATGACAGCGACGACTCGACATTATTCACTGTGACGGGAATGAAATACAACGAGAAAGCTACGCGCGAGTTCCGCGATTCGTCGGGCCTCCCCTTGTTCGAAAGCCAGAAGGTCTGGTCGCCGGGCTGGAAACATAGACGGCCGTGGAGCGTTCGCTTGCCAGGATGCAAGAAGGCAGATCTGGTTGATATCCGATTCAAGGGCGTGATGAGTAACAGCTTTGAGGTGAATTTCCGCAATGCAGCTGCGCTTGACACCAAGAACAAGGACGATCAGATGGTTCGTCTCGTGGTGAACCGCGTCTCGCCGATCTACCGGGTGTACGAGGTGAGGGTGGCCGGCGTCAAAGTCGTGGATATACGCGAGAGTATGGAACGGAACAGATCCGTGCCGACCGGTCGATATAATTCAAGTGGAAGTGCGTTGCCCCCTCGGTTGGTGATGGAGATATTAGTGGCTGCGAATTTTGATATGTCTCTGGTAAGCTTTGGGTACCGATCCGTGTCATGAAGCCGTCGGCTGACGCGTGATGGCAGGCTTCGCTCATCGTGGTCATTGTCAGCGATATGGGGTTTAGTGCAACACCTCCACACTCGACTAGTCGGCTGCACGCTACTTTGAACATTCCGTGATACGTCTGGGAACGAGAATGGGATGAAACTACTCGAGAATGATTCAAGTTGCAGTATTGTGCAAAAGGATCACTTGATATACCGTCACTTAGCGTTCTGGACGGAGGAGCCTCGCCTCGCACCTCACGCCGCTTTTAAATAGTTAATCTCTGACTCGACTAAAGCTAGTCTGGGGCGATACTACAGTCCAGGCATAGCCACACTAGCCAGCCAGCCTTGCCGATCGCAGATCACCACAGTTGGGAATCATGGCCAATGAACGGTCGGAGATGACGCAGTTCCAAATTCAGTAAGGCTGCTAGATTTCCCTGAGTTCAATAAGTCTGCTCTCCTCGGCGTTCACATTCAAAATAAAACCAACATCCACCGGCGAGACAACAAGAAAAATGCCCCTCACGGACCTCCCCAACGAAATCATCGCCCTACTACCACAGCACATCGACAACATCGAAACATTCACCAACGCTTCCTCATCATGCCGACTCCTACGCTACAACTTCTCCAAAACAGACCCCCGCACCATCCTCCGGCTAGCAGCGAACTCAGCACCAGTCTTCTTCTCGCCACACCCACACTTCCTAACAGCCATCACAGCCCGCAAAGCAAGTGCCTGGGCACTGGGGAATGAGTCGCGCACAGAACTTCTCAGGGAAGCATTCCAGGGCGGCATCGAGGGCTTATACTCGTTCTGTCTCGAACACTCCAGTCTGACCATGGAGGATATTCGACGCACGCACCTCGCCCGGTTCGAGATTATCAATGTCTTTTCTGATCGCATCGATAAAATGGCCGGTGACCAGTGGATGGACACGCCAAATTTCTGGAATGGCGGTGTCAGCTCGGCGTATACGCTCTACACGGATGCTGAACGAGCAGCGTTCCAGATTATTATTTATGGGGAACTATTCGCCGCCAGCATGGATGCGTTTCTGGATCCGGAGAAGAATCTGCCGTGGTTCGACATCGGTATCCGACTCGACTATTGCAAGTACTGCATCCCAGACCGGTTTTGCGATTCTTACGATGCTCAAAACGGGTCCCCAGGATTGCAAGTGCAGCCCACGGGCCCGTATTCCTACCGCAAGAATGAAATCAAGGTCTCCCCTTCACAGGATCTGGATCAGGTGTCTATGCGCCATATTACGGGCTGCGGGCGCTGGCGGCGGATGTGGGGGTCTGCGATCCGGCAGACTCTGGCCAGGGCCGAAGGGGAGGGGGAAGAGTTCACAGAGCAGAGCGAGGAAGAGGAGCATTGGAGGAAGAAGTTGCTTAGGAGGGCATTGCAGACACAGGGTCTTGAGGGGATGCAACTGGTTACAGTATCACCGGAGAAAGTGGCGCCGGAATGGGTGGAGAGGACGCGGAGGATCAAGGACCAGATTGATAAACTGGAGAAACCGCCACCCACGCAGAGGTTGGGCAACTGGGCTCAGTATCTTGTATTCTTTGCGCCGGACCTTACGAAGGAGATTAGAGTTACCATTGCAATGTATTCGGGATATGGGTCGGATCAGGATTTGGTTCTGTGATGTGTTCACGTGGAAGGATTCAATGGGCCTAGGACTAGACTATATATCGGCAGAGATCGAACCAGGGTGTGGAGCTTTCATGTAACATATGTGTGGTACTCTCAAAATCGGGGGTATGATCATCACTCAAGTCCATTTGGAGGAAGCACATGTAGTGCTTGCGTAGCATTAATGATTATCACGCTGCCAGAATGGAAGGTCTGTACTTCAAAAGGAAAATTGTGGCGGAGACGCTTAGGCCTGAAGTCTATTAGGCCGTTATATCGGACAATCTGGTCGCTAGGACTTTGGTTTGGTAGTAGTTAAACCTTACCCTTATGCGCCATGGGTATTGACATTTTCATAGGAGATCAAGGGGGCTTACCATGTTCGTTAGGCGGTACTCTATCCACGTCTTGCGAAAATCCGGAAATCTCCGATAAGCGAGAGTCTAAAATAAACTTTAGTGTCACCGGAAAGCATCGGTCACGAGCGGAATATATAAATGTTGCAATTGTTCGCGCGTGCTTCTGCCTTGGTACACTATCGCCTATCATCTTAAGTCAGCGAAGGGACGATGTCACCATGGCCGCGCTGGATAGAAATCCCTCAAGTGGGATGGAGACGCATCTCCTGGGAATTATCTGGGGTGCAACATCAATCGCCACCTTCGTCTTAGCACTGAGGGTTATAGCGAAATTAAGAATGAGACAATTTGGATGCGACGATTTGCTCATGATTTTCGCAGAAGTGAGCACCTTGACAGCCGGCAAACTTTCTCGTGTTGGTAGCTAATCAAGTTGCCTAGATTCTAGCAATAATTGGATCAAGTATGTTCACAATGGGTGTGAAGCATGGCTTTGGTCATCACGTATGGGACATTCCTCATGCAGAAGTTTCGACAGTCATCATGTACGACTATCTCACTCAAGCATTTGGTGTGGCTGCCTCATGCATGGGCCGAATATCTTTTATTTTCTACATTCTGGGCCTCCTTGGAATTGAGAGGCTTCATCGAATCATTCTGTTGCTTTTTATAAGCTTCCAATTAACTACAAATGTGGTTTCTATCCTTATAATGTTCTTGCAATGCCCAGGCCATGCTTCTGACATTTGGGGCCGACCAAGAAAAGCAGGCTGCTGGGATGTCCATGTCCAAGCATATTATGGGTATTTTCAAGGTGGTAAGATATAATGTCTTCTTTAACCGGAACGAAGATTCGTTATGCTAACGTATTGGAATTATTAAACAACTAGCCTTCAACTCTGCCACAGATCTTTACCTTGCTGCTTTTCCAGCATATATATTGTGGAATATGAATATGGATATCCGACTCAAGCTAGGTGTGATAATGCTTCTCGGGTTAGGTGTATTGTGAGTACTCTCCGGATACCTTCATTTTATCAGATTCATGGCTCACATTTTTGTTCTCATCAAGAGCTGCGGCTGCATCAGTCGTGAGAACCTTCCAAGTTCATATACTGGGAAATCCAAATAATGATCCAACTGCTGCGACTGTGGATCTCGATTATTGGTTGTACATTGAAACCAGTCTTATCATCATCGCAGCCTCAATTCCCTGCATACGCTCTCTCTTTCGTAAGCGCAAGAGCGCAAACCGCGAAAGCTCTTTTCAATTTAGCGCCAATGCAGGGTATTCTAGCCGCCTTCATCATCGGAAAGAGCAGGATTTGGTTGATGATGAGTTATGCGGCTGCCAGAACACTGCTGACCAAGACGATATCCGCAATGGCTGAGGTGTGTTGAACGAATGACCACATTTACCCAGGGCAGACCACTAGGCTGTGAGCTAAGTTGCCGGGCCGCTGCACACGCATTATTACACGAACAGACAATTTGGGCTACACCACTAAATGCCATCTCAATCGCGTTTGACAGAGCAAGCGCTTGTATCAGGGCATCGTGTCGGCAGAAAAGACGTTGCATTTATCTTGTCTAAGGAGGCTGTCATAAGCTTCTCAGCGGCGAGAATCCCGAGCATACTCCCCAGGTTGTCATCGGCTGGGTTGACAGTAGGGTACGGCAACCACAATTCCTATGTTATATCATAAGTTACCAGTTTATTTTTATACAATCAAGTGTATCGTCTATTGTTATCTTGGTCCTTTCAAGGGCCCAACTCACAGGAATGGCATATTGGTGCCGCTTTCGTGATCGGCATTAGCACAATACGAGTACGGGCGACTTTGCCGGCAAAACAAATCACAGGAGACTGAAGAGACAGATGTCATAACTCATGCAAAGCTAGGATTGGTACAAAACAATGCTGCGCTTATCGAGATCAAAAATCAACGCGAGGATCCGGCTTATTCTTTACATCAGAATTGTGCTAACCAGCGGTGGCTCCAGCCTTAGCATTGGCGTGACTGCTGCCTGCTTCATGACAGTCGCGATTGACCTTGTCGGAGTGGACCCGGGGGTCGAGCTTGTTGGCTATGTTGCTGTTATGAGGGCCGGTCGTGCTACTCTTCGTGCCTCCCTTGCCATAATTATGCACTGAGCCCAGGTGCTTATCAGGACGGGTACCTAAAAATTCAATTAGTCGTCTTATTCATAGAGATTCTACACTCGAAGTGAGCTTTACCTATGTCACTCTTGACCCGTGGGTCGAGCTTATTCGCTATGCTTGTATTGTGTGGGCCCACAGTGCCCCCTGGAGTAAGGCCATCAGTATTTGTAACATACATATAGAATCATGACTTTGATTTCTTACCGGTGTCGCTGTCGATGTGAGGCTTTAATTTATTGATAAGCTTAGAACTGTGAGGCCCTTGGTTGCTCGAGTGACTTTTCATATCGGCGATTTGGGAGAAAAGGCAGAAATAATTAAACAGGAATAGTTTAGAAAAGGCAGGCGTTCCAAGGCTCTTGCAGGGTGCCTGGTAAGGCCTATAAATATGTGTAGTTGTGTGGGGAACTATATTACGGGGTAGTGACGTCAATTTTTTTTTTTGGGTTTCATACTAGAGAATCTTGCTATAAGTTAGCCCTCCGTGGCTAAATATAGAGATAGTATACTATTTTATCTATTTTGCACTTTGAGCCCGATGTAATATAATAAGTACAAGGACAATGATCGGTTATTATCGTTCCAAACGTCAAATGGCGAAGGCTTCGGGTAAACACCAAGCAGTAGACAACTAGTTCATAACCGCAAGTCTACTTGATACATTAGAGTGGTCCCTCTGGGTCGCATTGGTGGGTTAATATATCGACACTCAAAAGCAGGGATGGCTTCGAACGATGCCAGGCCTAGAGGAGGTCCGATTGGAGGCACCCCCGGAGCACTTGTCATGTAGATCTACAATTACAATCTTGGTTTTACGCCAAGGCAGCTTTTTCAAGGCATCCGTTGATTAGAGGCTGATAGCCTCTGCCAAGCATACAGCAAACAAGAAATGAAAAAAAAAAAAAATAAATAAATAAATAAAATTCAAGACAGACTGCTAATTCACATCACCATGAGCGAAGAAGGTGGTGCAATTATGGAGTAGAGAGTCGGAAATGTTAAATAACAAAAGACTCCAACTACATCTAATCCTATCCATCACACAAATCTCGAAGGAAACCTGAGCATAGCTTGAAAAGTTTCAAGCTGGTAGAATTCGAACTGGGAGTGCTGAGAAAAACGATCTCCTAATGGTCTGTCGGTCAGAGACTAACTACTGACGCCAGTGCTTAGGATGTCGATCCTTGAAACAGTGAAGCTTTATACACTGATACAAGGCTTAATAGCTGTCCGGGGTATTCTAGCCTTCCTTCTGTAATCCCCTCACAAATTCTCCAGCTCTCTCCGAGCACCGACGAGCCTCTTTTCGAAAACCTAAAAGCCAGCCAATCATCAAAACATCATGAGGCACATTCTCCTCCACAAAGAATTCAACAGAAGTCGTGTTCTGCGGAATCTTCCGGAACAGATTTGCAAGTTCTTGGTGTTCCTGACATAGTACCTCTCGACCCCCAGAGACGATCAACACAGGGGAAGGCAAAGGAAAAGGATGTAGTATAGGGGCCACGTATTGCTCTACTGACTCGGTAATCTCCAAGTCACTAAGGAAGTGCTTCGCACCCCAGGCAGGGAATGATGGGGGAATACACTCAGTTCTGTATCTTGGGCTGTTCATCCAGGCGTCAGTGTTAAGCCCATTTGGAACATTGCACCAAGGTGAGAAGACCCAGCCGCACTTTGGTGCTGGAAGAAGAGACGGACTGTTGTATTGCACAATATACCGGAGCAGTGCCAAGACCAGATCTGCTCCACAACTGTCGCCGCTAAGCACAATGCGTGATGCTGGAATGCGCAATGTGTGAATCAGGTAGGAGTAGCCGGAAATGACGTCTTGGAGTTGTGCTGGAAACCGACCTCTCGGGTCGCCAGCTAATCGATATTGAAGAGAGAACACATAAGCCGATGGCGTGTGAGATAGAAAATTCTTGGCCAAAAAGCCACAGGACGCTGTTCGGCCGTCGCCCATTATGTACGACCCACCATGTAGGTGGAGTACGACATATTGCCCTTCGGGGATGAAAGATTCTGATGAAAAGCGCTTTGGGTACCAGGTACCTCCTGTCATCTCTGGTTCGATCTTTGGGTCTACTGCGACACCGGTGTATAGTTCACGTTTTGCAGGTTCAACGAGAACAAACCGATCGCCTTCAACATGCGGCTTTAGACTAAGAGATGGTCTCATGTGAAACGCTGTGAACAATTGCAGAGACACTTTGAGAACAGTATTTGTGAAGGCTTGCCGATATGTCCAATTCCGGTCCTGACGTTGCCCACGGCGCAGATACGCGACCGCAAAGAGGGGTAGGTGGACCACCGAAGTGTCTTTTGGCGAGGAGGGCATGAAGACTATTGTATATGAACAAACTGTCGCAATACCGAAGGTAATGAGTGATAAAGAAATGGATGGAAGTACCTCTGAAACCAAGCTTCGTCCTAATTCATATAATGAGCTTGGCTTGACGCAAAGTGGAGCGAGCATTGAAGATCAGCCTTACCATGTCTCCAACTAAAATGGGCGAAGAAACCGGTTTATGTCGATCAGGGCAATATGAAACTGGTTATTTGCCACACCTATAGGCTCTAAGCAATCGGAAGGAAAGAGGAGGCCGAGGATACCATTTCTGGCAGTTGTAACTAACGGAATTTACTATATGTAATTAGATTCCCAGGGAACAAATTTAGCACCGTGTGTGGAAGACAATCCCTCATAATTTTCGCAGTTGGATTGCGATACCGTGTGCAGTCATTATGGTAGCTGTGAGCCAATTAAAACGAGTGGCAAAACCTGCCGGTCGCATCTTAACACAACTGAAAGCTTACTGCTGGATTTCCCTGCAATTAACTCAATCTTGGCATAATCATTACAACATAGTCCATACACGTGGTCAATCCCTGTGGAGCATCGATGAAAAGAAAAAGTTTTTGCCAGTCGCATTAACTTTAGTAGGTAAATGAAACTCATCGGCAACAGCCATCGCTGTCCTGCATTTCGATATGTCACCTTCACCGTCACCTTTTTTACATATGTAGAGCTTGCTTCTTCAAGGAATCTGTCTTATGTGGGTGTCTTATGTTTGGAAAGAGGCTCGTTCTAATCACAAAAGAAATAACACTATAATATATCCCACATATCCAATCCGCGCCATAGTTATCACAAGTAAAACGATCTATACTTCGCTAGCCAGGGAGATATCCTCAGACTTCTCCTCCGCCCTATTCCTAGCATTAGACGCAGTCCCAAGCGCAAAGCTGCCATCACAGACAGGCCACTCATTCGGCCTTAGCCAATACATATCATGCGCCGGCTCGCCCTTCATGATACCACCAAAATCAAACGGATCCACAAACGTCGCCCAAGTAGACCTTTGATCAATCCAACCCGGTCCAAGGCGCTCAGTGCACCCGTCCAGATCAAGATATCGGTTCTTTTCATTGGGCAGAGACTGACCGGGATGAAGAACATTGAGCCACCAGGTGAAGACGAGCATGGGCCCGAGCTCGAAGGCGTAGAGAAACCACTCGTGGCTGAGGATGGGGCCGCAGTTCTCGCGGCATCCGATGTGGGAGAACATCTCGAATGTCTCGACGGCGCGGAAGATGCATCGCAGTAGGACGAGCGTTGAGGTCCCGTACAGGGTGATGCAGAGCTTGCGCACGTTGCGAGGGACCTTGCCGGCGCGGGCGCAGCGCCGGTGCACTGTCGCGACGATTGCAATTATGACTGTTTCGACCGCTCCCTGCAAGATCTGGCCGATGGCAATGAGCGTTCCGCCAGACTTATACTCCGAAAGACTGGACCCGGCGGAGGCATTTTTGGCCGCTCCAGCGACTGTCACACTCTCAACGGCAGCGCCGATGTAGACGAAAGTGATGAGCACACGGTTCGGGTTGAGGACTGCGTGCATGGGCAAGTAGTTCATCAGCCGACCGATAATGTTGTAGGCGGAGGCTGAGTAGATTGGCGGGCCAACGTAGATGAGGACGGTCTGCACAATATACAGATTGACGTTTGCGGGATGGTAGCTGAATATACAGCGGACGATCCATCCTGTCGTGAAGAGTACTCCTGCCCAACAGATCCAGAACGTGATACGCCAGAATTTATAGCGAATATTTTGGAAGATGTGTAGCGCCCAAGATATGCCAACGAGGGCAGCAAACACCGCGGGTAAGATGTGGCTCGGTTGGTAGATGTAGAGACTTGGTGCCTCATTTTGTGTCGTGTTTGGAGTCATGATGGTTCGCTCAATGGAGAGAATAGTACTTGAAGATGAGAGTGAAGATGCGATTGAAGGGAAGAAAGCTACCTCCCTTTTATATCTATCGATGCTCACCTTTTATAGCTGAGGCATATCCCGCCCGAAAAGTATGGCGGTACATAGATCCAGAAAAGGCTAGACTGGGCCCCATTTTCTCCCTCTGAATGAGGCGAAGCCATAGATTGCAGAGTCCTCCGGACCGAGCCAATCACATCTCCCATGCCGAGCCTTGGCGGCGGCAGGTAGCGCCAAAAGAGGTTAGACTACAGCGCACATGGGGATGACGGTGATGACTGAGATCCGCCTTTTCAGCCCTTTCTCTCACTTCAGACCCTGTGCAATAGTCTCAAACGGCCAATTCTTTTAGCACTGCCGCCGACACTGATTGAAGCTGCCACAATCCCTCAAGCGAGGGTTGTTGCGCCTTGCCGAACCCCGGCTGTCACCGAATCGGCAGTAGATCTCTCCCGCCCCCATAAATCAGATGCCAGGTGTACCCTCGGGGCGGGCATGCGATGGGTGTCGCAAGACAAAGAAAAAGGTAAGTTTTGATCTACTAGGACCATTTACTGAGCCTAGTATTTACAATATGGTCAAAGTGCGATGAAAAGCAACCGGCGTGTTCGCGATGTATCCGCCTGAAGATACCCTGTGTGGGGTCAGGCCAAAGAAGATACAAATTCAAGGAAGGGAATCGATTTCCGAAATCCCCGAAGAGCGACGACGGGATTGTGGAGCGCAGAACGTTGGCAATGAACCAGGTCCAATTTTTTGCTGCTACCCCTTCGCCAACGCCCAGCAACGAATTGAACAAATTGTCTATTGCCTTCATACACACCATTAAAAGAACCACTGATCTAAGATATAACCTCTGGTGGGCATTTGGCATGTTCCTCGAAGATATCCCTCAACGTCTCGGTTCCAATGAAGCACTAGACCACTCTGTCGACGCATTGACCAGCGCACACGCAAGTTTTTCTATTGACCGCGTCCCCTCAGTGGACGCGCTGGCGAAATATTGTCGCGCTTTAAGATCACTTCGTTCTTGTCTTGACGATCCTGTCACGGCGCAGTCTCCTAGCACGCTTGGCGCGATCATGGTCTTGATATCCTGTCAGGGCTTCATCGGCGGCGGACTTAGAGGTTCCTTCACCGGTCATGCCGAAGGCGCCACGCGCATTCTCAAAGCTCGAAAGTACTTCATGCCCCGTGATGAATTTGAGCGCAAGGTGTTTTTGTCTTTGCGTGGTACTGTGGTAGGTCTTCTACCTTCAAAAGTGTTTGTCCGTGCTGATGGTGCTGTTTAAGCTATTCGAGGGTCTACTAAACCCGAAAATATCCCTGAGCCCCGAAGAATGGGACGATTTGGTTGCCAGTGAATTAGACCAAGAAACTCCCGAAGGCAAGATTCTTCAATATCTGTCGCGGGCGCCAGGTATAATGCGACGAGGGAAGGAGGCATTGCGCTTAGGCCACGACATCACAGACATTCGAAACGAGACACGATCAATCTACGAGGCATGCAAAAGCATCCTGGACAAATTAAAAGCCAGAGACGCAGCTGGTACACTTCCCGGGGTTGGCCCAACGTCACCAGCTATAGCTACAATACTACACGCCCACGTTCAACGTACCTACGGCATAGGTCTTGCTATCACCTTCTTTTTTAATTGCATGCTGAGTGCATTAGATCCAAACGACATACTCCTTGCGTCTGAAGCGACAGATTTTGCTCAAGAAGTTGTCTCTCTGGCCTATCGTTCTGCAGTTTATCGGCCGATAGGCGCTGGCTACATTGTCATTGTGCTTCATATTGCGTTGGCAGGAACCACTAATCCCCAAATGCAGGAATATCTGAAATATGCTATGGATGAGTATCAAAAGGACAGGATCTTTGGAACTGAGACCCTTAGTGGACAGGATGTGCTGCAAAACACTGCTCGGTATATGCGGTTTGGTATGGCTCCTCTAGCAGACACTATAGCAGATACGATAGACGCCTAGTTGTTTTCTTTACGCATCAATTTAAATCAACTTATGACATATTTCGGCTTAGGTCGGAATAACAGCTGGCAACGAGTCAAACTCCGGGGAATCTACAGAACCATACTTTAAGTAGAGCAGTATAAACATATGTAACAGGGTTGATCAACTAAATACTCGGCTCGAAATTGATAGACACTTTAAGCGCTTGCCCGGCAACCACGCCGTCAAGACGAAGCAGGAAGAATCCAAGTAGTAACAGAGGTCTCCGGAACGTTGCCGCTCCAGGTCTCTCCGCTTTCTGTCGTGACTGTCACATAAACATCGTTGCCGAAAGTATTCTCAATTACCACCGTTCTAGTACCGTCCGGGTTCAAAGAAGCCACAGATTGAATACCGGTACCTCCAGAGTAAGTATAGCTCCCAGTGCCATCCAGCACAATAGCACCAGAAGGCATGAACTTGCTGAACTGTGCCATCATATAATAAGCCGTGTTGAAGGTATAACTGCCACCGTTGACAGTAACCAAACCCTGGCAGGTACCACAGCCACCGCTAGAAAGATGGGGACCATCATCGGAGTTCGTGCCTAGAGTCCAAGCCGCAACGCCAGAAGCCCAGTTCTGCAGGGGACCCATGGTAAAATCGGCGGCTTGGTTCCATGATCCGGATGCCGGGGTCCAGCATTCTGTCATGTACTGGTTGACATTCGGGTTGGTGTCGTGGAAATCGGTGAGTGTTGTCCAGTTAACGTTGGTCGCATAGCAATGCCAGGCAACGGTGTCAACATAGTCGCTGGCCGTATTGAGGACAGTTTGAGGGTATGAAGTCACATCTAGTTGTATCTCATGAGCATGCGTGCCGATTCCAAAAACATTCGTACATACCGGTATTGTGATCATATGCCCATATGTCTGTATCCAAACCAGCACTGGCAAGCGCGGGCCCAACATAGTTCTGAATAAGCTGTGCCGACTCATCCGCATAGACGTACATAGTGGGATATCCATCTTGGCTGTTCAACGGCTCATTCTGGATCGTGATTGCGTCGATATGGGCCCCAAGGTTCTCAAACGCCTGGATATATTTGACAAAGTACTGGGCAAATGCACTGGAGTACCCTGTACTCCCAGTGCCGGCGCTGGTCAAGTAGCCGTCGTTCAAGTTGTTATTGTCCGTGTTTCCGTCAATCACACCGTTCAACTTCATCCAGCCGGGGGCGCTCCAGGGCGATCCAAAAATGGTCAGTTTGGACTGCAGCTTCTTCATTGATGCCAGCATGGCCGCCATTGCATTCCCGCGGTCGCCGAGATTGAAGTTCGACAGATCTGGGTCAGAGCTATTTCCATTGTCGTCGTAGGTGTATGCCGGATCACCAGACAAGTCAGAGGCTCCGATGGTATGGCGCATCAAAGCGAAGTCAGCGCCAGAGGAAGTCATCAAATCATTGAGCAGTGACTGGAGCGTCGAGCTGTCGAGCGTGTTGAATGAGGTCACAGTTGCATCGGTGACGGCGGCGCCAAATCCGACAATGGTCTGTTTGTGTCCGGAGGAGGTATCGTCAATGGTCAGCTGCCAAGTCGATTCAGAGCCTGCACTGCCATTGCCTTGGACTGGCGCTGCGATGGAGGACAGTTTATAGTTGCCTCCGGAGTTAGAGCAGTATGCCGAGGCAGATGATGCTCTCTTTTCGGGCATGGCATGGCTCAACCCAGCGAGGACAAGAGCGGTACTGAGGTGGGTGAGCATCTTGACTGCAGTGAGATTCGTCAAGACCTAATGGGGAGTTTGTTGACGATATTGAGTTGTCGGTGGCCCCTTGGCTTTCTTATACAAGGCTCACGGGTAATCAGCCTTGATTAGTTGCAGAAGATTGATGCTACACTGCCACCAGCTAATGCACACCATCTGGTAAGAAAGTCGGAATAAAAAGACCAGTTTCTGTTTTGGTATCCTTGCCACGCCCCCAAACTCACTGCCTCATCAGGGGTCGGTGGAGCAAGAGCCTGGTCAATAATTACTCCGCTTTTCTTCATGCCCCGCAAAAGTAATCAATCACAGCACGCACTGCCACAGATTGGAAACGCGCTAATGACGCACCTTGAGTTGCTTGGTCTCGGTGCCTACTTGTAGGATCCGAAGTACCATTGGATAGTGACAATCGACATATGCAGGGACTGGGGTTGCTTCTAGATTTGAATTCTTCATAGCGAGCATGCAGCTTCTTTCTTGGCCAATTAGAACAGTTGGTGTGTTGCCTAAATGACCCGGACTTTTAATAAACATAAAACCCCGCGCTCCCTTGGGCAAGGTTGCCGAATATTACTGTTTAAAGTAAGTCCGCCAAGGCACTAGAATGTTCTCGACAGTGAAACATTACGACTGTCCCCGGGTATCTGTGAGCGCATATATGGAGGACGATCCTTTCGTCGCGGAGTATCGGAAATGTTACCTGCTCACATTGGTCACTGAGTAACATCTGGGTATGCATACTTCTCAAGTAAACTAGGTAATAAGCTTTGGTGCGATGGATTTAGGTGTACAGATAATGTCAGTGGCTGCGCAGAGTAGGTGATCTTCAAGAGGAACAGACTGTATATACGCGATTAATAGAAATGATTTCAATACGGTCTGAATGGGTCATTGAAAACCTCGATTTAAACTCATGATGGCAAAACCCTAAATCAAGAAGCCATGGGGACTAGGATGTGAACCCTACCCCTACTGCATATGTCCTGGCAGTCCGAATGTGTCCCAATCTAGAATCAGGCACTCAGGCACTCAATCCTCTTCGGATTGCCCAGTCCCGTAGTGAACTGATCATGTTTGACCTATTAGCAATTGTTTACTCGTAACTATAAAAACCCCTTTCCAAAGATTTAACTCTCTGATAAATATTCAAATTGAAAAATTCATTGCCAACATGACATCGAAGGGCATGATCTTACCTGCCCACTCTTACTACCAGATTGACCTTTAGATAGCGGGTTACCTAGCCAATGAATGTGACACTTTAACACTGTTGTTTACTTTTTCTACTGGATGTACTGCTATATTTTCAGTCACCTACCTGATGGTAATCAAAGTTCACCCACGCATATCTTCTGGTGACTTATGGACGGTCCTTTGGTTTGTCTTATGTATCACGACCAAACTATTCAACTATAAAGGGAATGAAAGTAAACTAATTAGGCAGCTGCATCCAGCTCTTCCTTGAAGGCTTCTTTGTCTATAATTCCAAACAAATGCCTGGTATGCAAGATCTCTTTGGGCAACTCTGGAAAGTATATTCGCTGTCTGACAGCCGATACCAGACCCAAGATGCATTCGTGTTGGGCATGGAGGCTATCACTTCCGTTTGCTGGGGACCTCTGTCGTTTGTCCTCGCACTCATGATCATGACACAAAATACTCCCCGCTATCCATTTCAAGTTGTTGTTTCTCTCGGCCAACTTTATGGTGATGTTTTGTATTATGCTACCAGCCTGTTTGATCACTATATACTGGGACTGTCGTACTCGAGACCAGAAGGGGTCTTTTTTTGGGACTTATTTGTGTTCCTCAATGCCTTCTGGATTGTAATCCCTCTATGTGAGTTTCAAACACATAATTTGGATCTCGCACTAGCTGATTATTGGCCAGATCTATTGTACACCGGTGTGTTAGCTTGCAAAAGAGCATTTGAGGCTCTAGCGGTGTCGGAAGCAAAGAACCTTCGGAATACACCTCAATCAGGCAAAAATATTACACCAAAGAGCGAGTAACACGGTTTGAAGACGGTATATAATGCTTAAAGAATCGGATAGCATAGAACAGAAAAGGATATCAAAGGTCCTCCTCCTCTTCGGCTAATTGACATGAATCATCCCTTCCTTGGCAATCACTTCGTGTCTATCGTAGCTACACTGTTGGTAATTCTCTTAACATTCAGTAGGCGGATTCTGAGGTATAAGTTTTGGGTGGAAGGGCGAGCCATATGCAGGTGTCGGATCATGGATATATCACTTTTCTATACGGTCATCTTCAAATTTCCTGCCATGTTCTTGGTAAAAGGTTGCACTTGGGGAAGCGTTCGATCCCCATAGCCATATATAGCTGCCTTCCTTTCCTCAGGTATAGTACCGTGTGTCGATCCCTGGCATTGATTTCGGGCTCCAACATCACCATTCGACAGTTGTTGGCACTGATTTCTATACGTAGTAGCGCCCGATGTTTCTCCAATTGATGAATTCCATTCCACTATCCCAAGTGTAAGCTTCAAATTGAAGTTAGCAAGAGGTGCCATAAATACCTGGTTCTGAATTGTTGCAAACAAGTACTATTGGCTGGCCCTGCTGATCGCCCTCAGGCTTCTTCTCGGCTTTCATCCGCATGTCCCATCGCCTTTTTGAGCGCGGCGGAATTGACTCCTTTACCGGTTTCTCGGCGCCAGAGAATCGGCCTCGCGACGCAACGCCTGTTCCCCAGCGTAGGCGGATCTCATACCCTTCGCACGTAATTCCACGAGAGGTGCATCTCTGACAGGCCGGACGAATTTCATCGCACTGAATCCGCTTTCTCTTGCATGTCCAACAGCCTTTGTGGGATCGATGATGGGTACTGATTTGCTTGATGCGAGGGCCATCCATTGGGAATGGTTATTTAAATGGGTAAGAAAATACTGGTGGATATTATCTTGTTTGAAATCATTGCAACGGCAGGACATTTCATTCTGATCATATATGCTTGAGCTAATGCTGAGCGATTTTCTTATTGGGTGAGCAAAGACCTCAAATGCCGGTGGTCATTGTGAGATCCTCTAGCCCCAATAGGGAGCGGCTTCCGGGAATACCGACTATTTTATATGTTGAGCAAATTCCCTCGCGCTGAAGTTGCGACCGTGACGTGAAGCAGTTTGTTGTTCTTCTAAATGTCCCCAGATCGGTTGGCAGCACCCCAGGTGGAGCCCTGTCGACGATTATGGAAGGTACAGCCAAGTGCCACAGTGCGGCTCCACAGATTTTGTCATCAGTATGTGTAACCCGGACAGGAACTGGTGATAGCCGGTGAAGTGTTTCTACACTTATAGCAGAATTATTGTGAGCTAGGGGAATAACCTAGAATCACAGTTAAGGTTGGAAGCAAAGTTTGCGATTGAGACACTCCAAGAGTTCCAATGGCGGGTTGACCCGACGGTACATATCTCGGTCTTGCCACCGTACACATCGGACCCAGAAACCAATGTACAATACCTAAAAAAAGGTGTGTGTCAGGGAATCGGCAGTCGAAGCCAATCTCTTTCGCTGCAGAAATTCCTCTAGCGCCGAGGATCCATATCGCATCGAATCTTCGTCACCATCTGATATCATCTCGAAAACTACCCGTTTCGCCACCGCCTCAACTTTCCACACGAGGACTACTTTCTCTTCAGAGTTCAACGTGGAGAGCAAGGATTAGGCATCAGTAAGAGATGCAAGCTTTTGTTTCGCGTAATTTTATCCATTTGACCGGGGTCGTGGATACGTAAAAGTGGACCAGAACCGGTGAACCTGGGAAGAACTCTGCTCCATACGGAGCTCCCACACAACTCGGTGAGACCCATGGGGTCCCCACGAAAGAGTCAAAAAAGAACCCCAGGCCACAAGAGTCTCCAGAAGCACATACTCGGTTGCGAATGGAAATATTCTTAGCTTTGCGTTACGGTCTCATCACACACGGCCAGAAGCTACAGATCTGGGATCAAAGCTGGCGGAAATCGCCTTGCTAGCACTGGGGAAAAAAATCTGAACTACTTTTTTCACGTTCTGCTTTGCTCTCATCATCTTCACGACACAATGGATTCCGAACTCGAAACAAGCAAACCAGTTGACCAAAACATCGACGATGCATACGACCTCGCCGCCATGGGCCATGACCAGAGTCTCACCCGCAAGTTCAACATCTGGAGCATGCTGGCACTCGCATTCTGCGTCTTAGGAACGTGGTCCACCTTCGCCCAAGATTTGTCCGACGGCCTGGTCAACGGCGGGCCAGTTTCGATTCTTTGGGGACTCGCACTCGTCACGTTTTGCAACACCTGCGTCGCTTTTTCCCTGGGAGAAATCTGCAGTAGCATGCCCACTGCATTGGGTCAGGCATATTGGATCTATCGACTATGGAGTTCACCATGGGGCCGCTTCGCCTCATACATGTGCGCGTGGATTAATGTATTTGGCTGGTGGACCCTTGCCGCGTCACAGGTGGCGTTCATGGCCAACTTCATCTTGGGAATGAAGGTCATGTTCAATGAAGAGTGGAAAGGCGCTTCGCAGGGCTGGCTGGAGTTTGTCGTCTATATCGGTGCGGTTTTCGGTCTCACCTTGATAAATGTGGTTGGGTGTCGACGGGAGAAGTTCCTGCCCTGGCTGAACAACTTTGTTGGAGTTTGGTTCTTCGGCCTTTTCTTCGTCTTTTCGCTGGCCCTGCTTATCTCTGTCGGAGCCAAGCCCGGTCTCTCTTTCCAGCACGGTTCCTTCGTGTTCGGGAAATGGATTAATAACACTGGTTGGCCTGATGGTGTGGTGTGGTTTATGGGCTTGGTGCAAGCGGCATACGGTCTGACTGCATTTGACGCTGTTATTCACCTTGTGGAAGAAATTCCCGCCCCTCGGAAAAATGCTCCCAAGGTCATTTACATGGCTGTGCTCTCGGGGGCGGTAAGCGGCTTCATTCTTATGATTGTCTGTCTGTTCTGCATTCAGAAAGTGAATCAAGTCATCAACTCCCCCAGC